TATTCTAATGAGTGGCCAGCATCAGTTTTGCAAGTATTTGGTCATAAGCCAAAGTAATAAAAGGGAACGGTGTGAGATGAAAGATCAGAGTATCATCAAAGTTATTATAGTTCATACTGAGGGGAACATGAATGTCTGGACCACATTTCATCCCAATCCATCCAATAGTGTGACTGACTGGCAATGCCTTCCATGGAGGACAAGCACTTTACCTTCGCAGTGAACTGATCTCCCAACTATCAAAGTGCTGTGTCCTCTCACCTTTTACCTTCTGGTTGCTTTTTACATAGGTGATAAAGGAAGTAAGGGTTAATATGTCTACAAAAGACCGAAGGTACAGAGTGAAAAGCAGAAGTTAAGACAAGTTTATACTTTTCAACACCTCAGATGTGGGTCGTTTTTCGTATATTTGATATACTTGAGAATCGCTCCAGTGCAGCTCGCACTGTGTACAAGTGTAAATGATGCATTCAGTGTAAAGCGGAGAAGAAGGGAACGTGCTGCCCCAGAGCTTCATGAGAGGGCTGAAAAAGCATATAAAAAGGTTGTGTTATATAATTACCAGCGCGCACACACACACAGCTTAGTAGAGTGAAATGCCGCTGGATGGAGGCTGTCACTTTTAATTTTTTGCAACCTTTCTTCGTCAGATGATACCTGAGGATGACGTGAGAGGCTGTGAAACAAATCGATGTTAACGAAGCGTAAAACTGTGTGTGTGTGTGTGTGTGTGTGTGTGTGTGTGTGTGTGTGTGTGTGTGTGTGTGTGTGTGTGTGTTTTGTTCTCTTTTAAATCACATTGTGGGGACAAAATCTGTTGTGAGCTAAACTACAGTTACTCTACATTTAATGAAGCGTCACTTCACTGAAGCAAGTAAAGCAAAGTTTCCTCCTCACTAGAGGAAGAAGTGGTCAGGCTGGACCCTGGTTCTTCTCACAAGAGGTGTTTGTTCACGCGACACAATAGATAGAAAACTCAATCTCACGTGTCTTTATTCCCCTGCAGCAAAGTCACAGGCATCAGCCCAAGGATTGGTGCGTGATGTCACGTTGTTATTTAGGGTTTGGTGGCCAGAGCGACTACTGGAACCCTCAAGAGGGGGTCGAGACTCAGGGTTAGGGCTTGTCTCAAAAAGTGTCTTGTTTATCAACCCCCTGTGGTTCCTGTAGTAGAAAAAGAACAGTTACTTGATGCAGGGGGCGCCGCAAGAGAAGTTTCCGGCGCCGCAAGAGAAGGTTCCGACTCCGCGTGAATCAACTCAGCCCAGCTGAAGCGACACCAGCAATTTTAATCATGTGCACCTCGCACTGTGAGTCCAGACAGTATAACGGAACTGCTAGGCAACAGTTTTGCAATATAAACATCTTAAAACTGCTGTTTTGGACTGTGATCAGCACTTTATCGGAGCTGCTGAAGTTAACATCTCTGTGGACCTGTGGTGAGATTTCTGCCTGATCAGTAATGTTTTTGGTTGGTTTCAGTTTCACATGCAGCATGCTGTCCCAAACTTTGTCAGTCTAACGGTCTTAAGGGGATAGGCTATATTCCAGCGGATCAATAACGTAATGCACAGCAGAGTAGAGGCCAGGTGGAATTAAAAATACTATGAATTCTCATTAAATGATGATGTTAATCTCGTAGTATTGCAATTTTTTTCTGGACATGTCTGAGAACACTGAGAACACGGCAGAGATTCTGAATGTGCAGAAAGTTTTGAACATGAGCAGAAAACCTGCTGAAACACAAGAGCTATTAAAGTCCAAGAGATTCTAACTGAATTAAAATGAAATTAAATGAAATTAAAATTTTACTACAATGCAAGAAAATAGTATCTGGGTTGACATACAGTTTAAGGGGGAAAACAGGTTAGGTTTGGTCTCCCAGTTTAGGATATGATGTGGAGGCAGATCACACTTCTTATTGACCATGATTACTGACTTGGCTGTTTACACTAAAATTGTGAGTTTGGCTGCTGATTTTTTTTTTACAATTCCTGAGGATTGAGAAGTGATGACCCCACTTTATAGGATTGGGCATGCGGAGGGGCACAAACACTGTCAGGGCCGGACCTTACTTGTTGGAATTAATAAAATGTTAGCATGCAAGTCTTTGATGGTGGGAGGAAACAGGAACAGGGGCAGGAGGTAGAATTAGTGACAAAGAGAGGCGTGGTCCTTCTTCCTGAAGTTTAGTTATATAACATCCTATGATTTAGATTTTTAAAATATGTCTAGTAAGGATCCCCGCTGTGTGCCTCCCTAGGGAGATGTTCCAGGTACATTTAAGTGGGAGGACTGAGGACTGCGGTCCCCTGCTGGACCCGACCCCGGATAAGCCTTTGAAGATGGATGGATTTTTAAAATATGTCAAAATCAAATATAATGACGAGTTTTAGGGTCACTGTTAGGAAAACTAACATTACTTTCTTCTCAAAATCTTTAATTCTTCAAAATATAACAACAATTTTCTAATAAAATCATGACTTAATTACAAGAAGAAGAAAAAAATCTTATAAATATCTTTTTTTTTAATATTACAAAACCTTTCCTAGAATTCTGACCCATTAACAACTTTATTCTTGAAATATTATTCCAATTGCCCTGATACTAATTCCTTTAAGCTCTTGAAAATAAAATACAAATATAAATCATATTCAGATGTTCACAAAAAGACTCTGGTGTCTGACAAATCCAGTTGCAAGCAAAGGAGGATGAGCAAATTGTGCATTATGTGGACAAGAAGCTGGTCCCCACAATGGAAGCCATAAAGGTTTAGGGTTAATTGATAAAGGGTTCATGTTTTTTGGTTTGAGTGAGGGTTGGGGTTAGTAAGTCTACAAGGAGTCAATGTAAGATCCATCTAAGTGATAAAAACAAGTCAGCTACTGACTCATGCTCCCGTGCTGGCTGAGCTTTGATAAAGGAACACTTGGGTAAAATAACCTGAAATCGAATCTACACACAGCAGCTTATCTACAAAACAAGACTGTTAGAAGGCAGACAACATCCTGGCAGCAGCTCACAGGTTAATGTTTTTATTCAGGCCTTCGGGTCATCGCTGAGATTTGAAAATACCACTCTGATTCACAGGAGAATGTCCTTTATTGCATGACTGAGTCACAGAGTCATCAGAGAAACTATAGAAGAGAGTGCAAAGCACTGAGGTACTGTGACAGCCAGTAGGGGTTTTATACTGACTTCTATACAACACTTACTAATGTACTCTCTGAGAAGGTGGTGCACAGAGACAATGTCTTTTAGGGAAGAAAACAACAGGAGCACAGAAAGAGCTTTTTTCTGACTGACTCAAGATTTGTTGTGGCATCAAATCCTGTTTTCTGATAACGCACGGCAAACGGTGCATTGTGGGAAACGTCTCCAACCAAATTAGCACAACATTATGTTAATGTAGAGTGCTTTCAGACAGCAGGCTAAAGTGGCCCAAATTTGATTTTGTTTTGCTCATATGTGACTCAGATTTGATGTTTTAACAGTGTGAACAGCCCAAGTCACATGGACTCTTTTCCATTTCGGATTTGGGCCACTTTCACATGTGGTCCAAATCAGATACAGGTCAGATTTTTTTGAAATGCGGAGTCTGGACTGTCAGATTGTCAGATTATTTCAGCCCTATTTCCTTTTCCCTAAGTGGTTACCCCACTTGTCAGGCCGGCATTGTAAATAAGAGCTCGTTCTTAATGACTTGCCTGTAAAAATAAAGAATAAAAAAAAAAAAACAAACAAACAAACAAAAAAGATTGGAGTTCACATGACTCTGATGTCACTCTAGATCAGGGGTCGGCATTCGGAAACCTATGGCACGCGGACCAGCGTCGACACGCAGAGACATTTTAAGTGGCACGTGAGAAAGCAAACTCAATCCTACAATATTGACCTATGCCTCAACCTTGTTTAATATTACATTAGTAAAAAGTTAGTGAAAAAACAGATGATCAACCACCATGACGAATTAATGTTGACATTATTATTACGGTTGTAGAAATAATAGAAATATAGAAAAAATAACGCCTTAAAATTTTAACGCAGTTTAGGTTTCTCCTGGTCTTTTTCAGCAGTGGTGACTTTCTTATTCAAACCGAGGAGGCAGGTGTCATCCTAAAATTTCTTGAAGGTCTTCAGCATATGAACAGTGAAAAAAAGGTTGCATATGAACGTATGGGAAATAAAGATGTTAACTGAATAAGTTTGTTTATTATCATTAATGCACTCATTTCCCAAAATCTATTTGAATTAAAATATTTTAAATGTTTATCATGGCAAATATCAATATATGTGATTCATTTCGATTCTTTCTATTAATACATTACAAAATTACAGACAATAATTAATTTTTTTAAATGCTTGACAGCCCTATTTCTTACATGTCTATTATTATTATTATTAACATGGTCATACTTCAATTGAAATCTGACTAACAGTGCATAAATTAAAAATAAATGAGATGTGCATTAATGCTGCTGGCACACTGGATGTCTTCGTCTTTATATATTGGCACTCATCACAGAAACTGCTGCGTCACGTGCATACTACTTGTCTGGATGGAAACAGTAGAGAGAGAGTTGTGGAGCTTATATGCGCCGTACAGAGCCAGAAACTGTAATGAACGCAATGAAAAGTTATGAACATTTGTCATAAATTTGGAGAATTGTGACCCCGAGAGGAGAGAGCGATAAAATCTGTGGTTCTCCTGTGAAAATCGGGAGGGTTAGAAAGTATGCGAATGACAGCATGCTGCATGTGACGTAGTATTATTCTTCTGCACATGTGGATCTCTTTCAGGCTGTGGCCAATTCACAGTGGAGTCTGATGTGGGCCACATTTAGAAAATAATCTTCAAAAAAATGTACCTGGGAAATAAATCGGCCTGCAGAGTGAACGTAGCCATGGATTCCAGTTACTTTCAGTATTTCTCTGCATCCAATGGAATTACTCGCTTTTTCTTCCTACACACACAAAGAACGCTACAATCAGACTTCCTAAGAGTTTATTATGTTTCTGCCAAGATGCACACAAACGTCCAACTTACACAGAGAATTATAATCACAGAGGAACCAACATGTACACCTGCCAAATCGCAACTACACATTACGTGGACCTGAGCGTCAAGCAAGCCGATTGGTTTATCAGGTCAAGTTGTACATTACATTAAGTGGAAAAGAATCTGCCGAGCAAACATTTCAAATGACCCCAAACTGCACTCAGAAAGTAGAAATTGACAGGTGCGTTTCAAATGTTACTTACTAAATATAATTAATAAGTATAGTTATTACTGTTTATTTTTACTGTTATTCATTTCTATGTTTTGTATAAACAGGTCAACTCATGTTACATCATAACAGAATAATAAATTCACTTGAAATCTTTCATCTGCCAAAGCTCCACACTGAACTGTTGAGATGTGATGAAAATGCAGCCTTTTAAAACACGTTTGTGACACAAAAAGAGCAACAAGATGAATTGTTCAGAATCTTAAAATCTACCTTTTAAACCTACATTTGACCACAGACCAGGACCCCTGTAGCGGGGCCGGTTACTTATTAAAATACCTGGTAGAGCCACAAATTCAACACAGAAAAGTGTGTTTTGCTGCATTTGAGACCTGCTTCTTTTTTCCCTTGTTCAAAGCTCCTTCCATTCTTTTCATTATCGATTAATCTGCATATTATTTTCTTGTTGAATCTATTAGTTGTTCAATCTATAAAGCATCAAAACAGAAGAACACGTTCTCATTTCCAACTCGTCACATATGGACAATTGGTCAAGACCCATTGGTGTCGCTTTTTAACGCCCTGGGTAACCTTTATGGTAGTTTGTGCACGTGTTGGGCTCCACAGTCAAGTTAGCAATTAAAAAACATATGCAACGTCCAGTAGAGCTGAACAATTAATCAAAATTTTACACAATGCGGCCTACTGCAATATTTGTTAACAGTGATATCAGCTGCTCACCAGCTCTTCGAGTGACCTGGTAGCTGAACTGTTACAGTAAGTAAGTAAGTAAGTAAAATTTATTTATATAGCACTTTTCACAGATAAAATCACAAGGTGCTTCTCAATATAACAACAAAATACAGTTCTAGCTAGACACCAGAAACACATTGACAGACAACTTTAAAACCAAGCTTAATGTTTAACAAACGCCTGTTTGAATAACAGAGTCTTCAGCTGCTTTTTAAAAGAAACAACACAGTTGCATAACGAAGTGGGGAGTGCATTCCACAACCTGGGTGCAGCTGCTTGGAAAGACCGGTCTCCTCTGGTCTTAAAGTGGGTACGGGGAACTACCAACAGCCTCTGATATAATGACCTTAGGTTATGGGGGGGGGGTATGTTGCTGTAACAGGTCGAAGATGTAAGAGGTTTGACCATGTAATGCTCTAAAAGTAAGGACCAAGATTTTAAAATGGATTCTAAAATGAACTGGCAGCCAGTGAAGGGATGATAGGACTGGAGTAATGTGCGCTCTTCTGCTTGTATGTGTTAAGAGTCTAGCAGCTGAGTTATGGACAGCTTGGAGGCGAGTGAGTTCTTTATTACTCATGCATGTAAAAAGACTCTTACAATAATCTAAACGGGAGGATATGAAGGCGTGGATGATCATCTCTAATTCTATCTTTGACACCATTGATCTTAGTTTGGATAAGTTCCTTAGTTGGAAGAAACAGTTTTTAATTAGTTGGTTGAAATGATGCGCTAGGGACATCGCTGAATCAAAGACATCACCTAGGTTCCTGAGGCTCGGTTTCACAGACGAGCCCAGGTCACCCAAATACTGCTTGATCAAAGGGGTAATGCTATCAGGTGCAATAATTAATGTCTCTGTCTTATCTGTGTTCAGTTGCAAAGCGTTCTCATTCAGCCACTGCTTGATGTTGCTCAAACAGTTTGCTAGGACGGATAATTTATGGAGATCTGTGGCCTTAAATGAGCAGTACAGCTGAATATCATCTGCATAAAGGAGGTAAGATATATCGCTGAACTGTCTGATAATTTGTCCAAGAGAGAGAATGTACAGGAGAAATAAGATAGGTCCCAGGACGGACCCTTGGGGTACCCCATATCACAACACTGCTTTATCCGACAACTTCTGCCAGACAGATAAGATGAAAACCATTTTAAGACAGATCCAGACATCCCTGCCAGCTCGTGAAGTCTTTTTAGCATGATATTGAGATCAACAGTATCGAAAGCTGAGGAAAGGTCTAATAGGACCAAGACTGTGCATTTTCCAGAATCAGCGGCCATCATAATATCGCTGGAGATTTTAAGTAAAGAGGTTTCAGTAGAGTGTTTTTTGCGGAACCCAGACTGAAATTTGTCAAATAATTCATGGGTCTCAAGGAAGGTAGTCAGTTGGACTGCTACTATTTTTTCAAGAATTTTTGACACAAACGAGAGTTTTGAAATGGGCCTATAGTTCTTAGGGTCTGATGGGTCCAGGTTAGACTTTTTAAGTACTGGTTCAATGATTGCATGGTTAAAGGAGATGGGGACAATGCCAGTTTGAAGTGAGATTTTAAGCATGTTCACAATACTAGGGCCAATTGAATCAAAAGCTTGTATAAAGAGCACAGTAGGGAGGACATCCGTAGAACAGGAGGAAGGTTTCAGTTCCAGCAGGCGTTTGATGTCATGCAGTGATACTGGGTTAAAAGAGGACCAAGAATAAGAGGGGGGTGGGTCACAGAGCAGGATTGGAAGGAGTTTGGGAGACATTTGCCCTGATATCTGCAATCCTATTTACGAAAAAATTCAGAAACTCATTGCTGTCAGTTTTACAAAATACAGCAGCTTCAGGGATAGATGGGGAGACAATAGCGTGAATGGTGTCAAACAATATTTTGGGGGTTTTCTTATTTGTCGCTATTAGGTTGGCTGGGTTCTTGTGTTCTTCAGCAACTCATTTAGTGAAGCGATTTGGTCCTTGAGGTGTAGTCTATGGACCTCAAGTTTCCATTTTTCCACAGACGCTCCACCATGCGACAGCTTCTCTTCATAGATTGTATGGCTTCGTTCATCCAGGGGCACTGCTTTTTGTGAACAGTCTTGGTAGGATTGACAGGTGCCACTTTATCTAAAATTTCTGTGCATTGGTTGTTAAAAGAATAAATAAAAACATCCACATCCTGGCATCCCAACAACATACCGGATTCAAACAGAGCAGTGAACTTCTTGGTGACATCCTTATTTATGATATGTCTTTGGGCCCTGGGTCTCAGGGGCAACGGGGCCAATGGGAAGTTAAGATGAAAGAATACACTGTGGTCACTCACATGTACGTCTTCTACACAGACATTTTCTATCTGGAGGCCAAGTGAGAAAACTAGGTCCAGGGTGTGGCCCTTAATATGTGTGGGCCCTGAGACATGTTGAATAAAGTTAAAAGCATCAGTGATGGATAAAAGATCTGACATTGTCAACATGTAAATTAAAATCTCCAACTACTAGAACCTTCTCTAATTTAATTATAGTAGATAAGAAGTTGGTGAAGTCTATGAGGAATGCACCTGCGGGGCCAGGGGGACGGTAAACTAGCACACAGTAAAACATATCCTTTGAACCTATTTTAATTGTCTGTGACTCAAAAGAGGGGAAACTTTCAGAACAAATTGTTCTGCATAGGAATCTGTCCCGATACAAAGTGGCCAGACCTCCACCACGACGTGCAGGTCACATCACTCTCATCTTTTGACTTTTGACTGAACTTTTGAGTATTCTCAGGAATTCTTTTGATCCACTCGGTGCCTGACTCATGAACCCTTCAACCGCTGACTCTTGTGAGGTTGTAAATTCCCCCTCTGCAGGGCAGTCACTTCAACCATCAGGTCTGGGCCAGTCTGAGTTTCGTCTCCTGGTTCTACCACCACAGTTCTTCCCCTCCGCTGCTCCGGGTGCTCGCCCTCTCTCGCCCATGCAGCTTCAACATCTCCAGGACACTCCGGGCGTAAGCGTCCCTCAGGTTCACGCCTCCTCGCACTCCTCCCACGCCCGCCCCCCCCACCGAGCCACGGGCCAGCCTCTTCAGCATCTCGCCGTGCCGCGCCGCCGCCTCCCTCATCTTCAGGGTGAAGTAGCAGGCGGAGAAGCGCTCGTTGATGATGGCGATGGGGAGCGCCAGGATCAGGATCCCAGACAGGATGCAGAGGAAGGCCAGCACCTTCCCCACAGCTGTGTCGGGCCGGATGTCTCCGTAGCCGACCGTGGTCATGGAGGTGGTCGCCCACCACCAGGCGGCCGGCACGCTGCTGAAGGTGGTGGCAGGAGAGTCGTGCTCCAGAGTGAAGATGACCGTGGCGAAGATGGAGATGCCGACACCGAGGAAGAGGAGCAGGAGGCCAACCTCCTCGTAGCACTGAGCGATGGTCAACCCCAGAGACTTTAGGCCTGGACAGAAATGAGGACAGAGGAATGTTTTAGAAACACATCACGTACACTTTCCATCCTGGCTGAGCATTTTACAGATGATACAGTAGATTGATTTAAAAGTGTGAACTGCTTGAAATAGAGCAGACACTGGGTGGCTTTCAAAATAAGTCTGCTGTAAGATTAAGTCGACGTGGATGCACATTTAAAAATTGTAGTTGGAACGTTTTCACCAGATTCAGTATTTACCTCTTCGTTTCCAGTCTAAATATTGTGTATAATAATTTCATTTTCATTTCAGTAAACTGTATCCAAATGAAAATGTGATTCCTAAATTAAAGTTTTCATTCAAATGTCTCTATTTTCTTTTTGGAAACTACAATTATTTGTTAAGTGAAAGTCGTATGTTGACTCACGTTTTGACTCACAGCAGTAGTCTGTGTCCGCAGTTTGTCTGATTATCTAATTTAGGAAATGATCTCTTATTTCTCTCCATCTTCTGTGAGTGACAGCGTGTGATCATCTCTTCATTGGGTTCTGTTTTTTTTACTCTGAGTGAGTCTGAGGACCTAAGCTGAAAATAAGGAGTGGCAGAAAGAGGAACCAATTTATAAATACACCCACGTGTGAGCCGCTCACAGGGCCGACGTTCACACCCCAGAATGACTTGTCATCTCGCTATTCTCCTCCGAGAGAAAAAGAAATGAGCTTTGGTGTCGAGTTTAAGAAGGATTTCAAATGAGCTCATAAAGTACTGAAGACTAACGAGGATTGTTTTCTGTTGTAGAAAGCTGCTTCTGTACATTTGCAAAGATTTAAGAAAGTTTGCTTTCACTCAATACTCACAGCAGAGTTTAAACCATAAAAGTCACTGTGTTTCATGTATTTAAACAGAATAACAGTATGTCCGTTTCACTGATGGGTTAATCAGAGCTGCCTGAAGTTTGTCCCTATGGGCTCCTGTACATCTGACTAGATATCAGCCTCTTCTCTCTCTTTTATTAAGGGGTAACTTCAGTGTTTTTTTTAAGTAACCTCGACCTTATTTTCCCATGCTTTTGTGATTGGCCTTTTATTGTGGCCAGCCTAAGGCACACCTGTGCAATCCCCATGCTATCTGACCAGCATCTTGATATGCCACACCTGTGAGGTGGATACATCATTTCAGCAAAAGGAGAAGTGCTCACTAACACAGATTTTGACAGATTTGTGAACAATATTTGAGAGAAACAGGCCTTTTGTGAACATAGAGAAAGTCTTAGATCTTTGAGTTCAGCTCACGATGAATGGGGGCAAAAACAAAAGTGTTGCGTTTTTTAACGTAATTTTGTTCAGTGTACTAAATTAGTTTACTTGAATTAATAGTTCAGGTGTTCCAAATGAACACAGAACAGGAATAATCTGTTATTTCTTGAAATATGTTCCAGGGGAGTTAACAGTAACTCTGTGTTTAAAAACCATAGCCTGCAGTATATTGATGTTTTTCAGGCCAAAATGAAAATGAGAGGCTTTGGTTTGAAAAGATTAAAGCAAACTGACCCATTTAGATAATAATGCCCAATTTAAATCTTTGCAAAAGTAAATTGTCAAGGTAAAGGTCAAGCATGACGGATGGTCAAACAGCATCTGTGAATCTTAATCTGACTTATTCAAACTGCAAGAGACTCATATCTTCTGAAATTTAGTTGCACTGAACAAGGACTCTGGAGTTTGTCCCTTGTTGCATTATTATGTTAGGAAGGGATCTCAGAGGATGAATGAACAAACATACGCCATGCTAGCGCTGTATTAAGAAAGACTGGATCCTGGTGTAACCTATTTTTCCCTCTTTCCTCTCACCCTCCCTTCTCTTTTCCTCTTTTCGTCTTTCTCCCTCCCTCCTCCCAATCCCGTTCATGTTCTATTTCATTATTCATGAGTCCAGGGATGATCATCCTTCCCAGAATCACCCAGATCAAAGCACTCACACGTCCCAGTCTGACACATAAAACATAATCACGCTCAAGTCTCTCTGAGGGAATTTGCTAAAATATGAATCAATATTCCTCAGAAAACCTCCCGGCTGTAATCTCACAGCAGCAGCTTCTCACCGAGGAGAATTTCCATTCCCTTTTCTCTCTCTGGCTGTTAGCATTGTGTACTTGAAATCCCCTGACAGGCTGGAAACACATGTGTCGTCTCCTTCAGCTGCTGCTGATCATGTGCCCATGAACAAAGCACTTCACCTGCTCAAACAAAGCTGCGTCTATGAGTGTTTATCTGAATGTTTATTTTTCTGGAATCTATTTTTAAAAGTGATCCATATATCATTCTTATTTATCCTTAAAATCACAGTCTGTAAAGATGGTGGTGTTTGCACCTTCACATGATGTTTTCTTTTCTAAACCTCAATATCCCTTAAAGGGAAGACATAGGTGTTCTGCTAAAAATGCTGTTTCAGAAGCAGTGGCGGCTCCTGCCAAATCTCTCGGGGGGGGGCAGCAGTCTGGAGTAGAAAACAAGTAATGCAGTAATGTAATAATGTCACATATACTGTATATGAAGGTGGATCAAACATAGCTATTTAAATGTTTAATAAAGTACAGAAGAGCATAGTATTTATTTTCATTCTTTACACACATTACAGAAGACTAATAAGGTTAGCAAAGAGTTGTACAACCTCTTAAATGTTCTCCACTTATTATCCTGTAGTTACACAGTAACATTAGGGGTATGGGCTGTATTGAAAGTATCCGTTGTTCTCCCATGCTCTGTAATGACACATTAACAACGAGCTATTTGCTGTTCTCCCATTCTTCCTCTGTATTTACACTTCAACAACAAGGCATCTAAGGGGAAATATAAAAAGGTGTTTATTGTTTTGGTTTATTTTCTGTTACTCTCTTTTTTCTTTTTATCCTCCTCTGGCAGAGATGCCAAGTAATTTAACATAATTGCATGCCATGTAATTTATATGTAGCTTTGGCAATATTGTTATACATTCATGCCAATAAAGCTGATTTGTCATGGGTAGGCTGAGTACAGACTGAGGTGAGTACACAAACGCAGAGCAAAGGAGAGGAGGTAGAAGTTCAAAATAAAGTTTATTTAAGCAAACTAAACACGTGGAATACGTGGAAGCTCAGAGCAAAAATCCAAGCGGAGCAGAATCCAGAACAGAGATAAATCCAACAAAGAGTAACACTCAATACTGACAACAGACCTTAATGACAGATACAGAACTGACAAATAAATAAACTCACAGAGAAACTCAGGACAGGATCGTGACATGATTTGAATTTGAATTTGATGCCTGTGGTTTCTGGCAATAAAAGAAAATAAAACATCAAATAATTGTTACTGGTTAAGTGCAGTAAAGTTAACTTTAAACTGACTACACTACTACACAAAAAAAACATGGCTTGATAACAATCACATTTGACATAGCATAAAATTCTAAAAATAACTATTAAGATTTTCTTTTTATGTTCACAATTATTAGCTTAAGCCTATAACATTTTAAACTGCATAAATTAGCCTAGTGGCTAGCGGACGTTTCCTCTCCTCATAGCTTAACAACTTACGTGTATTATTTTTACTATGTTTTACTCACCGCTGGTAAAGTCGTTGCATTTCCCGACACAACACCACAGATGAATTTTCAGCCTGAACGTATGTTTTGGTGAAACAGCAGCTGATCGTAGTGACAACAACAAGCTGGAGAACTGCCCAGTTGTTTTCAGGTGGCAGAAGCGTAGCTCTGCTGCTGGGTGCATGACGTAAGCGCAAGCCCTCCTGGAAGCCATACAGATTGCATTGCAGCGCCCGCAGTTCGAAAAAACTGTCTTAACATGAAAAAACTGTCTTAACAAAAAGATTTTCAACCAGAAGCAACGTTGATTAGACAACAATATTCAGAAACTGCAAACGGCAAACTGTCTGTCAAAAACAGTCACAGCTACAGTGTGGTAGAAAGAGTGAGAAAAATCGTCTGTCTTGCCTGATGTGGTGGTGTATTGCCCGATTGCCCTAATTAACAAACCACCCCCTGCTCAGAAGGTGTCTAACAGAACAGCGAGGCATCGAGTGGTGTTTTAAACGTTTCAAATGATCTTTTCCTGTCTCCTAAGATACCTTCAAACTGCCCCCGGCCTTTCTGTGTGGAGTTTGCATGTTCTCCCGGTGTCTGCGTGGGTTCTCTCCGGCTGCTCCAGCTTCCTCCCACCATCCAAAGACATGCAGGCTAGGTTGATTGGTGTCCCTAAATTGTCCTTAGGTGTGGATGTGAGCATGAGTGGTTGTTTGTCTATGTGTGGCCCTGCGATGGACTGGCGACCTGTCCAGGGTGTACCCCGCCTTTCGCCCGATGTAAGCTGTGATTGGCTCCAGCCCCCCCGCGACCCTGTACGCAGGATAAGCGGTTGACGATGGATGGATGGGTGGATGATATTGATTTACTTGAGTATTTTCTTTTCACGTCACTTCCTATGTTTAAGTTCACTGTTTAGGTTTGTGTAAGAAAACTAATATTGCCATTAAATAATGTCTGACTATTTCACAAAGCTCTGGTATCCTGCAGTTTGTGTCAAACTGTATTGCAACGGTTACTGAAACTGGATATGGCACAGCCCCACCTAAAACATTTTTCACCAGCCGCCACTGCAACCAAGTTTGTTTAGTATGATTTCTGAGGCTTCTGAGAGCCATAAGACTTTTCAATAGCTAGCTAGCTGACACTAAGTCTAGCAACTGAAAGCCAGAAGAGACACAAGAGTGCTACATTGCTATAAATGCTGCCCTAATAGGCTGTTCGAAACCAGTGTTCTTGGAAAATGCCTTCACTCCAAAGTTATGCCTTCTGACATCTGCATATTATGGCATTGAGGCATCGAGGCAACTGCCTTCTGTTAAGAACAGAGCCATAGAATAACTAAAATGTATTTTTCGACAATACTAAAGTAGCATTTACCTGTCGAGTGTCGTCCCAGTTTCAACATTCGGAGCGACCTCAGGAGTCGGAGGACCTGCACCACGCGGCCCATGTTCTCCAGCTCTGTGCTCCCTCCATGGAGGCTCTCCACCACCAGCGTCACATAGAACGGCAGGATGGCCAGCAGGTCGATCATGTTGGGAATACTCCGACTGAAGCGGCACTTATCCCTCACGCAGAGGAACCGAAGTGCCAGCTCACCCGTGAACCAAACCACGCACACATACTCCAGCGCATCGAACAGCAGCGGTGCACCGACGCCGCTCACACCGAAGTCCTCCCCAACGTCCAGCGAGATGAGCACCATGTTGATAACCGACACCACCACAAAGAAGACAGAGAGGGAGCCAAAGGTGCGAGCAGCGCGTGATGATTCTGGTTTCTCCAGCAGGTCCCACAGGCGGCGACGGAGAGCCGGACAGGCGGCACCCACAAAATCCTCATCATCGTCGTGGGCCTCAAACTCTCGATATACGTCGAAGGTCTCCTTCTGCTCCTTGCGGCGGTAGTAACGTTCGCGGCAGCAGGGGTTGATGCAAAGCTCGTCGATGCCCCAATACTCAATCTCCTGCAGGAAGGACATCTCACATAGCTCCTCCCTCACATGCAGGTGACCCGTCCGGTAGTAGTTCATCACATACCTGTCAGGACAAATACACAAACAGGTATTCTGTCAGGAGGGACATTAAAAGGGGCATTCTGGGGGGTTTTTTCTGTTATTTCTTTCGTTACGGTACAACCCAGGGCGGTTTATTTCAATAAGTCTACAAGAAGCTCTACAGTATCTCTCCATCCTTTTTGGGGGAATGAGGAAAAAGAAAATTGGTCACACCTTCAGTTTCAATATAATCTCATAGGGTGTTGTTTTATTTTGATACTTTAATACCCAATTTGAGTACGATACAATCAGATCAGGCTTAGTAGAAATGTTTGACCTTGTTTATAATTGCATATTTTATCGGCACCACCTACTGGAAGGTCTGCGCGTTCCGATCAAAGAAGAACTCATTCTCCAGGAGGTCGGCATCGTCGCAGAGCTCCAGCGCTGAGTCTCGGCTGCAGCAGGCTAGTTTCCCCAGCCGGGTCTCCGGGTAGGACGCCAGCAGCTCCTGCGACAGCACGTAACGACTTCCCCCAACATTGATGATGAAGAAGTCAAGATGGTCTCTGGAGCAGGACGCCGTCGTCTCACTGAAGAATACACTGGAGTCGAGAGACACCGGGGAGGCACCCTCGCTGTAGAGCTCCGCCCTCGCCACTGAGCAGGAGAGCAGGCTCATGGTGGAGGAGGAGGGAGGCCGGGAGGAGCTAGGAAATGCAGAAGCCAAGTACTCCATCAGTTTTAAACTTTGTGAATACAGCAAACCTTAAAGCTGCAATAAATTATTGTTTTACCTCAAGGGGGCAGAAGAACTCTACTACAAGCCGTAACTCAAAATGTCTGGATGTATTATTACCTTATAACATTGTTGTGGCTGACATGTTAGCTGCCTTCATCCCATAGAGTTGTGTTTATGTCACCCGATGAATAATCACTCACCTCTGACTTTGTGTTGGGTCACCACTAGCTAGCATTTTATTTTGAAAGTCTAACCGGACGTTGCATATGTAATGTGTGGCGTGGCGTATTTGTTGTTGCTAAGCGTTGCTAGCTTGACCGTGAAGACTTCAACGTCAAAAATGTATGCAAAAGGGGTGCCCAGGGCGACAAAGGGCCTTGACCAGGTGCCAATATGTGATGAATCAGGAGTGAGAATGTGTTGGTGTGTCTTAGCTAGGAGGTTCCAACGCCTAAACTGACACCCTGAGCATCACAAGACAAAAATATTGTGCTCTGTTACATCTCTCCCTAAAGAATATTCCATAATCTTGCCTTTCTGTTTTTTTTAACACTTCTTGTCACTTAGATTCCACAGCTACAGTACTTTTATTTTTTTATTGTTTCCTAAATATTTGTCCCTTTAAATTTTTTTCATGTCTTCTTGTAAAGCACATGTAGATTTTAAGATGAGAAAAGTACACTGCAGTATATGAATCAGCAATAGTGTTAGTAGTAGTAGTATTGAAGTACTGCTCTTGCAAGATGTCTTTCACTTAACCTCAGTTAAAACAGCACAGAAAGAATGAATCAAAGAGAATAAAGAAGAACAGACAAAAATAGTAGGACAAGAGATAAAAGACAGATCGACAAAATGAGTGGTAGAACTGAAAGAGACGAAGCCTCTGGTTGTGTCCTACTTATAGCAGATCTCTGGCTGCAGCGATATTTAAATATTTTATTTAAATATTTTATTTAAATATTTTATCTGGCTTACCTAATTAATACAATCTAATCCTGTGATCATTCATTCCCTTTTGCTAGGTGCCTCTGTCTCACTCTGTCATCTCACAAATTCTTAACACTGAATTTTACATGAAGCCATTTCAGCTGTGAGTCTGTGTTGGGATGAGCAGCAAAGGGAAAAAAAAAAGGGTCCCTCTGCAGTGACAGGATGGAAGTGAACTGATGTTGGTATTATACATATTCATTCTCTCATGGTCCCCGAGTGAGCTGCTGTCAGGGGCCCAGAATTTGTAGCTGCTGCGTTGGAAGCCTTTGAGTCAGTTACTCCAAAACATGAAATATGCAGCAGCTGTTCTGATGTTTGAAAAATATATAGTGTGAAACTCAGACTGCAAGCCTTAATGCTCAATTCCGATTTTTTTCCCAAGATCCAATTTTTGTTTGACAGTTCACATCATTGCTTAAATGTGCCACATATCAGACTCCAGTTGGAACTGTCCACGGCCTGAAAGTGACCTGCATGCGTAGAAGAATAACACGAGGTCACACGCAGCAGAATGCTGTTGCAGGCTACAGAAGTAAACACGGCGCAACAGAGGTAAGCTCACGTTAGCTCATGGGAGACTCCCCTATTTCGTTGTCATCTCATGGGTTACATTTCTCCCAAATTATGACAAGTGTTCACAACTTTCTGTTTGTTTCACCACGGTTTCTGGAGATGGACAAAGCATCTGACCCACAATTCACTACCCCTCTCTCTCTCTCTCTCCCCACGTGCCAAAAAGCATGCACATAACTCAGGAAAGAGCTCGCAAGGTGTAAGAAAGGGAATTAGTAAGCAGATGGTAGCAAGTTAAAGGAGGAAGAGACCCCCATGTTTAATTATGGCTTTTGAAGAGCTTTTTCATTCACCGCGGCTCCGTCCACAGCAGAACAGCTGCTCTAGAGTGACTTCAAAGTCGCATCAATTCCGACCTGAGTATCCAGACCAAGCGGAAAGCCTCAGATCTGATATGTGAATCCAATAAAGTCCCTTAAACCTGCATTCTAATAAATGGCCAGCAGGGGGCAACTCTTCTGGTTGCAAAAAGAAGTCCAGCTCCACTTGAAATAATGGTAAAGTGAGGCTACTTCTCAGCTGATTTATTCCCTCAGTAAACACTTTCCTAATGAGTTTATGGTCTCAGTCACTAGTTTCAAGACTTCTTCAACACAGCATGATGTTCATTTAGTAAATTATAGTGGTCCCACTTATAGGAAAATAGACCAGAAAGCATAGTATGCTTCAGGGCGGGACTATCTATGATTGGTCGTTACAATGGTGACCTGTCAATCAGGCTAGAGTGACTCGTACCCACGGCACTCTGTAAATTTAACCAGCACCATTGAAAAAGCTTATTAGGAGTTGGCTGTTCACTTTCTCTGGTGAGTACATTTAGTTTGGACAAAATTGTCAGCCCTTGTAGCTCCACCGTCTCGTCCAAATATGGTCACGTCCGGTGCCGCTGGTTGCAAAAACTCAACATGGCGGCGCCCTATCGGCCAAACTCAAGGCTTCAAAATGGCAGTCCACAAAACAACGGGTGACGTCACGATGACTACGTCCGTTTCTTATATATAGTCTATGGTCTAGACTCAGGTCGCATTTAAAAAGATCCGATCTGTATCGGATTTTGACTACATAAAAGTGGCCCAAATCTGAACTGGAAAAGATCAGATTCCATGTGACTTGGCCTGTTCACACTGTCATAAAAAGATCAGATCTGAGTCCCATATGGGCAAATAAATTGGATTAGGGTCACTTTGTCCTGCAGTCTGAATGCAGCCTTAGAAAACGCTTTGACATGAATGATATCAACAACTAGCAGTAAACCAAACAACAACAACAACAACTACATGAGCACACAGATATCAATAAATGCCAATAAGTGTGCAAGGTGTTGCAATCAATTACTGACTGATATTGCAAATGTGATATCAGAGGGAATAATCATTTTTATATAATTAATTTCATTTTTCAATGATTAAGGTGTGCTTTTTGCAAGGATCTGTACCAAACAAAGATGTTTTCTGAAGTCTGTAGAATATCATTTTAAGGCCAGGACATCTCTGCAGCATGACAATATTTAATTTAAAATAAGATTTTGACACACATTTTGCCTTTAACAAATATTGCACCTCCTGCAATTTCAATAAGATTGTAATAAGATTTCAATTAATTGTTCAGCCCTACAATCAATGTCTACAAAAAAGGGTAACGAATCCCCAAATAAGTTAAGACGCACTTGCTGCATAACAGCTTGCGTCAACAACACTATAAGGACCTGCAGCTTATTTTTACTTTAAGTCAATTTTCCTCTCGTTTAACGCCAGTAACTACCGTGATCTTGTGTTGGGCTCTGAGCACAACCAAAAAGCAGGTGAGATACACTCACTACTGCACCTGAACACATCATGTGTAGAATTAGATAGAGCAAACAACAAAGTTGCGTTCTATATTGTTATTTAGGCACTTTTAGTGCGCTTGGGTAGAAGAAATGGTGCAACGTTAAGTTGCAGAGAAGTTACAGGACTAATTTTAAAATCTTTCTTTTAACTTTCAAATGTCTTAATGGATTGGCGATCCCTGTTGTCTCCCTGAATCAAATGTTATTACTGTACTTTTCTCTCCTTTCTTTTCTTTTCGCTCCTCTGACTCTGTTCGCTTTTTGGTTTTTTTTCTCTCTCTTGGGAAAGTTATTATCCCAGTAGATTTTTATTATCATTATATATCATATATTCTATGATATACTGTATGATTTATTGCTGTACGTTTACCTTGTAAAGCACCTTGGTTGTTTTAAGTGTGCTACATAAATAAAGTTAATATTGATATTGTAACAACCTTTAGTTAGTGTCCTTTAAGCAGGAATAGTAGATCAAGTCTGTGCTGGATAGAGCTGAGATGTGTCTTTAGATAAGAATCAGCTGCCATGATGTTGTAATTCATGTTTCTCCTGCCCCCTGGACTTGTGAGTACATTGTTAGGTTTTCTCAAGAGAGTCAGTGGAACACAAGTAAAAATTAAAATACAGAACAGGCAGATTGATGCCTCATTTTTCACTGCATGGCACGGCTCGACTCTCTTGGGATTGCTCTTTTTTGGTTTTCCATTGGTATACTTTTTTAGGTATCACCTCAGCTGAGGTTCCAAGTGAGCGGAGCTGATACTAAAAGGTGGCCTTAAAACACTTCAGACTTCTGATTGGTCAGAGACGGGACACAAACTCGTCATTTTCAAATAATCAAGCTACAATTGTTTAATTCACTCGGCCCAGATTAAAATAAATAACAGCCTTCAAAACCAAGCTGTGGTCAATGGATGAAATGCAGATGTTGCTCTGTTCGGGTGCAGGAAGAGGCGGTAAAATCAGAGATGTCCACTCAGAAACATTTTACGTGATCTAAATCAGCTTGAATTCCACTGGCAGTAAAATTAGACTTGGGATCATAAAGTCCCTGAAGTGTGTAAACTGATATGTAGCTACTGATGTCAAAACCCTTCAAAGCATCAGTGGAATCTGTGGAAATACAGTACATTTCATACTAAAATGTATTACCAACCAGTTAAGTACATGTTTTAAGATCTGACATGTAAAGAAACACTGAACAAATGACAGGAAGTACATTTTTCCTTCTTTTGCTTAAGGGAAATGACACATCTCTTGAGCTGTTTTTAACCAGTTAATCTTGTCATATTTTAACTTAAAAAAACAAATGTGTTGTGGTGATTGAAAGTGAATTATTAAAAGTGCTGCCAAACCCTTCAAGCAAAACACATGAACATGCAGAGTAGATCATATGTGACATGAATTAATGTTATGCATAAAACATTATGTGTGTATGGTTGGATGAAATGTCATAGCTAGAGGAACTGTCTCTCCAATTGTGTGATGTTTATTTGATGTAATTAAACTCATGGCAACAAACCTTTGTGTCATGAAGCTCTTTTTAATTGGTCTAAATTAACCGATATAAATGAAGTTTTAAAAGGTTAAAAAAGACCCCCCAAAATACCTTTCATATTAAAATTATTATAGAATGAATCTTCTGCTGAGATTTATCCAAAGATGTTTAATGTTTTAAAACAATTTCATTATTTAATTGCTCTGTTTTAAGAAATTATTCCTCTCTCCATCACTTTAACATCCACTGAGACATTTTTTTAGGATCTTTGTAACTGTAAAATGTTAGTTTTTCTTAAATGTGTCCTGCTGCTCAGATGTTTTCACATCCAATTAAATGACTTCTCACTGAACTTATTTCTAATCAAGGCAACAACACTAATGAATATATTTGGTCATAGTCAGTCATTTTGTTTGCATTAAGCTGACTTACATTTTGCAAACATATCTAAAACAAGGTGGATCTTACCTGATCTAACTGAAGAGGTTGTTGAACATCTCTGTTTGATGAGCACTCCAAATCTTCACGAATCCTCCTACAAAGTAAAATCCAACGCAAATATGTTTTCTAGAAATGATCACATGATGACAGAAACGGAGAAAGTTACACGTGTATCCTCAAATGCAGAGAAAAGTCTCAGAGTGACCGCGGGAGGAAGCAGCTCCGGCTCTCTGCGCGCTGATGAACAGAGCGGTGGAATGTATGAGAGGTGATTAATGACACACAGGAGGAGGGAGGGAGGGAGGGAGGGAGGTGCAAGAGGGTTCAAAATGGCATTGCAGTGAATTTCTGAATGGGCGAGTAGAGGCTACTGGCTTTAAATCGAGCATGTTTGCTACTGATCCTCTCTTTTCCACTGTTGTTTGCAAACCAATAAATCACAATCAACAGTCAAATAGCCACACAATGCTCAGGCGACACCGACAGAGTGCTGCAGCTGATCTGCAGCTCTTGTTGGCTGGAAATGTTTTAATAATCTTCCAAACTGTTTTGTGTTGCTTTCTCTGTGCTGGAGTTATTTCAAGAACTTTATGGCTTTATCCAGTTTGTTATTAAATTTGTAAAAATCTTTTTGTTGCTTTCTGCAATTGGTGTTTTCCTCTGCTGTTTCCTGTTGTCCCCACACCCCATCCCTGTTCTCTTGCAGGTGTTGTCCTTTCTCTGTGCTGTCTGTTTGTGCCCCCCATCACCATGTCTGCCCCCCTGTCCGGCCTGGTGACAAATCACTTTGAATAAATAATAAAACAGACAAAGTTATTAATACTCTCTTGTTAAAGTAAAATCTGTCTGGCACAACATAGTATCCAGCTCCTCATACTCTATAACGGGCTGCAATGTTCTTAAAAGTGGCGTGCTATGTACACGCTATTCCATAATATCACATTGGCTTTCGAGGTGACTGCAGCTGACTTGAAATTCAAACCTGAGCTGCCAGGAACTGCAGGTTTGCAGTACAAAAACACTGCTGCTGTCAAGTCGACACGTTCCATTTCCCGCACAGTGCGTGAGCTTAGAACAATGGCTGATCTTGCAGCATTTGCAAAAGCAAATTTGCCAATAAGGCAAAAGGTTGTTCCCACTTGGTGCTGCCAGAGAAAAGCAGCTACGGTCGCCAGACTTAGAAAAATGTAGCTAGTTTTGGTCCCGCGAAGTGTTAATATCATGTGATATGGTGATGTTTTGCAGCGCCAGCAAAAGTCAGACAAAATTTCTAGCCAGCATGTCTTACGTCAAGTCCAGCATGCATCATGTTAATACAGTGCTGCAAAGTGCCGCATGAGGTCAAACACACCTTTAGTCCTGTTGACACCAGGCCTTCACACAGCGCTTGTGCAGACACTTTTCTATCGGACAAGAACTGAACATGTAACAACAAAATGTACAAATATGGTCCACACACATGAGTCTTCCAGCATGAGGAACTTGTTTCTCTATTTTTCTAAAGCAAAGCTTACATCTACTCTCCAAAGGGTAATCCTCCCTCACATCTCTCAAGTTTGTTTTTCACTTCTACCAGATGCCACAGCAGTGAAGTTCTGCCTCCATCTAGTGGCTGAAATAAACACCACTGACACATTTTCTCCTGTTTTCTCTTCTCTTACTCCTCTCTGAGATTTGACTACATTGTCTCAAATGTATGATAAATCAAGAATAAATTCAGATACCAGCTCTCAGTTGAACCCAGGTCCCGGTATCCGTTTTCTCCAACTAAAATGTTACTGGTTTTGTTTTGGACATTGGACAAAATATCATTTATTGAGAATGTTCAGTTGTCTGCAAACTCAAAAGGGAGAGAAAAATATTACAGATCAAACTGGTCAGTAAGAGTCTCAGCCAATGTTGGAAAACTATTTTATTAGAGATTTGTGGTTCTTAAAAAGCCAAGAAGTTCAATACAAACCCTGGTCTGACTGTTGCTTGTGTGCCATACGGCTTCCTGAGTGTGTTTTCAGACAGAATGCAACACACATTTTAGAAGCAATGCAGTTCCATACAAAGGAAATGGAATGTTGCAAACAAAGTCAATGTAAAGGTGCAATTAGATATAAATTCACCCGGGCAAACTGACCAAAAGACAAGTCCACAAGAGTTTAAAAAGCTTAAATTCTTCATCATCTTCTGATTCCACTTTGGTGAGAAAGATACTCCATGTAACCATATCATAATTAAATAGCTTTGTTCTAAAGAACGTGTCTTCTCAAAAAACAAGTATTGGTGTTCTCAAAAGGTTCAACAAAGGTGATCCTTTCCATTGTGGTCTTTGGCCAGGTCACCATCTGTTTCGCAAACTTCCTTCAGGCGGGCTCAAGGTCACCAGGATGAAGACAAACCCCATGAAGAATAGCCATACCATCCTTTTATGGTCTTTGCATTTATATATGCGACTTTAAAGCTGCCAAGTTCAACGGTTTGCTCTAAACTGCATTTCGTTGCATTTTATAGACAATGACAATAAAGTCTCTATCTATCTTAGGAGAAGGATCTGCTTTTATCGAGAACGGGGATCGTAACTCTGCTTGGTTCTTTCTATTCATCTGACTCTGTTTGACTGCCTACACTGGAGTTAAACGGTACTACGATGGTGGATAAGATGTTGGTTAGTTGAATTAACTTAATTGGAGTTGGTGCACGTTAGCATAAAAGGGGCGTGTTCGGCCGTGCGGGCAGAGTTTTTCGCAACATTTTATGTTTTTTTGTTAGAATTACCATGGCGTCTTACCCCATGTTACCCTAATATTGTTGCTATTCAGAACTTCATTCCAACGCAGTATATAAATATATTTTATCAAGTGACAGCGGAGAGTGTGTGTGTATTAATAGTGTAATTCTCATCATTAACACTGAGTACAGATGTGGTGTGTAGTCCACGTGCAGGGTAACCTCTAGTTAACCACGAACAAAACCTGCTCGGAGCAGTTTAGAGATGCAGCGTAAATTGCCATGGCAACAGACCTCAGGTAACACCTATCCACCTTTCGTAGTATGGGTTAATCAGGTTGTTGCACCCGACGTCACAAAGTTACTCCTGAAGTTACCTGGATAAGCCAGTTACCCCGCTTCGTAGTACAGGCCACAGAACTGAGCCAGCTTCAGTTCCCTTTCTTTGCACTGTGCCGATCAAGTATTTGGTTTTTGTTCCGCTGACTGCATTTCATCATCATTTATAACGTGATGCTTGAGCAGTTTATCCAGAAGCAAGACACTCAGACACTCAGTGCTCAGTTGTCTGCCGGGACTCCCTCTTCCTCTGTGGAATTTCCCTTGTTGGACCTGGAAGAAAATCAGGGGACTTTTGTTTAATAACCAAAAATAAATTTTAAACAGAATTACTTTAAATGGCCAGGTATGTTTGCACATACAAGGAGTTTGACTCTGGTCTTGCATTGCTCTCAGTGTACGTACACACACAAAGCTCAACAAAAGCAGACACAGACTACCGCTTACAGTACACAAACACAAACACCATAAACAAAACAACAACATATGTAGACAGCAACAAAATAATGTAGTGAAGCATGGTGCAAAGTAGGGCTGCACCATATTAGAAATTTAAAAATATGTATGAAAAAATACATAAATTTCCACCAGATGACTTCAGTGGCTCTATTTGAAAAGACTTCAGCAGACTTGCGTGACATTGTATTGTTCTTTGATGTGACTATTGCACATGGGCACATTGTGATGACGATGCTGAAATGATTTATTGTGCAGCCATAGTGCAAAGGATGCTGGGATAAATATTTCTGTGCAGGTGTTATGTACATAAGGTAGAAGGATATGATCGTTACAGCTACTGAATGATGAATAAATAACATTAAATAGCATACACTTAGATGTTAGAGGCACAGGGTGACCCTGTGAGTTAATTGTTCAGAGCGATGACCTGTGTCTGTTTGTTTTGGTGTACAGTGGGGCTGGAACAGAGATCTTTTTTTAGAAAGCACATCATTTTCAAGTTCAGCTACAATTAAATGTCATGTTTTTGTCTGCTACAGGATGAATCAGCTCTATAAAACTTAATTATTCCTGGTTTGTTAATGTTGTTTAATTATTTACAGTGATACAGTGAATAGTTAACTCACCATTTGCTCTCTTAAATACAGCCCTTCAAAATCCCTCAACATTCCCAGCAGTGGACTTTTGTTCAAGCAATGGAGCAGTGGTGTTAAGTGGAAGAAATGGTATGGATTGCAAATGACAAACATAAATTTAAAAAAAGAGATGAAATGAAGTAAATGTGACGGTCCCTGAATGTGCGTATAAACTATATATCTATTCTGTCGCTGGTGTCTAAAGTCTTAACAGGTGCAGTGCTGCTACAGGACGGTGAAGCCTTTACCTGTCAGGTACACATCACGTTTCCAGACTTCTTTCCTCTCTTGGTCTTGGACCTTCAAAGTCACTTTCTGTGGGTTCGTAGTCAGGAAAACTTCGAATGTTGGGTGGAAGTTTGGTCCATACTTTGGGTAAAATGGCGCACGCTGAAAACAAGAAGCTACGCGTCATTTTGTGTTTATCTGGTACTTTCCTATTTGTGAATATATTTTGTAGTAGTAGTATATATATTAAGTATTGTATTCAACATTGTACTGATGATAATACTGTTACTGAGTTATTTATTCACTATATACAAATGTGGCAGCAGGAGGTAGTGGCACGGTGTAAAATAAATATGATTGCACAGGAAAAATAAATATTCAGCAGTTTAGTAGAAGTGACTCGCCTCACCTCAGGCTGTATTGTGAAGTCCTCAGGTTCACAGAAGACGCTGTAACTTTTACCAAACCTGAGATGACAGTCAGAGGACATCCTGATTAACTCAGCGCCTGCTTGTTGGATGGTAACCTTCAGAAACAGATATTTTTATAAGAGGGGTCAGATAGTCAAGGCAATTTCATTTAAAGAGCAATTTAAAAACAACAAGTGCTTTAAGAGAGAGTGAATTACAATCAAATAAAAACACACATCTATATATATATGACATACTGTAAGTGAATTATATAAAAATTCCCCCAACACAGAGAACAAAATAATAAAAACAGTGTGAGCAGGTATAAAGGCCACAGAAATGAGAAGATTTATAAAAATCTTGTATTTCATTGATGTTCATCGCCTGCCAGTTTTCTTTTCCCAGAGCAGTTTCAGGCTTATTATTGTCCAGTGGATGATTAGGAAAAGTTTTTGAAATTGTATTTCGAAACTGACTCAATGAAAATGTGACCGGATGAAATGTCACAACTGTAAATTTCTCTGCCAGCGTGTTGCTGGTAACAGGTAGGAATCCCTCAACTGTTGGAAAGTGAGATGACTGATGATGCATTTGCCTTTTTTGAACCCATAATTTAAAACCAAATTTTGTCTTGAACAAATTTTAACTCTTTCAAATTTAATAAAGTGGCTTTCAGTTAGCATCCAGGCGGGAGCAATTCTCATCCTCTGGGAAACCAAATAATAAAAATACATCTACAGCTGGCAGACAGAAATTCATGCTGAGACAGAATCTAAAATTCAGATATCTCTTCTGATTTTTCTTGCAACAGCGTGAAGTCTGATAAAAAAGGTATAACCTGAATAAACATTGGGGAAACTGCTGTGTAAAGCATGAGTTTAGGCTGATGCTGAGCACATGCGACAGATAGCTTTACCTCGCGCACGGGGATGTTGTTCTGCAGCAGACAAACGTCGAGGACTTGATGGCTTGTGTGCGGGGGTCGGTGGAACAGCAGAACTTGGCCATTTACTGGCGGAGAGGTGTTCAGAAACCTTTTCGCGGTGTCCCAGACCAAGCCAAACGCCGAGAGTTGGGGGACCTTCACAACCACATGAGTGTCTGTAATCTCCAGCGGCTCCAAGACGCTCATTCCATCATCAGCGATGTGGACGGCAGACAGCGGGCCGTCAACAAGCAACGCTGGGGGAGCAAAGTGCTGGTTATGGAGCTCATTTTAACAAGGTATGACACATTAACACAAATATTTGACTTAACATTCAAGACAGACATGTCTTTACCATCCTTTGTTTCGCAGTGTGGGAGGTGGAGCTGACACACAGCGTCCTCAGAACACTTGATTTTAAACAGCATCCCTGCGGCCGTCTTGCCAGCTGATTGGAGGAGGCTCTCATCCCATAGGACAGTCCTGTACAGCAGCTCCGCCTCCTGAGCCATACCAAACACCAGCCGGGTCAAAGCGCACTGGAACACACCTGGACCAGGACACCTGAACCTGCGGGACGCAGAGGGGCCGAATTAATAGAGCAAGCATTTACTGGCCAGGAGACCAATACGCTCTCTCTCAGTCGAGGCCTCAGCAAGTCAAAAATGTTGATTGGAAGCCTTGAGTTTGTCATTTTGGCCCTCGCCATCTTGTTTTTTGGAACCAGATGTGACCATATTTGGATGAGAGGGTGGAGCTAGCTAACCTTTGTTATCAAGGTGCATCCATACTTCACATAAACTTTAATAGCAGCTGGGATGCTTGGCTAGTGAATAAACAGGCTTAAAACTAAATGTACGTAAGGCCGACTCATAGCTTTTTTTAGCAGCGCTCGTCAAATTTACACAGAGCAGCGGATACGAGTCGCCTCTATCCCTCACATTGTAGCCCCGCCCTGAAGCCTCCCCTGCTTTCTGGTCTATGTTCCTCTCAATAGGACCATAATTTACTAAATGAACATCATGCTGTGTTGAAGAAGACTTGAAACCAGCGATTGAGACCATAAACTCATCAGGAAAGTGTTTACTGAACCGGGTCAAATACCGTAAAATCATGTTCTGACCTCAAACTTTGAATATTGCATGTTTGCTCGATTAAATTAGGGGATCCCTGATCATACCACTTACTGGCATGTACATTATATCACTCATTTATCCCGGAAAGCTTCAGGCCTCACAGCAGTAAACTGGCTGAACAGTGTGGGTTCACCATATTCACCAGGACCAACGAAAACGTTTTTCGTTTCATTTCAGGAGATGTCCTATTTGTTGGACTGTCTACATTAACAGCTGCTGCAGCCATCGCCTGTCACACTGTTTAAAGGACAATATGTGTATTGATATTTATAAGGGATGTGCATTTACCATTTATGGTTAATTGTGGAAGTGCACTGGATGAAATATGAGACTCTTCAATGAATATTGAAAGGGAAACCTTCGTGCGCACACGTGTTTATCGCTGGGTGTGTTTTTAATACACTGCCTACAGTGTTCAGCTTTGACTAACTCACCACAGACGACAGACTCTTGTTAAGAATCACGTCTTGATGTGTGTTTTATGTGATTACCTGTAGGAAGAATCAGTTGTCAGTTCAGGTAAGAAGGATAATGGTGCCTGGAATTAAAAGAAACAAAGTCAGTTATTTTAATAGAAATGCCAACTTGTCATGGTGTTTTATAAAGTAATGAACTGTTATACCCACACAGTAAATCTCATTGTATGGATCAGAGAAAAAAGGGCATCAAAGGATGTTTAACCTGCACCGGGCAACCACACCAAAGTACATCCATTAAAGTGCTTGTTTTTGCCACAAGATTATGGAAAGGATCCCTACAGAGATAGACCTTTTTTAAAAATCACTACAAGTCACTACATCACTCTTGTCACCAGACTAACTTGACTTAATTTTACCTCTTTGGTGCTGCCTCTGTCGGTTTGTTTGTTTGTGCTATTGTGTGTTTAACAATTTAACATTAAAGTCACACATTAACACAAAGCAACAAAAACAGCAGAGTCCCGCACTGACACAAACACACTAACCAACAGAGGCAGCGGTAGACCAGCAACTCATGTGCTCTGCAAGGTAAAATTACTGTTAATTTTAATTAAGGGCGTCCAGTGGCTTTTACAAGAGCAATTTAGCAATGTTGTTGTTTTACTATCGTAGTTTGTGTGCTTGTTGCTGTGTGTTTGTTATTGTATGGTCTTGGAGTTTTGTTGTGTTTGAGGTATTCATGTTCTGCAGAACAAGAACCTGCTGAAAATCAGTTCTATACTGAGTCAGGCCCAATTGCTCTTAATCTTTTCCTGTTTAAATAAATAAATAAAATAAAATAAATGTTTTCTGGTTAAACAAAAGGAATCTTACTCTTAACAAAAGGTCTATCTGTGTAGGGATCCTTTCCATAATGTTGTCAGACACTCAATCTGAGCTATCAGGCAAAACGTACTTTGATGAAGTGCAATTGCCCGACAGAGTACGTTGCAGCCCTGTCATGTATCATCATTCATCTTACTACATACTGTGCAATTATTATCTATGTTAATTATGTACTGTTAACCAGTGTTAGAAAAGGCTACACACAGGGCCAACATTACTAAGGAAATGGGTCTCAATAAATTTATGAATGTAATCTGCATGTATATAACTCCTGATTTACTAAAGGCAGCAGCTTCCTATGCAGCCAGGGACGAGAGCTTAAGTTTATTTTCTAAGTTTAGAAAATAAATGATAGCAGAGCGTCTTCATCCCAAACTACTGACTTCTTCTGCAGTTTTGTATAATTGAGCACTTATTAGATTGTGTTCATTTATTTGAGTGCTGCAGTCTACTGGTCATGCTGAAATAAAATAGCTGTTCAAAACCTTTTCTTCAGCTGTAATAAGAAACATTAGAGCGCAAACTAACTTCTTCTCTAGCTGCAACTGTTTTGTTTAATTGCTGCTTTGAGTAATTCCATTTTTGATTGATTAAACCATTTTAAAAGAGCTGAAATTGTGCACGACAATAATTTGAATTTACAATATGTTCCTGTTTGCAGTTGTGATACATTACATTTTTTAAAGGGGGGAAACCTCCCATAAATGTCATTCATGGTTTATACGGTTATACGGCTGCTCCTTTCTCACCTTTTTGTCATCCTCAGGCATCTTTGCTTTCAGCTCCAGTTTGACCTCAGAGTCATCTGATAGAGAGAAGAAGTGAAGAATAATGAACACTTGAATGAGGTGAGGTGGTATGTGGCTTTGGGAAATTGATTCATTACTCACATTTTTTGTGTTTCTCAGCTGTGAGCACTTTGTCATTGATCCTGCAGAGAAGAACCCAAGAGTTATGGTTTAATATAATTGTTCATTCTTTGAGTTAACTAGCTTCAGAGTCCTGACACAAGCCGAGCGAACTGAGCGAATGCTTTGCATGGCATCATATCTTCACCACAAAGACTTCAAGGGATCCTCATGTTCTGTGCCTGCATTAGCGGAAATAATTAGTCATTAGTCTAGATCCCATGAAAGGGGGGAAAGGAACACTTTTAAACTGTACTATAAAATCCCATGTCTTCTAAAAAGTAGCAAACTGACACTGTTAACTGTTACTTTACTGCGCCTCTACACTGCAACTCTTCTGTGTTTGGTCACATCCAGTGAAAATTTGGTTGTGTGAATGTGATTGTATTTGTGTTCACAGCAGTTGAATTCTGACAGTCAGATAGATGAAACAACATTATGCGGAGACGATAAACTCTCTTCTGTCTCTTCACATTCTGTTAGCAGCATCTCAAGTTAAGCCGACGCTGACTCACTTTCACAATTTAAAATGAGAGCTGTCACTGATTAATGTTCATTCTGTGAGAAACTTTATAGCACTTGTCTGGTTAAAGCACTGGTTTCTGTACTTGACTAAAGATTGTTTGTGAGGGAAGAAGCTCCACTCTGTAACATCACTGAACAATCAGAGTGGTCCTCATGCATTTCTGTAGTTCCAACAACGCACAAGAGAGTAAGACCCCTTTCTCCAACAGAAACAGTGGTGCTTTGAACACACCATTGTGTCCTGCAAGCGCACCGATTTTTACTGCCTTTTTAACACCGTTGTGTTTACGAACTTGTCGCAGCTGATTGGGTGACACCTGTGACACGCCCACCAAACAGAAGGAAGCATACCTCCAAGCCTGTTGCGAAACATAGCACGCCGTTTCAAGGAAACATGTTCAATCAGAAAACGTTGCAAACCGGTGCAAAATGTTTTTGAACTCGCCCCTGTTCTTCTTAAAGAATCATAACCATCCGCGTAGGAGCCATTATACATGAGGGGGGCATGTCCCCCCCACATTTCAAAATCTGTGTTTTGTCCCCCTCACATTTTTTTGGCGATTTTGGAGTTGGCTCATAGCCAGGAGGTTTGAGTGACTAATTAATCAATCACAGACTCCGCATCAGACATGATTAAACGGTTGAAACGCGGACAAAAATCATGTAGCCTACAGAAAACATGCGACACAACGCAAATGCAGTGCTGAAAAGTTAAGGGGGGGGGTTGCCCGAGGCAGGTGCAGCAAACTGCCTCAATATTGTGTTTATTTTGTGCTGTTCTTTTGCAAAATAAATAAAATAAAAAAGTAATTGGCACCTTTTCACGTTCCTTTTGTAAAACTTACTAAAAGCCTACTTTTACTCTTTACTCCAGTATTTTCTGTGGGCCAGTAATCTATTTTTTAATTCGCTACATTTTCCTTTCATACCTTCATAACTTCACCAGTCTGTAATCTGCAATAGGCTTCATTAACCGAATGAGCTGTCAGCCAGGCTGTGTGCGCGCAGAGACGGCCGCTTATCACAGATATGAATGAGCTGGGCAGATGCAAACATTTAGAAAATCAGGCAAATACCTTTTCAGTTTAAGGCTTTATTGTTCTACTGAAGCAACTGACATCCAGTGAGCCACACCATGGCACTGGCGGCCGTGATGGAAAGCAGCCTGCGCGGCCGGCACCTACTTTCACTTTCCATTAACGGCGCATTATAAGCGTATTTAGTCTCTGCACAGCAAATGTAGACTTCACACTGTAACATCTAAGTCTGATCATTAGATTGATTCTGATATATTAACAGTATCCTGTTGATTCTGATATAATAACAGTAGCCTATCCTGTTGTTGAAAAGAGCATCGCTTTCTTTTGATGCATATTCGCCTGTTTTGTGATGTTTTTTTGTTTGTTATTTCCATAGCCTACTGTTTAACAGCGATGTGTGTCGATAAACAGAATGTCGCCTATGAAACGAATCTTGGCTTTCACTCAGCAGCTACCAGCTGTTATTTATTCAGGAAACAATCATATTGGAGATGCACTGAGAGAGAAAATATGGTGGATAAAACAGTCCTGTTGGGTTTTACGCATGACGCACAGCTTCCTCTGTATGCAGGTTTACCTGCTTCAACAACGAGCAGCTCCGTGTTACTGCCACAATAATTATCTGCGTTGTGAAGATTATTTAGATGCTTCAGGAATAATCAGATTGTTTTGGGTGCCTGTGCTGCTGCAAAGCAAGAGGTTTGAAATAACCATGTTGCAGCTGTTTCCAACCTGATGAATAGCAGATAAAATATATTATAATATTTATACATGAGTAGGGTTGTCATTTTTTTCCTTTTCCTTTTCATGGGAGTAATTGTACTTTTTCTTGAGTAAAGTTTTGAGTACTCTACCTGACACTGGACAGCAGCACCAGTACTAGCGCTGACATGGTGAACATGAGACAGACAGCAGAGAGGAGGGCAAGAGCAGAACAGCCAGCACAGGCCAAAGCAGCAGTTTATGGTCAGATTGATGATGATATGGCTTATTTATTTATCTACTCAAGGGCTCAGCTGAAGTGATTACTTTACTTTAGGAGTGTTAGAGGGATGTTTCTAGTTTTGAAAATGTATTTTAAAGGCGATATATTATATATATTATGATATTCATTTAGTTCTTGTACTCAACTTGCATAAAATTCTCAAGAATGCAGGAATAAAAGTCTCTAAAGACCCAGAGGCCCCAACAAATGCTTTGTCTGTAGAGCGGGCTGACCAGGGACAAACTCCTGGGCCATGTGTTGGCCTCTGTCTGTGACCATGACCATCCTTGACCTTAAAAACATGTGCCATGAGGTGTGCATGTTTCTCTGCTACGTGTCCATAAACAATTGAAAAGTATTCAAAATGTTCACACAGAGACGAGCATCCTGCAGTATTTTAAGAGGAAGAGGTCAGAGGTCACAGGAGGAGAAGTAGAACAAAGTGAGGAGGACGAGCTTCTAAGTTGTATGGATAGCTAGTATTTAAAACTCACATAGTAAAAAGACTTTGTTAGGTTAATAGCATGTCATCAGAGTTTGCATTGAAGACAGTTCTGTGTTCATAAACATTTGTTGCAGGGAGAGTCAGGGCCAAGTGAGACAAAGGAAATATCACAGACAGCTCACAAGTGTATAAACTAATACATTTGTACTGTGGCTACATTAACTAGGAGCTGTTGCATGGTTTTTAAATGGTATATAGTCAGTTTTGTTCTAGTTATATTATACTCACTCTCTCTGACCCTCTTCCTCTCCGAGTTTTCATAATCTCCCCTCTCCAGTCTATTCTCCATATTCTACTACTACAAGACCCACTTTTAGCCACACTAACAAGTACAATTTGTTTTCAAAAGTCATTAGAAATTAGCATTTAAGTACTTTATTTCAAATAAAAATCGGGGGGCCATTTCAGGGACCCCCCCCCCCCCCATGTTCACAGTCGCTCCTACGCTCCAGGAAATTCTGATCATTAAACACTTTTCCTGCATTCTGGTGAAAGTTTCTGCACCAATTTATGGTGGAAATGTTTTTATTTATGTGAAAGGCAACACAAAGTTCAGGTGGCAGGTGAAATTTCAAAAGACATAAATAGAATATAAGTCAGTGCAGTGTTTCATTTATTATTTAACTGCAAGCTATATTTCAGAAAGCTTTGTAGCAAATTATGCTTTCAAAAAGTGGTGGGGACAAAATCAGCCATTTGAAAAAGTGGTGGCGACATGTCCCCAGTGTAAATGACACCTATGCAGATCCACAATTTTAAAAGGATTCTGATCAGGATCCTGGCTTAAAAAATCTGATCGAGACATCCCTAGTGTATGTAATATAACAGAACTGTGTTATAGTGTAGGTTATCAGGTATTATTTAAAACTGAATCATCCTCAGGTCAGTTACTTAGTGTCTGAGGGGCCAGGATCATCACGGAGGACTGGAGGTTTTCGTTTAGGCCGTACTGGAGACTCTGATCTGTCCTCCTCTTCCTTCAAATCACTCATCTTCTCAAATCAGAGACCTGAACAAGTAACACTGGAGACACAAAGAGAAACACAGTAAAATAAAGTCAGTACTCCACCTCTCAAGTTGGTAGCTTCTTATGTATGTTCCGTTAGGTTTATCAAAACCATGTGTTTTTACATAATGATACGTGTTGACTGGTTTAATCCAACGAATAAGTCTTCAGACAGACACTGTATAGTTCTGTAGCTCTCGTCTCTCCCCCATGTTATGTAGCTGTGAGAGAAACCGGGAAGTAACAAGGAAACAACACCTTTTAGTGCTGCGTTTCAGACAATTCAGAAACTTCCAAACACCACTCAAAGTCAGAGTTCCCACTTTTGGGGCAAATCCATCTCCCCGGACTTCATGAAGAGGAGTCACACAACAATCAAATCAACTAAAAGGCAACATAAAGTATATATTACCTGTATTTAAATTAAAACAATACCAACAGTCATATAGTAAAACCTGTTCTGTATGTAAACTGACTAAAACCTACACCATATTGCCAAAAGCATTAGGCCAACTTGCTAGTCAATAGTTACAAACCTCCAAACGTCGTGTAGCCTTTGGATTAGCTCAAGAACAGTGCACAGAGAGCTTCATTGAATGGGTTTCGATGGCCGAGCTGCTGCATCCAAGCCTTACATCATCATGTGCAACTCAAAGCATCGGATGCAGTGGTGTAAAGCACGCCGCCACTGGACACTTGAGCAGCGGAGACGTGTTCTCTGGAGTGACGAATCACGCTTCTCTGTCTGGCAATCCGATGGACGAGTCTGGGTTTGGCGGTTGCCAGGAGAATGGTACTTGCCTGACTGCTTTGTGACAAGTGTAAAGTTTGGTGTGGGGGTGTTTTTCAGGGCTTGGCCTCTTAGTTCCAGTGAAAGGAACTGTTAATGCTTCAGCATAACAAGACATTTTGGACAATTTCATGCTCCCAACTTTGTGGAAACAGTTTGGGGAAGGCCCCTTCCTGTTCCAACATGACTGCACACCAGTACACAAAGCAAGGTCCATAAAGACATGGATGAGCAAGTCTGGTGTGGAGGACTTGACTGGCCTCCACAGAGTCCTGATCCCAACCTGATACTTGGGATGAATTAATGCGAAGCCAGGACTTCTCGTCCAACATCTGTGCCTGATCTCACAAATGTGCTTCTAGAAGAGTGGTCAAAAATTCCCATGAACACAGTGCTAAACCTTGTGGACATCCTTCCCAGAAGAGTTGAAGCTGTTATAGCTGCAGAGGGCGAGCCAACTCCATATTAAACTCTACAGATCAAGAATGGGATGTCATTAACCTTCATGTAAATGTAAAGGCAGGTGTCCCAAAACTTTTGGCAATATAGTGTATGTTACCAAAGTTATCAGGTAGCTGGGTACGGTAAACGATCCAGGTAAACTCTGAAAGTCATCATCTCTGCACCAAAGTTGTTCAGGAAAATGTTAAAGATGCTGTTAAAAGCAGATGTTTTCTCCTGCGTTCTCTCCAGGTGCTAACAGGATGACCTACCTGTGCAGCCTGGCCTTGCTGCTCGTTGGTCAAACAATCATGCCCGCCCCCTCAATCCCTCTCTCTGATTATGCTGTTGCATTCTGTTTGAACACAGGTGTAAAGAAAGGTATGGGAGGTTGCACATTAGCTAAGTTTGGTTTTACATTTTCAAAGCTCACACTAGTTCACTTTCGTCTATAAATACTACATTTATTGGTTGGTGCAGCTTTTGTTGTTCTTTTTTGTTGTTTCTAGTGGTGTAGGCAATTGTTTTTTTACCTCCATTTTATTTGCCACAATCAACCCTGTCCAATCCTCCCTCCCACTTTTTATTTAAACCCTTGTTGTATATTGTATTAACTTCTGAATAAACTACCTTTTAGTTGCCACTAGGGATGTCAAATCATTATTTCTTCCAAGTTAAAAGGCTGACTTTTGGTTTTAGAAGAAACCTGATGGTTAATTGAGGTTTTAAACTCTTCTTTATGATCAGAACATGACAAAAACCTGCCATGAAAAACTACAACTTAAAATATGCCTGAGTAAAAATCTTTTTTTCAGTTCCTTTTCCTCAACAAAATAAATATCTTAATAAAAAAATGAAGTGCTATTTTGTTCATAATTCAAATGAATTAAATCAAACTTTTTTTGCAACTATACAGGCCTATAGAATATTTGTTATATTGTTATTGAGAAAAATTATATTGCAATAATTATCATTATTGATTTATTGCCCAGCCTAGTTGTCACTGCCACTTTAACTGGATTTCTTCGGTTGTCTTATTGTCTTCTCTTTCATTTCTTAAAAAGAGACGTAACAATACCAAAACATTAGAAAATATAGCTACAACAGGAACAACTTGTATTTATCTCATTGGTTTCCATTTAAAATGCTCTTTCTACTTAACACCATCCTTTACAAAGAAGCAGCACTTTCTCACGGTCAGACACGTCTGTTGTTTATGTTTGGCGTCATGCAACTGGAACGCTTTGAAGTCGGAAGATCCCACCTCAAAATGGGACTCGAACGCAGCACAGGTCGGACACTGAGGTTTCGGTTCGGCTGGTAGTTTTCTGACATGCGGTACAACAGACTACACAGAATCAGCACAGTGATCAACAGTGTAATGCAGTAACACTCACCCCGCCTTCTGCTCTGTCGAGTGTAAAATGGAGTCTGAACAGACCTTTTCTCTCTGCTTCTTCCCTGTTTGCTACTCCTCCCTTTCACCCAAAAAAATCGAAATCAGCTTTATTGGCCAGGCAGGAACGGGCCCCTGGAAGTGACATGGACTGGGTCTATTTGTTTTGTAAATCGCATGCTTTTGTTGGTACGAACAATAAAAAAATAAGGACAACGAAGCTGAACAAAGATAAAATAAACATTTTACAAACTAAAGTCTATGTGACTCCTGAGATGGTTGGTAAAAAGCAACACAACAAATGTTTACATATATACAAGGTAAACTGTTTCTGTAAATTATAAAAAGAATTCAGGATATAAGGCACGCATTACATTACACTGAGCAATGATACTGTGTAGGCTATTTATATTATATTATATTGTAATTTGTATAATTTGTGTCTTGCCGAGACAAGATTAGCCTACTAATGAGTTTTAAAACTCTCCAGTTCATGAACTGACGTGAAAAAAGCCCAAACATGTCAATTTATTTTACAAACTGAGACTTTTTCTTCCGTTTAAAGTACTCATAACTTTATACAAGTTTTTATTTGAGCCTCATCAACATTAAATGTAAAAAATCTAAACTAAATGTAAAAAATCTTTCGACCACTCAAAGCACTTTTACACAACATCTGCATCCACACACTGAGCCTAAGTGCTCAAACAGAAACTAACATTCACACACTGAGCCTAAGTGCTCAAACAGAAACTAACATTCACACACTGAGCCCAAGTGCTCAAACAGAAACTAACATTCACACACTGAGCCTAAGTGCTCAAACAGAAACTAACATTCACACACTGAGCCCAAGTGCTCAAACAGAAACTAACATTCACACACTGAGCCTAAGTGCTCAAACAGAAACTAACATTCACACACTGAGCCTAAGTGCTCAAACAGAAACTAACATTCACACACTGGGGCTCTGCGGGGTTCAGTATCTTGCCCAAGACTGATGAATAATGGTAACTAATTACTGTCGCGATATACTTCTCCAAGTTATTTGTGCCATTTCATGGTCCAAGGTAAACTGACGGCTACATTCTCACTGAATGTAATATTTTCACAGCGTCTCTATATTGTATAATGAAGTACATGTGCTCAACAACGGACTCTGTTACTTAGCCTATTCCAATTCACTCCACCTTGCATATAAGACGAAGAAAAAACATCTTATAAGGGATAAAAACCGTAAAATGTAGGTGCTTTAGTGGTTTTGCAGAGGTCCGCAGCTTTGGAATTTATTATTCTATAAAAATGTCTTTGTCTGCGTCAGCTTTAAAAATGAGCTTAAGATAGCAGTTACTACTAAAATATGTTCAAGCTTTAATCCTCTAAACGGCTGGAGAGTTTCTTTCCGCTCTGACATCCATTTAAACTGTCGGCTTATTTCCATCTGCCAAATGATTCTACTTATTATTTAACCAAAACTAGACTGATGTAATGATACGTAATGATATTTGTAGTTAGGATTAGGGAAGTTTAGCTCATCTGTATGTCTGTTAGAGATGATACTGCATGTACTTTATTTATTTGTTGTCTTAATCCAGACAATATATTAGTACTTGTAATATATGTCTACTATTTGGTAAGTGTCTGGTCCCCTATATACGAGCTTCATAAAGCTTACCAGGGTGTCCCTTTTCACATATCTGCATCATTTCTTATGATTTTACTTGTTTTGAAATGTTTTTTGAATAAACTAAATTTATTGATTGATTAAAGGCAACAGTTTCCTGACTGTGGACATGTAAAGGGCAGGTGGCACCAGAGATTTTCTCTACAGCTCTGACTGCTGCTGTCGTCTGTTTGGATCCCACAATCTCCCAGGACCATAATGTTGGGTTTAGGAGAAGGAGATGAGAAGATATTTTAACAGTGTTTTGAAAAATCTTCAGTGTTGGATAAGACTCCCCCAGAAAAGTCTTGAGCATTAAACTTCGGTAAAATTTTCTGCATCAATTTACGGGGAAATGTTTTTATTTTATGTAAAGTGAAATACAAACACACATTTCAAAACAGAATATAATGCAGTAAGACCTCCTGTCATGTTCACAGGGAGAGAACGTTTTTTCTTAACAATTTTAAAAGTTTTTCTTAACAACTCAACAATTATGTAAAAAAAAATATTTAAGCTTTCAGTATCATGTTTTTCTCATATTCCTTATTACATAATATTACATTTACACCCTGGTGTGTTTTACAACTAACCCAGACTATGGGGTAAATTGTAATGTTTTACTCCTTGTGTTTGAGACTACACCATGCATTTTCTGTCCGTGTTGTAGGGATAACAGTAACACCATTTAATAGCAGACACATGTAACTAGTTCTTATCACATTTTGAACATACAGGCTTAAAAGAGCTCGAAGATACAGACAGAAATGTCAAAACGGTCACAACCACCCCAGTCTACCCTACTCCATCAACCACTGCAGTTTATTGTTAGTATTATTATTATTATTATTATTATTATTATTATTATTAGCCTAAGCCAAAGTCTGCTAACCACTTTCTACAAGACTGCTATGTCGCCAGTAGCAACAGGAGAGGGCAGTAATGCAACGTTCACGAGTTAAACCTACCAATGACAACACGAAGAAGAATAACGTCAGCAGTCTCTGGTCCAATCAGTGGGTCGGTCGCAGCGGTAATCCCCGCCCCCCAGATAAACCGCCATCATGAAATCAAAAACAAGAAACTGACAGATGAGACGCAGTTCGCTGGTTCGCAACCAGGTAAAGTTTTATCTTCTCACCTAACGTCAGGTAACTAGCAGGATATTTGGTGACATTCACGTGGAGTTTGTTACATCGCTTCATCAGCTTGTAAATGAGTCATATCGTTATTTCTCTGTAATTACCGTACAAGTGCGAGCGAACGTCACAAACATTACGGCAACGTCAGCTACTGTTAGCAAGCAAGCGGCTATATTAGCTGTCTACTCCTATGCTCCTAGCAAACGTTAACGCCTCGGTTTGGCGTTTTAAACTCTTTATAAACAAACCGAGAAAAAACAGGGGTGGCACAGAGAAGCGAATGTGGAAGTTGTAGTTTATACCTGAGCCTGACAGCAAGCTAAGTTAACGGCGGTAGCAACAGCTAACGTGTTTGAACGGCGAGATGTTAAAGTTACCGCCAATCCGCACGGACGTTTATTGTGAAGGACCGAGCGACACATCAACAGCATCAGCCCGGACAGCATGGAGGACAGGTGATATATGGATAGGAAGCCGAGTGTTTATTAAGAAATGTTGAAAGGGCTGTCTTGCACAGACACGTTGGGAGTGAATTTGAGAGAAAAACCTTTTATTGTAAGTGGATTCACGGGAAAGTCAACCTCAGTGCTAGCTATAGTGCGTCTGTCCAAGCTGCCAGACTCCATTGACAATTCTGTCCTTTTTATGGACGAAGGCTCCTACCTGGTAAAACACAACTTCACACTGCCTAATTTTGAAACTGAATTAATTATTAGAAGCCAAATTACTGTTCGGGACTCGTCTAATACATCAATACTTTATGATGAACTTAACTAAAAGAAGATTAATATCTGCTGATGTTGTTGAAAGATCTGTAAAATGCTAGCAAGTGGATTTCTGAGTTTTGATTTTGTCAGAAAATACTAATCAAAACAAATTTTTTTTACTTGAAGCCCTCAAAGATGCATATTTAACCATAGGTCAAGATAATATAACTCTTTAAATAAAAGCATGCCCTCTTGCTTACTGCAGAATTGTGACAGTTACTACCCAGCCAACTGTGCAGATATATTTTTCCAGTTATTCAGTAATTTAATACACATTGTAAAGAATAAAAGCACTTTATTTCTGTGCATGTCATGGAGATCAGAGTTGTGGTTCTTAATTCATCTCTGAATAAAAGGCTCTATAAACACTTGTGTATGTGTGTATCCTCTTTCTCTTGTTAGGATAAATTAATACTCGGACAGGCGGAGCCAGTGCAGATATGAGTGAAGTGGCTGAGGAAGCAATGGACAGCTCTGCGGTGTCTGAGGAAGAAGTGGAGGACCAGCAGGAGACGTCACAGGAAGACCAGTCGAGTGTTAACAAAAGCTCCTCCAAGATATCCGGTAAAGGTTTACTCCCTCTGTTTATGTATTCTTCCAGCTAAAATAACACTTGTCAGTGAAGAAATCCATCTGTGGTCGTTGTTCAAGTTCAACAACTTTATTTATCCCACAAGGGGCAATTTGTTTAGTTAGGTTGGACCTGTAATGTCACTTTACCACACTTAATAAATTACTCCAGTGTTTGACAGCGCTAATTCCTTAACATTGTCCCAATCACACAGTGTGCGGTCACCTGTTAAATCTTGGTTGTCACAGTTTATAAAATACCTGTTAGGATAAAATTTAACCAGGCTTAGTATTAATATATTCTGCTGTACAGTGTTGTTGACTTCAGTTCATTATAGGTGATCAGTGCAAAGTTCTGGTGGCTCAGGAACAGGATTTTTATTGTTCAGCCACTGCTCAGTCGTCAACTTAAAGAAACCAATAATGCAGATTTATTTTTCATTCATTCTCACTCAGCTGCAGGTGAAATCATTGAGGGTAAGCGGGCGAAGAAGACAGTCGAGAGGCTCGATTTCCAAGCGCCGAAGCAAAAGGAGAAGATCAAGATTGGAGAGGGTAAATATTTACTTTTAAGCAATAGATTGTGCGATATGAATATTTTTGTCCCTTCAGGATTTCGTCGGCCTTTTCTATGATTGTTGCAGTCTAAAATTCCTGATTTTGCTTCAGATTTTCAACACAAAAAAAAGTATGAAATTGTGGGACTAAGTGAAAACTGCAGGTTTTAGATGTGATATTTCTACCTTTACAATTATAGTTGAATCATTAAACAGTCCCTCCAGGATGTGGCGGGCCTAACCCTAACCCTGCATATTTAAACCAGTTTACCGTGATTCTTTCTTGCAGCTGACCGGGATGCAGCACCCTGTGTCTTATCTGTCGTCCTCCATGTGTTTCTTGTGCCATTCTCACCGTATGTTTTGCAGCGGCAAAGTGTTTGTCAATATATGATTTCCTTTATGTTGGACCACAATACTGAATTTTCTGCAGAACAGTTTCCTCGCTTTGGTAAAGAAGATCTCGATCCTGGTCTTCACGGTCCTTTACTGTTATTTTTGTAGGCAAATGTGAGACGTTGGTATGACACATGTTTGCTGCGTCTTCTAAACAATGAAGTTAGTTTGCTGATGTATAACATTATTTTACGGGAAAAGGTGAAGATGGGTCACATATGCGGAAAAACTGCGATGATTGGTCAAAATTACAAATTGCCCTGAAATTGTCGTTGATTTGTTGAATTTGTGTTAATAGTTGCGATTGTGAAATTCCTAGAGGGACTGATATTTGTCATTTAAAGATAAATTATTTGTGCAGGTATGTGTATGAAAACTGTTGACTTGTTTGTTTTTTGCATATTTTCAGGTAGCGGAGATAAATTAGGAGACATTCCACGCACCGGCTACCAGATCACCAAGATGAAGCCCGCTGACCTGAAACCTCTGCACGTCATCCTGTTTGACAGACCAGGAAAGGTACGAACATAGACATGCAGGCAGAGACATGAAGGTTAATGATAGTCTGTATTTTCTTTTTTTATTACATGATTTATCATTGTGATTGGTCAGCATGAGCAGGCAGCATCGGGAGGTTTTACTTTGTGTTGTTTTTATGTGTGTTTAGCATAAAATGACCACAAACATACATTTTGTTTCACAACCTCGTGTTTTAAACTGGCCATTAAATCAACCCTTCAGTGAGAAACTGTTCATTTAAAAACTTGATATAAATGCGCAGTGGAATATTTGTGCTGAAGTCCAACGGCTCTTACTAAGGATGTGACAAGACCCGATACTTCGTTAGCAAGTAGATGCCAAAATTCTGAAAACATGACGGTACTCCCTTTTTTTAGTACCGTAGGTATCGGGGATCCAACAAATATCATCAATAACTTTTTGGTTTTCAACATAGAAATCTCAAACCACTGCCAGTATAGATATGACCCCCCTTAAACATTTCACACCTGAGAGTTTGTAAAAATAAAAGTTAATTAATTAAGCACAGTGCAAGGTTGTAATTTCAACAGCTTGCAATTTATGAATATACTGACATAAAACCACCTCATCTGTCCTGGACATCCTCTCACAGCTTTCACAGCTGTTAGCTGTTCTTTGTAATGTTTAAATGTTTTTATTAAAGCTGTATTTTTTTGAGAACATGGATTTTATTGTTTTGTTTTTTTACTGTGGTATCGAATTTAGTATTGAGAATCGTGGAATTTCACTGGTGTCTGTATGGAATACTACATTTCTGGTATCTTGACATTCCTAGTTGTTACACCAGGCTACTACCACCTCTGCTATAAATAAAACTAATCTATATATTTGCAGTTAACAGCAGTTAACTTTTTGTTTGCCCCTTTTAACAGATGGCCACATTAAAGAAGAACTTGCGTCTGTTTAACGGCTTTCCTTTTGACGCAGACAGCGAACAGTACACCAAAAAACGTGAAAAACTTCTCAAGTAAGTTTTTGGGCAGAGACGGAGAGAAAGAAGTGGAAGTGATTTGGGTTTTCTTTTTCAAAAAGATAAAAAACGATGAATTAATAATTTCTTTTAGAAATGTATGCTGATTCTACTGATCAAATCTCAATTCTAGTTCCAACCCCTTCACCACAGATCTTGTCAGCGCTCAGTGACCTTCATCCTCTTCCTCCTCGCTCATCTCCCCCTTCATGGCTAAAGTGAAAGGAGTCTCTGTCCTAGAGGGGCGTCTCTGGGGACTCGTCTCTAAGAGAAATATCTATTGAATCATTTGTAGCCATCACTGGTTTCCCTTCAGTATAAAAGGTGTTTTGTACCTGAGACGTTGCTACTGTTAGCGTTACCTGGATCTGGGGCGTCACTGTAGCTGGGAGAGCGTGACACGTTGAACACAGTGAAGCGTTCCTTCAGATTCACGCCGTGTTGAAGTAAAAGCTTCGTCATGTTGGAGCTGCTTCCTGCCTCGCACCAAACCTCCTTACTGCAGCTGGTGCATTTTGTTGCATCTCTGTTTTAGTGAAGCTAAGCCAAACTTTGGAGCGTTTGCTGCGGTCCGCCATGGTCCAGGACTGGAAACAGAAGGACTCTCTTCTTCATGCTTTGTTCACATAACAAATGAGTAGGGATGCAACAATTACAGATTCAGATCATAGTCAGAGGAATAATCACGGTTTTACGATTATTATGCATTAATTAATTTCACAAAACTAGTATTGACTTACATTAATTAATTAATTAATAATAATAATATTTCTATATTATCTAAGTATTATTAATATAAGAGGAATATTAACTTAATTTATCCTCCAGGGGAAATTGTTATTAAGGAGGGGAATAAACTGATCTGTTACTGTCATCAACTCTCATTCACACGTATAAGTTTTAGTGAAAATAATGGAAAGAAATTGAGAACATCTCTCATACAGTGTTATTAAAAATGTGAGTCCTGAAAGTCTATAAGCTGCTGATGTTATAAATGTTAGTGTTTTACAGCTGGCAACAGTTTCTCAACACAGACAGAAGGAGGCAGCAGGATGTAGCGTTAAATGTTCAGTGACTGAAGGTCTTGAGAGGACTACGTTCTGTCTTCCATAAAGGCCCTTTCAGAAGCTCGCCGTGCAGTGCATGTTGCTCGACACAGCAACAAACTGCCCTGGCATGGCGCAAACAATTGAAAATAATGAGCCTCATAGCGCAGCGGTGCTGTAGTTGCAGTGGGTCTGAAAGGTTACATGCTGCTTTGTTTGTTTACGTTGCACTGAAAGCTAGACTCTGGACAGTGACACGTTTATATTTAATTCCCTACCAACTTGCCACATTATTTAACTCCGTTATTATGTATTACCTTTACTTGGGTGTGCAAAGCTGGGTGGTGATCCTGCAGGTGCTGCATCAAATTTGATGTAGTTATTTGCTCTTTTAGCAGCAACCTTTTTACGGCAAGTGTTTGACGGTGTTCCGTCATCTTCCCTGGTCAGACTTTGGTGGAAATAAATCTTCACAGTTTGGCCCCTCTGCCAGAGTTTAGCCAGTGTGCAGTAGCCTCTGATAAGCATGACACTTAAGCTGGTGCACTGCTCATGTCACTTTGGTTTCGTTTTGTGCAAGTTGCCACAGTTTCGTTCCGTGCAACAGAAACACACTCTGTGTAGTGGAGCCTTTACGATTAATTAACCGTGACTTTTTAAAGTGCGGTTAACAGTGAAATCCGGTAATCGCTGCATCTCTGCAAATAAGGTGACGTTAGGTCGGCATAGCAGGTCCTGGCTGATCAGAGACACTTTGATGGAGTGTAAAATGCTCACTGCAGTTCAGTCAGGAGCTGAAATATGCAGGTACTGAGAAGCAGAATCCAAACGCACTGGTCGTAATGAATCCACAGTTCTTGGACATTTGGTACCGATTCCAACTTGATACCCAACCCTAATGAGGCTAGTGGATTTACCCCCTGATGTATAAATGTTAATACTTTGTAAATATAAGATATAGTGTGTGAAGTGAAAGGAAGCTTGTTCTCAGAGGTAGAAAGACCATCGTGATGAAGCGCTGTCACAAACTGAAGACTGAGCTTAACTTACAGTAAGTATTGTCTTTTCCTTTTCTTGTCTTCTTTTTAAATGCAGGAATTCACATTTTACCAACACCAAACTGAAAGCTGTCTGTGGTGTTTTGGATCTGGAGAAGAAAGGAACCCACTCAGACCTGGTCGACAGGATCCTGAATTTCCTCATCGCACCAAAAAACAGCGGAAAGGTGGGCTTTAGTTCATCGTTTGATAGCTAGAGAATATTTTTAATAGAGAATAGTTTGTAATCTTGGACACCTTTACTCCTACTAGAACATACTCTTAAATTTAATAGAACTGTAGAGGACTCTTAAGTAGAACGTATATGACTGCAGGACAGGAACCGAGATGAGAACACAACCTCAGAGACCTGTTCTAGAGTGATTGTACAAAATATACAGTTTTTAACAGTTAGTTTTAACCTACTATTTTGATTTTTTTGCATTCATTTGGGATACTAACAAACATCAAGCTTAAAACTGGCACAGATTTTGTTTTAAATTCACTTTCCATGCATCTGCATTGTCTACGCAACGTGGTACCAACCTCGTTTACCTCGTCCACCAACCGTTTAGCTTTCTTTTTATTTCCATTTCAGCCAAAATTTACGATGGCGTAAATGGGCTAAATTGCTGAGCCGGGGCAGGGGAGGATATATTCAGAGATTAAAGTGGTACATTTTACGAGAGGAAAAAAACCCTCTTTCAAATGTGCTTGTGTCACTCACAAACTTGATCCAAATTATTTGTCCACTGGGGAAGTTTCCTCTCCTTCAAAAAGTAGCTGCTCATCCTTTTATGTTGGCAAAACTAAAACCGCTGTTTGTCCTTTGGCAGCGTCTGCCAGTGAAGAAAAAGAGGAAATCAAAGAAGAAACTGTCCGGAGACGACTCGAAGGCCAGCACCAAGAAGAAGAGCAAACCCAAACCGAGGAGCTCGTCGTCCAGTCCCAAGAAGTCCAAATCGGGAAGCAAGTCCAAAGCCATCGTCATGGACTCGAGCAGCGACGAGGACGACGACGAGGAAGATGAGAAGGCGGGGGCTTCGGCCGAGGCTGAGGGATCAGATACAGAGGACAAACCGTCGGACAAAGAAGAGGACCAGTCTGAAAAGTCAGAGGAGTCCGCAGGCGAAGAGGAGGATGAGGATGAAGATGATGAGGTGAGGTTGTCTAGACTGAGCACCAAACTATAAACTAGTTTTTCTGTAAATCCCCAAATAATCTAACTAGAACTGAAACAATAAGTCGATAAATTAAATGGAAAAAATGAATCTGCAACTGCTGAGTGATATAAAATTAGAGGAATTTATCAAGCAAACACACCAAACATTCACTAGTTTGTTTATTTTGTTTGTTCATGTGACAGTAAGCGGAATAACTTTGTGTTTAACACTTCTGAAAGCATCGCCTTGAACTTCCAGAAATTGTGACGAGCATTTTTAGCTTCTTATTTTTGAAACTAAGTGATTAATGCATATGATTTTTATTTGCAGGTCTAATGTTAGATGTAATTATTTAGTCGTCATTTCAGTTTTTAATCCACAAACATTTTGTGTCAGTCTCCCAAATCAAAGTCAGGCAGAGGGAAGTCTGCTCCCAAGAAGTCAGCACCAGTGAAAAGACAGAGGACACCAGCGAAGAAGACTGGTCCTCCTAAAAAGAGAGCGAAGAAGGAAGTTTCAGAGGAGTCTGAATCTGAGGCCGACAGCGAAGCTGATGAAAAGGTAAAACTGAGTCTAATGCAGTGGTTCTTAACCTGGGGGTCCGGACCCCCCCGGGGGCACTGTTTAATCCAGTAGGTGGCGGTAATGCAAACAGCCGCCAAAGAAGAATCTGGCCCCGACCAGACAGAAAGCGCTTTGCAGGTTTGAAAACGCGAGGCAACAGCAAAGCTTTTTTTGGATGAGTTTAGAAAAGAGAAAGCGCTGTGTTTTTTAATGTTGCTAGGCAACCACCGAATCAGCTGTCTTGTCAGTCTGATCAAAGGTTTTAGCGCCAGCGATCTGTAATCTTTGGTTTGCCACTAAGTAATAACGGTCATATTAGCAGAAACCTGAGCACAACTCACAGGTCTGTCTTTAGTTGCTAAAAACATCTGCTTTAAAAAAAACAAACAGAGGGCGCCTGCTCTGGCACTGTTTTGAGTGTGTGAGGTGTACAAACAGCCAGGAGACAGGAGACATCTGAAAGATGGTCGGTTTAAGGCTTATCTTTGGATGAGTCTGGGACAGACGGTTGCAGTCTCTGGACAATCCAAGCAACTGTGAACTTCCATCAGCACAACTGAGGGCCCGTCTCTCCATTCATTAGATTGGACAATGGGGGGGTTACACGAATGACGTCGGGCACAAGTGGAATTTTTTTCAACTTGGTGTGCTCAGAGCGCTCATTCAAAATCACAAGGCGCAGCAGGCAGCCAAAACGCGAGGTGCCCAGGGCGCATAGAACGCTCACTGACAATAGAATATAATTTAAAAAAGGCGCCTCTCACTGCTCTAATGCAATTTAAAAAAAAAACATTTTAGTAATCTTGTCCTTCTCCCTCCTCAACACTTGGTCAAGTTTGGCTCTCGAATGTCTCGTGATGTTGTTGAGCTGACTAACCCTGTCGAATGTTTTACAGCCCAAAAAGAAGAAATCGGCTCCAGTCAAACCTGCCGCCAAAACCAAGAAGGCAGACAGTAGCAGCAACAGCAAAAACAACACAAACACAGGTGAGCTCATGCTAATCATGGCGTCACAGATCAATATTGATAATTGCAGTTTTCTGCTTACCATATTGATAATTGTTTAGTTTCAACTCACTGACAAGCCTGCAGATGTGTCCGCAGACACTTTCTGTTTATTGGCCTCAGGAGTGCAGGTATCAGATCATGAACTCAAAATGCCAGATATCAGTCTGTCGCTACTTTACTGTATGTGTGGAATAACGGGCATTAAAAATATGTGCTTCTACTCATCGTGTGGCTATAAGAACTAGAAGAAAGCTTTTAGTGAGTTGGAAACCTGTGAGAGAGTTTCAAAGAACTTCTTTATTGGATGGACAACAGGAGTTACAGGAGGCGTTTTACTACAGCCACTTCCCCTCATTGTTCTGTTTCTGCCTGCAGCGGAGGACAGTTCAGACGACGACGAGCCGCTCATCAAGATGATAAAGAAAATGCCGAGCGACGAGCAGCTGAAGGAGACTGTGCAGAGTCTGCTGAAGGAGGCCAACCTGGAGGAGATGACCATGAAACAGATCTGCCAGAGGGTGAGAATATCTGTATGACTCATCCATCCGCATGATGCTATCGTAAACCCAGTCAGGTTGCGGGGGCGATGACGATCCGAGGCTGGTCGGAACAGATTATCAGCCCAAATGATCCTGTAGTGTGAGGGCTTTAGAGACAGAATCTTAAGATCTCTGACCGGATCAGAAACCCGCAACAGCCAATAAGCAGCGTGTTGTGTATCTGTTTATAAAATGTATAAACCAGCGTCGAGTTCGTCCAGTTAAATTCTTTATTTTATTTATTCATTCTTTTCTGACCAAAACATGGCGCACACAACTAGCTGACGACAATAGTCTGCCTCCATGTTTGCCTGACTTCACATTTGATCACGAGAGTTTCTGTGAGAAGTTCCTGGAACTGCCACGCTGACATTGTTTAGTATCAACGCAGCGTGCGGTCCTGCGTTTTGACTGAATCGTCCGGTGTGTGCGTTCTTATGATTTAAAATATTAAACATCTGTTAAATCTGCCGTTGTCTGCTTGTCCCCCGTTTTTAGAATCTGTTGATATTTTAGCATGTTACAGCTGGTAGACAATAACTGGTGCACTGCTAAAATGTTCCAGGTGCTGTTTCACACGGGCAAGTAGACGACCTAAATGAACTATTTTGACAATAATTGTTTGGTCACAGGGCGTACAGGGCGGAGTGTCTCGTACTGAAAGGTTCGGGCAACCACACGTACTCTTAGACCCATAGTATATTATATTATTTTACCTAATAATTTAATTTGTCTAATGGAAAATAACTCTTCCTTCCTGTGATTTAGGTGTTTGACACCTACCCAGACCACGACCTGACCAGCAGGAAGGACTACATCAAACAGACCGTCAAATCTGTGAGTGTAAACACACACACACACACTCTCTCTCACTTATTTAGCAGTTCATATGAGCACAGACCTAAAGCAACACTGTGCTGCCTTCATGGGACGCTCGTCATTCTGGTGTTTTTATGTTTTTTACGTCATTGGATCAAGTTATTTACTGATAAAGTTTGCTATTGACCATTTACACATTTTCTTGTGCTTTAAAATGACATCAAAATGAATTCAGGAGGTGTAAAAATGTTTTTAAACTGAAAGGAAATTGGGTCAAATATTTTGTTTGTTTTGTCTGTGTGTAAAAATGTACAGTTCAATTGTGTTTGCTGTATTTACTGTCTCACTTTTACCCTCTTGTCTCAGATTTCCTTGATGCACTAAAAGCTCTTGTATTAAGGTCATTTAATTAGGCATTTAATCAACAGGTTATCAACAACCATTGTGATTGTTGAGGTCTAAACCTTTTGATTCCAGTTTCTCCAGTGTGAGAATTTACTGCTTTTTTCTCTTTTTATATCAAAGTAAACAAAATATCTTATATACTGTTGGTCAGATGAAATGACATTTTCACTGACTTTTGACATTTTATAGAATAAATAATTAGTCACTTGACATTCATAGATGAAGAAAATAAGACTTAGTTGCTGGGAAATTGTGCACCAGGTCCCTTCAGTACAGTGTGCTGAAATATTGGACAATTATGGGACTGAAATCTGCGCTACAGGAAATTAAAATGAAATGAGCAGTTACTGCTGGTCTCCAGCAGAGGTTGATAAAGGATCACGTCATGACAGTCAGAGAAAGAAACACAAAGTGAACAATCAATAGGAAGTGACTGTGGAAGGAAGGAAAGGAGCAGATAAACAACAGAGATGAACTAAGCAGCTGCAACAGACGTGTTCTTCACCTCAGCAATGCATTGAGATTTTATAACTCTGGAAGTTTTTTGTTTTGTTAAACTCTTCTCTGAATTTTCCCAGTAAAAGTTTGTAGCTGTTGAATCCTTCCAGAAGAACACTTTCTGCTGATCAAACAGAATGCATACTAAACACTGTACATTTTCTGGTGGGGGAGGAAAAAATGACAAGAAATTGTGGGTGATGGTGCAACTGCTCCACAAATATCTTTTATTTAACCCATGGTTGACCAGGTAAGACCCGTTAAGATCAGGAATCTCTTTTACAAGGGTGACCTGCCGCACCATTCATCATCAGATTTAAAGTCCGACATAGAGATCAGTTCTGTTCGTTTCGAGTCTTTTTGTAGGGCGTTCCAGGCGAGGGGAGCAGAGCACATAAAGGCTTTTTTTCCCAGTTCAGTCTCTCTGTACACCAGGAACTGAGAACAAGACCCGATCCTGTGATCTTTAAAGGTGTGTGTGTGTGTGTGTGTGTGTGTGTGTGTGTGTGAATACAAAATAAAATAATAATAATATTTTTTTATAAAAATAAAAAAAGTAAAACTGTGTGTGTGAGAGTATGTTTAGAAAATTAAAAAAAATTATTTAAATTTAATATAACTGTGTGTGTGTGTGTGTGTGTTTGAAGAAAAACAATTAAAAATTTATATAAACTGACAATGTATGTTAAAAAATTAAAATAAAATGAATAAATAAAACCGTGTGTGTGTGTGTGTGTGTGTGTGTGTGTGTGTGTATATATATATTAATAAACAATAGCTACAGTCAGATTTGTGTTCAGTAAGGGTGGAAATATAAGATAGTAGTTTACCCAGAATGGCTTTATAAATGAACAAGTACCAATCAGGGCTCACGCTAACTTTTTTCCCAGAAGGGGCACAAAGGAGGAAATTTAAGTATTTTTAAGAGTTTATTATAATCATATTATACTACCTGCCTGTGCTCCTCCTCCTTGTGCACAATCATGATTTGAAACCAGTGGAGGACTATGGAGACCCTGGTACCTGGACACTTGGCATGGGTCCAAAATATTGTCAAAGCTTTTTAAAATATTGACAGCTTTTAAAACACTGATCACTCTCTTGTTTTTGTATGAGTTGCTCAAGTGGTATTTCTCTCGGTGTTGCCGGCCGCCAGTCCGACTATGTTTTAAACGGACAGCTTCAGGGATTCCAGTGTTAACCTTTACCCACACACTGTGCCCGTAAATAATTTTTCCGGGTTGCACTTATCTATTTTTAGAGGCATTTGCATCCAAGTCTCCAAGAGGTCAGGGATGGCCAACCAATGCTGGAGTAAAGTGTACACTGATGGGTTAGAGTGGAAACCTTGCAGTGTGCAGATGCATTCGTGTACAGCAGAACACCATAGTCAATAACCAGTAAAAACATAACAGAAAGGTCTATTTCTGAAACGGGACTTGTTTCTGAAATAAAAGCCAGACTAAAGTCTCAACTTTTTGTATAGAAAGTATTTGGCTGTGTCAATCCAAAGTCATACCGACACCACACGTGATGTCCTGTTAGCATAAAATGTTGGCAGTTTTGTAACCTAACTGCTAAAATAGTAAACTATACTGTATGTAATTAGTATGGAGTTTGGAATTTACAGCCGTGCTAGCAGCTCTGTAAGGCTGTATGTAAGGCACAGCAGCGCTTTAAGCTACATGCTATCAGCACGCTAACAATGCTCACAATGAATATGCTAACATGTTGATGCTAAGCAGGTATAATGTGTCCGGTGTCATGTTCACCATCTTAGTTTAGTGTGTTAGCATGCTAGCATTTGTCAATTAGCGCTAAAAACTGAGAACAGCTGAGGCTGATGGGAAATAGTTGTGCGGTCTGGCGCTAGAGGAATTGATGACAGATGGCTGTAGGGCTCCAGTTTGAAAAATGTTTTGGTTTTCATAGTGAACTGAATATCTTTTTGTTTTGTCCAACCAACAGTCCAAAACCAAGACGTCTGAAGATGTGCCTTTGGGCTCCGGGGACTTGTGATGAGCAGCTTTACTGACCTAAAGATTAGAGAAATAAGAGAATTGTTAGTTGCACCCCTTTTTAGCAATAAAAAAATGCACAATTGACAAACTGTAACTAAAACAATATTACTGTAGTTATCAGTGTTTCCCACAGAATGACAGTGACTAGTGGGTTATTTCTTACTTTTATTCTACTTCATTCTTCACCTTATTTTAGTGGATCAGTGTTTCCTCAGTACTCGAGTCTGCTCACCTTGCTTTTCCCTTCAGTTCATTCACTCACAAACACCTCTGGTCTCTGACTGTAAACACACCTGCTTGCCCCGCCTCTTCCTGTCTCTCTTTCCCTGGATGTCTCTGCACTGCTGATTTTCTCCATCAGCAGGACGTTTTATAAAGTCACAGAAAAGACACAGAACTGGTCTTTTGGATTTAGCCTATCGGAATGATCGAATCCAGCGTGTTAGGGAATGGCATCTGCACTGGTGTGTTCACTGTTTACTGGGGATGTGACAAGATCAAAATGTGACAATTTCTCATCAAGCTTAAAGCTGTCTCACGAGACTCACGCAGTCGACAGTTTTCACAAGCTGTCACGCCACATGAATTTTCTCACCCAGTAAATAAAAAAAATGTATAACTGATAACATTGACTCGTAGAGTGGTTCAACTCCACCCAGCTGATGTGACATCGGTGTATGCTTTGATAGTGATCATGTGAACCTGCTCTCACGCTCGGAGTCCAAATAGTTGTGGCCGAGTGTTAATGTAGCTGGTAGAGTTGCAATATAAACATTGAAAAACAGAAGCGCAGCACAGCTCTGGTGGGGACTGAGCTGTGAGGCTGAAGTTACCATGTGAGGATCTGTGGTGAGATTTCTGCCTGATCACAAGTGTTCCCGTTAGTTTTGGTTTCACATGCAGCATGCAGTCCCAAACTGTGTCTGTCAGATGGTCTGATCAAAAACACAGAGGGAAGACTAAATCATGACTCAGCAGGGATGATATTACAGGAGAAAAGTTGTCACCTGCCGCCTGAATGTTTCCTTTTCCATAAATAAAAATATTCCACCATAAATTGTTGCAGAAATGTTTAATGCTCAACATTTCATATAATTCAGCATTGAAGATTTCTTTAAAATAGTGTTAAAATCTTGTCTCGATCTCATGAACCCAATCTCGTGTATCGTCTTGTCACACCCCTAATGTTCACTGTTGCTATACCTGGTCCGTGCTATATAAATATCCATTGTGCCCACGTCTTGTAACGTAATGCAAAACATCTTTGTTTCTCTGCAAAATGTTAACCCGCACAGGTGAAGTCTATATGTGGGAAACACTAGTTAGGAATATATAGAAAGATTTCATCCATCCTGAGGTCGACGTTATTCAAGTACTTTATTTGTCCACAATTATAAGACTCAGATGTTACTCTACTTTTTATTTGTTGGTGTGACTTCATTCTTCTTTAAATGTTTCCTCACAGCTCATCACATGAAGATCTGAAGAAGAATGAACACAGGAGGGGAAACTTCAGTGGACATGACTCTTTTTCTCATTAGTTTCATATCAGTTTGTTTTCAACAGTTTTGTACACGAGTATGTTTTATTTTTTATTACTGCGTGTCTTGTGTATAGATTTTCAGATTAACTCAGCAGTGTTCTTCATCATCAGCTTGTTTAATGTTCTCTGACTAAGACAAAGTCTGTACGTCGGCTTTTAGTCGTCATGTTTAGGCAGCAAAAGAAAAGAAAGCCAGTGAGTCATCTTAACGCCAAATCCTCTCTTTGCTTTTGACTCTTTCTGGATTCAAATGTGTACATATGTTTCTAATTAGGTGAAGCTATTTTTGATTAAAACACATTAACTCATTCCTTTTTGTTCAACTCTGAACAGTTTGTTTCCTTTTGGTTGTTTTTGCTGTTAGTCCGTTAATTTACTACTTCAATTCGTCAGATTAACTGTGCTTGAGTAATTTAATCACTGATTAAAATTGTACTTTTTTGAACAAAATGAGTTTTGAAATTTGTGTGTATAAACGTCAACTTTTCAAGGATCATCAGATTTGAAACATGTAAGCTGCAATTTGCAACAGGAGATACAGGTGCTTCACAAAAAATGTGAATATCCTGGAAAAGTTGATTTTTCTTCCAGAATTTTATTCAAAACGTTAAATTTTCATATGCCAGATTCATTACACATAAAGTCAAATATTTCAAGTCTTTTGTTTATTTGCAAAACTCAATGTATTATAATTTTAGAATAAAGAATTTATTATACAGAAATGTGACCTGAGAAGAGCGCTAATCAGCTGATTAACTCAAAACACCTGCAAAGGTTTCCTGAACCTTTAATCTTTGTGTTTGTGGTGTATCTATTGTTTCTACAATATTTAATTTTGCACTTGTAATTTTCCTTTAACGTATTTTGGCACAGTTTACTTGAATACAATATTGGTGATCTGCATTAGTGCGAGAGCTGTAAACATTGTATGCAACATTTTTTAGCAATAGCGCTCACAAATCGCTTTTATTAAACAGGACTCTGGTTGAGGAAATCTGAACTCTATCTAGTAATAATTGAAAACAATGTTAATGACTTTTACTTAAAATCAGTTCAGTAAATCTGTTGCCCTTTTTGATTAGCTTTAGTCGTCAGGTATTCAGTTGAGACTAGTGAAGATTATTCTATGTAAATATCCAAGGAAGGTTAAAATTAAAGGCAACCAGACTTTGTTTCACCTGAGAGGCTTCTTCAGTTCTGCCAGACTGGCAGGGAGTCCCAGCTACAGGTGAAACTCGAAAAACTAGCATATCGTGCAAAAGTTCATTTATTTCAGTAATTCAACTTAAAAAGTGAAACTAATATAGACTCATTACATGCAAAGTGAGATATTTCAAGCCTTTATTTGATATAATTTTGATGATTATTGCGTACAGTTTATGAAAACCCCAAATTCAAAATCTCAGAAAATTAGAATATTGTGAAAAGGATCAGTATTGTCGGCTCAAAGTGTCGCACTCTAATCAGCTAATTAATCCAAAACACCTGCAAAGGGTTCCTGAGCCTTTAATTGGTCTCAGTCTGGTTCAGTGGAATTCACAATCATGGGGAAGACTGCTGACCTGACAGCTGTGCAGAAAACCATCATTGACACCCTCCACAAGGAGGGAAAGCCTCAAAAGGTAATTGCAAAAGAAGTTGGATGTTCTCAAAGTGCTGTATCAAGGCACATTAATAGAAAGTTAAGTGGAAGGGGAAAGTGTGGAAGAAAAAGGTGCACAAGCAGCAGGGATGACCGTAGCCTGGAGAGGATTGTCAGGAAAAGGCCATTCAGATGTGTGGGGGAGCTTCACAAGGAGTGGACTGAGGCTGGAGTTACTGCATCAAGAGCCACCACACACAGACGGGTCCTGGACATGGGCTTCAAATGTCGTATTCCTCTTGTCAAGCCGCTCCTGAACAACAACCAGCGTCAGAAGAGTCTTACCTGGGCTAAAGGAAAAAAACATCTGGTCTGTTTCTCAGTGGTCCAAAGTCCTCTTTTCTGATTTTGCATCTTATTTGGAAACCAAGGTCCCAGAGTCTGGAGGAAGGATGGAGAGGCACACAATCCAAGATGCTTGAAGTCCAGTGTAAAGTTTCCACAGTCTGTGTTGGTTTGGGGAGCCATGTCATCTGCTGATGTTGGTCCGCTGTGCTTTATTAAGTCCAGAGTCAGCGCAGCCGTCTACCAGGACATTTTAGAGCACTTTATGCTTCCTTCAGCAGACGAGCTTCATGGAGATGCTGACTTCATTTTCCAGCAGGACTTGGTACCTGCCCACACTGCCAAAAGTACCAAAACCTGGTTCAGTGACCATGGGATTACTGTGCTTGATTGGCCAGCAAACTCGCCTGACCTGAACCCCGTAGAGAATCTAAAGGGCATTGCCAAGAGAAAGATGAAAGACATGAGAGCGAACAACGCAGAAGAGCTGAAGGCCGCTATTGAAGCATCCTGGTCTTCCATAACACCTGAGCAGTGCCACAGACTGATGGACTCCATGCCACGCCGCATTGCTGCAGTAATTCAGCCAAAAGGAGCCCCAACTAAGAATTGAGTGCTGTACATGCTCATACTTTTCATGTTCATACTTTTCAGTTGGCAAACATTTCTAAAAAGCCTTTTTTTTTTCTATTGGTCTTAAGTAATAATCTAATTTTCGTAGATACTGAATTTGGGATTTTCATTAGTTGTCAGTTTTAATCATCACAATTAAATGAAATAAACATTAGAAATATATCAGTCTGTGTGGAATGAATGAATATAATATCCAAGTTTCACTTTTTGAATGGAATTACTGAAATAAATCAACTTTTTGATGATATTCTAATTATATGACCAGCACCTGTAAATATCCAAAAGATTTTAAACTGCAGTCTCTCCACTCCAGGACTGACTGACTGACTGACCAGTGGTCTGTACTAAGCTGGGAATTCAACCTACTCAGAGTTAACTCGGGTTATCAGGCAAACTCAGGGTTGACGGTACCACGACGGTGGATCAGATGTTGGTTAGTTGAGTCCGTGTTAACTGGAGTTGGTGCATGTTCGCATAAAAGGGGCAGGCAGAGTTTTTTCGCAACGGCGCATGCTCCGTATTTCTCCAGAGGAATGCACATAACGGCCCTAGTGTCAGGAAATTATGAATGTAAAGACAAGTTCAAATCTCTAATATGTATTTTATGGGCTCTTTTTATGTGTAATAGGATTAAGATGTAAAGGGACAACTGTACATAAAGTCCACTGTAATAGAAAAAAGGAGCCAGCAGAGAGGGGGAATAATCCCAGAGAAATTTTAATTTCCAAGATTAATCTACAATTAAAAAAACCTGAATATTCTCTGACATTATAGTCACACATTTATGAGGGAAACCTCACTTTGCAAGGCTGCAACATCACACACACACTGCCGTGTAGGCAGCGGTGTAGTCTACGTGATCCGCAGGTATACGCCGTATACCCACTAGGAATGTTCAAAGATTTCCGTATACCCACTTAAAAGGCGAGATGATACGTAACAACATCGTTTTGTGACAGAACTTTCACACGTTCATTCATAAATTCACCCGTTATGCGTTGACGTGGCCTGTGACCGGGAGCTGACGTCAGCTACCAGACAACACGGCTGCGTGGCGGTCACTCGGCGCACGTTTGAAATGAACTAATGTCAATCACTGAAGGGGATGTGAAACGCGAGCAAACTCAAACTACACTCTTTCAGTGTTTCGGTAAGCCTGCAGCTAAAGCTGCTGCCGCTCCAGGTGACACGAACGTTAAAGTTACTGAAACAGAAAACGAGCCAGATGAGGCTGATGCTGGCCTAACGTTACCTGCCGAGAGACCCAGGTCAAAAAGAAGTGCTCTTAAAAGCACTGAAAACATACTAGAAATTCACATAGTATGCTTATAGTACATTCATACCCCTAACATGCTTACTACAAGTATATTAAAGATATATTCTCCTGAGCTTTAACATACTTCTCAAAAGTATACTTTGAATAAATTGGTAATAAACATATACTTAATTAAACTTTTAATAAATATGCTTAAATAAAAGTAGTTTTTAACATTTTAGTCTGTTTATTTAACTCTTAGTAAATACTATTTAGGTGTACTTTTTGGAAGTACATTGTTAAACAATTACACTTTTAGTGGGTTAAAAATATATTGCCAAATATGCTTCATTGTGTAGGCTACTGCAAAATATTGTAATTATTTATGTAATTGCCACATGTTTCAGCTTGATTTCCAGAAGTATTATTTTAGTAGTAACTGTTTTTTATTTTTCAAAAGCACATTATTTTTTCATTTATTTTCTTTCTTTTAATTTTTTTAAAATCAGGTTAATAGCTAGTCGAGATCAGAGACCTCTTTCATAAGGGTAACCTGGCCCAGAAGGAAGCAGCACATGTTGTTAACTTAACAAACAACATGTAGAAATAAGCATACTCAGTGTTGCCAGATCACATTGACAGTTTCCAGCTCAATCACAACTTCAAAGCCGCCCCCTTTAAGAAAATCCAGCCCAAATTGTAACTTTGCCAGAAGCATGTGAAAAACCCTAAAACCTTGTAAAACTAGTAGCCTACATAAATAGAAAACACACCACAAGCATACAAAGCTCCATATCTGCATCATATACTACAGTGTTTCCCACATTGACAGCGTTGTGCAGCGGTGTTCAGCGAGCGAGAGAGCGCTGCATGCAGCTCTGCAGTTTATTTGTGCAGCTGCCACAAATAAACCAATGTGTGGGAAACATTAATATAACCAGAGACAAAATGTTATATAAAGGGGCTATTGATTCACAACCCATAGAAAGTGCAGTCAGACAACCAAATATACAAATTGTGAATTTCACCTCCGGCATCGCAGCTAAACACAATAAAGTTCCATAAATACTGCCATGAAATGTATGCCACAGCAACCCACCAATATGCAACCTATTAAAAACTATAGGATAGATTGAATGCACACAAAATTGTGCAAACGCACACAGCCAAGAAAAAAGGTTTTAAACTGATCAATAAATGACTTTATTAATCGGCTACAATTAAAATTCCCTTACCTTTGCATTGATCAAGGTCCTCTTTTAATTTGAAGAATGTTTATAACTTGAAGAAGAACTTTGTACAGTCGCTGCATGCCAGCTGGAAGTATTTGTTCACAGTTCTGATTTCCTTCAACACGGGCTGGAGAAAGTGCATGTACAGACTATTTGACTTGTCATTGTACATTTCATTCAAACTCCTGGCTGAATAGCCAACTCGTCACATATGGACGCTTGGTCAAGAGCCATAATCGTCAGTTTGTGACGCACTAGGGATCCCTTTGACGTCATAGTTCGACGTATTGAGGGAAGCCCTGTTGTGTCAGTTTTTGATGGTAAAGGCAAGTATGATATTTAAGAGAAAAGACGAAGTAAGGAGGTGATTGGGGTGGATAGAGGGCCAGAACACGGACCTTGAAGAAGGAGAACAGGGTTTGTGTCCCGTGCGAAACAAAACATTAAATGTTTTTATTTAGGCGAGTGAGGTAAATTGACATTAACGTTAGTTAACTTAAGTCTTAATTGACATACATAGCTATTTTAACCCAAACCATGATCTTTTCCTAACCTTAACCAAGTAGTTTTGTTGCCTAAATGAAACTGCAACGTTTCACGACTTTAATTATGCGCGTTTCAACATGGCAATGTATCGAAACGTTACGTTTTATCTTGAAAGTGTAACCGGATATTGCAAATTTATTGTTGTTAAGCGTTGCTAACTTGACTGTGGATCCCTAAACGTCAATAATTGATGCAAAAGGGCTACCCAAGTCTTTAAAAAGCGACGACAAAGGGCCTTGACCATGCGTCAGACATTTGACGAGTAGGGAGTGAGACTGTGTTGGAATAGCAGTGTTCTGTGTCTGATACCAAATTGAAGTGTATCTTGAGTGCATCTTCTTGATCTAAAATTCGTTCAATGCAGTCTGTGATCACTAACCAACGGGTTGAGCTGGGTGATATCAATTTCAGAGGACATCCTCCGTCATTTATAGTCTGGTATATAGACTTATAATCGCTCTGGCGTTTTGCTGAGTGAGCAAACCAGGTATAAGTTTCTCAAATCATAAATTCAAGATTGCTTGGAAGAAGTTGCATAGCTTTGTTAGCAACGATATCCAGTGAGTGGCAAACACAGCGAATAAGCTGTAGACTGGGCTGCTTTTGTTCGAGTAGCGCGAAAACTGAGTGATTTTTTCCGACCATGACACTTGCCCCATCAGTAGCAATCCCCACCATGTTTTTGATGTCAAAGCCACACTCTCTCAGAAATGCAACGATTGCATCGGATATCCCATTAGCATTAGCATCCAGAAGCTCAACAAGCCCAAGATAGGTACTGACAAACCTGCCGTGTTTCTGTGATCGGTACTTTACACAAATACACAAGAGCTTGCTCGCTGAAATGTCAGTGGTTTCATCGAGGTAGAGAGAATAAGGAGACTCAACAATATCTGCCTTTAACTCCTCTCTAAAGTGTGGTGCCAGGACAGACTTTATAACCGCCGTACATTTGGTCCTGTGCATTTTGAACGGTCCCATCTCATCATTTAGTATATCAGACAAGTCTTCCACAGCATTGATGGAAGTGTGGCAGGCAACATACTGTAGGTTGCAATTCTAAGTTCACAACGTTTTTGGTGATCTTTAATTGTGCCTTGACCCGCACCAGATCCCGTTGGTACGGCAGAAGATTTGATGCTAGGCGCACAGCGGGACTTGTGTTTTTTCGTGGCGCCATGTTCTTTCAAATCGTTCAACTGTGCTCTGATGTCTGTGTTACAATACTTGCAACGAGATATCTTCTGGGACAGCAGCGATCCAGGTTTTTAGCTCAGGGTCAGTCTCCCATTCCTTCCTGTACATTTTCTTGTATTTCCCCCACTTTGGCATCATGCTAGGTAACTAGCTTACTCTTAGCTGGACAGCAGAGAAGCAGCTTGTCTACAGACGTAGTTAAACGTAGTGACACTGGTTAGTAACCAGTCAAGTCAGGGTAAATAGGTAGGTCCTCCCTTATCCCTAACAATGATTGAATACAACTTAAATCAATCAAATAATTATTCAGGAAGATTAAAGATTGTTTAGCCTATTTGTGTTTTTAACCCTAAAATGACAGCTTGTTTGGTAATTTTGTTTTCATGGTATTTCCAAAATCCCGCCAAATATTTCCTAAAGGAGCCCAAATTTTATCTACCAGCCCAAGGTTATTTTCCCCGCCCAGTGTAATCAAAAGTAGTAATGCATTGCAACCGCTGTGGAACAAATCAGAATGAAATCTAAACATATTGGGGCGGTTTCTCAGACAGAGATTAAGGCTAGTCCTAGACTGAAAAGGCCTTTTAACGCAGACTAACAGAAATCTGCTTTCTTGGTCATGTTGTAAAATAGTCCTAGACTTGGCCTAGTCCTGGATGAAGTAAGCTGATTTCCTGAAGGAAGATTACATATACTTCAGGACTAAATTGTGGCTTAAATTAAACCACCCAGGAGGCAGGTTTAACTTCAGATTAAAGTTGTTTGTTAAAGAAGACACATGGATTACTTGGAGTATGTCAATGAAGAACAACTAATACCACCAGCTAGGCAAGTTCTTGCTGACAGAAGTGACCCATTGCAATGCTTTGATGAAATTAGTTTTGGAGATCATTTTCGAATGCATAAAGTAAATGCTGTGGAGCTTATTTCACTTTTGGAACCCAGGCTTTCATCTGTTACCCAAAGAGGACGGCCTGCAGCAGTTTGTCTGCAGTTGCTCATCACATTACGATTTTTGGCATGTGGCACCTTTCACAGAGAAACTGGGGACTTATGTAGTGTCAGTGAACCTACAGTATGTAAAGTCATTCACAGAGTATGCATGGCTATTTGTGAATTGAGAAGACATTACATAAATTTCCCTGATGCTGCAACCCAGGCAAACTACGATGGAACCCATATTCCCATAAAATGTCCCTCTTCTCCAGATGCTGAGGAATACAGGAACCGGTATGTCCAAGGTGTATGCACTCCCCAGTTACAGTTTTCAAACATTGTCGCACCTTGGAAAGGTGCAACTCATGATTCCCGGATCTTCCTTAACTCATCTCTGTGTTCTCAGTTTGAAAGAGGAGATCACAAGGGAATATTGCTTGGTGACAGTGGATATACTCAGAAGAATTTTCTGTTTACACCATACTTGCACCCAACAACAACTGAGCAAAGGCGCTACAACCAGGCTTATTAGGCACTAGGGGACTAGTAGAGCGCATGTTTGGGGTTTGGAAGAGTCGCTTTCAGTGCCTTCGAAAAACACTTCGATTCCAACCAAAAAGATGCTGCACTGTTATCATTGCAACAGCCGTTCGTCACAACTACCTGAAACAGCATTGATGTCCAGATTCCCCGATGCAGGAGGATGACCATCTAGATGTACCACCATTTATAAACAGACCACACAGAAGGACTTGCCCACAGAGATGCTTTTGCATTGTGCCATTGTACATGTAATGAGCAAATTACTGTATTTTAAAAGTGTATTTGTCTGGTATATTAAACACCCAAAATGATTTAATAAAACAATTTTTATTTCAGATTCATGCATTGTTGTGATATTTGAGACAGTTGCATCTCCTTCATCTTCATTTCCAGTTCTACTTGGAGGATCTTCATTTTCATTGCTCCTCCTTAAGGTACTTCAACTTCTGTTCAGGAAATTCAATAGCCAGCTTTTCGTGGATTGTGACTCTTGTTTTGGTGACCAGTACTGGCAGACACTGCCACCCTAGCTTCTGAGGATGTGGAGGGTAAATTACCTTGCAGCGCTTCAGTTATGTCCCTTTGACTTTCTCCTTGAAACAAGAACAATTCATATACGTATAATCAAATAAATGCACATTAAATGTGAAATGTTTCACATTAAATGAAAGAATGAAACAAAGAAATAAAAGTTTGAAAGGAGTGTAAGAAATGCCAAAATATACCCATTGTAGTATGTGTGTGATCCCTCATCTGAACTATCTAGATGGTCATCATCTGGTATGTTCTCCAAACGGCAGCATGCTGTGGTCATCACTCACAGGAGGACGAAAGGACAGAAAGAAGACATATATTTGTGGACCGCTTCATTCTGGAGTTCATTGTTGAAAACTTTGATTGCTTGCTTGCTTTGATTATTTGATTACAGAGCTGCACTCAGCGTATTTTCGCTCAGCACCTCCTCTCTCTCCCCCGCAAACACATTCTTAGTGGACCAGTCTGTATTGAATGGTTAGTATCATGAACACCGCTGCACAAATCCGTCCAACACGTGCTCGCTGTCATTTTGTGGGAAACACTGCGGTAAATCAGACAGGACGGTAGAAAAACATTCTTATCTCAAATTTTTGTTCAACGGGTCTGGTAGTGTGACCTTATCACATTTCAGTTTGGTGTTCCTTTTCTTGAACATCGACTTGAAAGAAATACTGGTTAAGGTTATTTACTTGTTATGGATTGTTTGCGGAAGTCTGCCGGAAGTGAAGTTTGGGCCAGAGTAATGCACATGCGCAGTCCCGTTTGTTTATGTTGTTACTGTTGAAAGTGTCTATATCATATTGTACAAAGGATGGAGTAACTGTTTTTTGAAGTTATGCATAAAAATCAATAATAGTTGTGTTTTGAATAAGAACAATATTTCTGCAGGTTAATTTAAATTTTTACACAGTTTACACAAAAATGCATTATAATACAGACATAAGTCTATTCGATTTAATTAGCTGCATGTAGACTTCACAGAAATGTAAACAGGCAGATTTAATTGTATCATAAAATATATTGTCTTGCAAAAACAATATATAATACAATAATATACTTCTAATGAATCTTTCCTAAAATGCTTCAAACATGGGATGTGATTTACTAAATCTACAATATTATTTACCCTTTCTGTTCTGCAGACTGTTAGTAAGTCTGAGTCGAGGGGCTGTTGGAGTGATGGTTGTCTTTATAACATATGTTAGATATTTTATAGATACTTATAATGCTTTTAGTGTGCTAATAAAAAATAAAAAAAACATACCATTGAAAGAGCCCATCCCACGTGGGATTACTAATACAAGTCCTCTCACAATTGACATTCCTATTCAAATGACAGACAAATTATTACTTCGTACCACACACTGCTGAATGAAAAGTAAGGAGAAACATGTTTAACACAATAACAGAACAGAGACATACATTATAAAATCTTCCCCCATACACCTTTTCTTAGTGTCCGTGTGATGTCTTCAGAATTTGACAATCACATCACTATCCTTTTTCACCAATACCAAAATAACAACCAGCTTCTAGTAGTTTTTAGCCTATATAAGTTTACATTTTGGCAAATTAGCAACATTAAAAGAAGCTGAATAACCTATTAGCAGCTCCTGTTTGTAGTGTACCCATTGAAGTACCTACAACGTGATTACTGACACTGAAGAAAACTTAAAAACATGAAAATTCTCAGGCAAGTTCTGCAGCTAGAAGGAGCATCTTTTTTTTTCTAAAATTCCTTAGTGAATTAATGGAGGTTTATTCATGTTATCTGAGATAATGGCATCCTCAAGAAGTTTTACTGACAGTTCCAACTGTTGATCGTGTTGCTGAAATCTACTGCAATGAACACCTGCGTGCACCCGCCTTTGCTGCAGTCCCCTGGGGAGGCGCCTCCCCCCCCCCCCCCCCCCCAAAAAAAACTCATGTGTAAGCTGCACTTTGTTAGGCTTAACCCAGCTGTGCAATGAGCTGGGTGCTTACACTAAAATGCCATCTACATGCATCAGTCATCACACAGACTACAGCTGTAGCCTTTACAAACACTGAGCATCTTTAGCAAGGTAGTATTTGCTGCACGGCTGTTGTTTTGCATTGACTTTCTTTTTTCTGATAAGATCTCTTCTGTTCTGAAGTAAAAAGGAAACCACAGCATTTTTGTTTATACACAACAGTTTTCCCACTTCTCTATTTTTAACCTGCTTTCACAGCTTGCATGTATTCTCAGACCTGTTTTAGGAGAAGTGCACTGCATTTAACATTCTCAGCTGTCTTTCTCAAATGCTGCCTTTTACTCTGCATGGAAAAGGGCCTCCTGTATGTGTTACTACTACTACTGCAGTTTCTGGCCAATCCTGGTCAACACATATAAATTGGAAAATGGTTACATAACCATATCGTATTTGGTAAAGGTGTAAATGTTCAGGTGATTATTTGTTTGCACAATTTGTCATGGTAAAAGTAGATTAAACAAAATGTTTCTGTGCAGGCAAAGAGAGAAGCAAAGCCGAGGGAGCCAGACAAGATGAAACTAAAGAAGGTATATGCATCACTTTCTGTAAAGAAAAGACTTAATGAAAATAACAGAGGTTGAAACAGAAATTGAACTACTTCCACATCCAGCAGACACAGCAACATTATCATCCTATTGATTCTAGCTGATAATATCTATAATAATCTATAATAAACTAATATTCACTCTTTCTCCCTCTAGCACTAGTGTATGCACGGCTTGTGCTCGAAACAGCTGTCTACACAATGGAGGGTTTCTAAGCATATTTCACCTCATGACCTGTTATGAATATGTTACTGATAAAAATGAATTTGAAACCTCGTGCTTTTGTTAGAGATCTTAGTAAAGCTTGATGTAGTCTGCAGTTTTACTGGGTTCTATATCACAGACATACTGACGGCCTGAGGATGAGTGAATTGGAGGAAGGATTAGCGACTTCAACGGTCAGTAAGATGTCTGTGAAGAGTGACCACTCAAGAGAATATCCTCCCTTCTTCAGCAGTGAACCCAGACCTTCACAAACAAGGTAAGGTTATCAGTACCCACATGTCAAACCAGCCTTACTTTCTGGTCTGTTTCTATCCGCTGTTGTCATCATGTGACTCCAGACACCAATAGAAAGCAAATAATTCAACTGAGTGCAATAAAATAACATAATCTGTACAACAGGTCGTATATATCATGTTTTAACAGATGTTGACTCGGTACAGACCCCTCTAAAACTAAATCATTTTTACCAACGCAACTCACCGGTTCTTTGTTGAACTTGACCCAATAACATGCAGTGTGGTATTTCACATCATATTATCATTGCAGTAATATTGTAACTCCAGAATAAAATAATTTACAATATGACAACAGCATTTAACCATGTAATAAAACATTTAATGTTCTTTGTTAGGTGTTTGAATCTAAAGTCATGGCTGTTGTAAAGACATTTGTGAGAAGCCATAAGAAGGTCCTTTCTGCAAAACACAATGGATTGTTTGAGGAAGACGAGCAGGACGATGACGCTGATGAGCAGCTGGTTGAGTTTGACAATGAAACAAGTGAAGTGTTAAAAATCTTCCCTGAAGAGGAAAAATAAGTGCATATTGGAAAAGATTAGCCCTGCGATGGACTGGCGACCTGTCCAGGGTACACCCTGCCTTTCGCCCAATGTCAGCTGGGATAGACTCCAGCCCCCCTGTACGCAGGATAAGCGGTTGACGATGGATGGATGGAAAAGATACTACCCAACAGTGGCCTGTGCCTATAAAAAAGATTTATATGAAGCTCTATCTGATGGAGGGGGACAGTGGTGAGGTAAACCGGGAACATGAAGTGAGACTAATTGAGACGGCGTTCAACAGACGAAAGTCTTCAGAAACTTTGATCAAGTGTGAGGACATATTCAAGCCATTTCCCAACCAACAAGGCAAACCAATCAGAAGGGGATAGCAGGCATCAGCAAAACTGTGTTGGCACAGAAGTTCACCCTGGATTGGTCAGAGGGGAACGCCAATCAAGACATTCATCTCTTGTTCTCGCTTCCTTTTAGGGAGCTGAATTTGCTTGAAAATGAAAGAATAAGTTTAATGAAGCTCCTGTATGACTTCTCTCCAGGCCTGACAGAATCTAGAATCGAAGACCTGACAACGAGCAAACTTCTGTTTATACTGGATGGTCTGGATGAGTGCAGACTCCCTCTGGATTTCAAGGGAAATGAAATGTTGTGATGCTCCACAGCCAGCCTCACTGGATGTGCTGCTGACAAACCTCATTGCAGGTAAACTGCTACCAAGAGCTAATCAGTGGATAACCACCTGTCCTGCTGCAGCATCCCTCCACAGTATGTTGATCACGTGACTGAGATGCGAAGTTCAACAGCCTACAGAAGGAGCAGTAGAAGATTGATGATGAAAACTTAGCCAGAAGAGTAATCGCAAACATAAAGTCGACAAGAAGTCTCTACATCATGTGCCAGGTGCCAGTGTTTTGCTGGATTTCCTCTATTGTCCTGGCAAAAATATGTGCCAAAGCAGGAAGGGGGGAAATGCCAAAGACTTTGACTCAGATCCACTTTCTGGCACATCAGACCGCACAGATTCTAAGTACTTCAAAGAGCGACAACTGGACGCCCAAGGGAATGACAAGGTGATTATGTCACTTGGGAAGTTGGAACCTCCAGCAGCTCAAGAAAGGCAACCTGATCTTCTACGAGGACATTGAATGTCAAAGAAGCATCTGTCTACTCAGGAGTTTGTACTTAAGTCTTTATGGAAGAGTCCTGGATGTAGCTCCAACCTGATGATTGATGACCCTGAACGGAAGGCCCAAACCAAGCCTGTCTCAAAATTGCACAAAACTGCAGTGGACAGAGCCTTACAAAGTGACAACGGCCACCTGGATCTCTTCCTGCGTTTTCTCCTCAGACTCTGTCAGGAGTCCAGTCAGGGTCTGCTCAGAGGACTAAAGATTCAGGTAGAAACCTGCGACTCCCAAAGTCATTAGGAAACCATCAAGTACATCAAGGAAAAGATAAATCTGAGTCTTCATCCAGAGAGGTACGTCAATCTCTTCCACTGTCTGATTGAGTTAAAAGACCACTCTTTGGTGGAAGAGATCCAGAGCCACATGGACTCTGACCGAGACTTGGTGATGGACGAGTGCTCTGCAGCTCAGTGGGCAGCTCTGGTCTTTGTGTTGCTGACGTCACCGGAAAAGCCAGAGGAAATCCACCTCAAGAAATACTCCAGAAGCAAAGACGGCCTTCTGAAGCTCTTACCAGCGTCCAGATCAGTAATGTAAGTAACTTTCATATTGTAATTACTAATTTTTAACAATTATCACTGGATGTCCACCATTGACTTTTGATAACAAATTGACTTTGTCTTTCTGATTATCTGGTGGAATGATTGTAATCTCACTGCAGACAGCTGCCAGGTGCTGTCCTCTACTCTAAGCTCTAGCTCCAATGAGCGAAACCATTTAAACTTGAGTGACAACAGAATACAAGAATACAGGAATCGAGATTCTGCACCGGACTCTAAAGCCCAGACTGCAGACTGAAGGCACTGAGCTGAGTCAGTGCTGAAGGTGACAATGTGACTGACTAATGTCCCCGTTGTTTTGATTTCGCTCTGAACTATAATACAATATTCGGTCTGAACTATGCAAATATCAAAACAGATAAAAGTCCTGTATAATTCCTTATTTCATTCAGCTGCATTCTCTATAATTATAACTACATATAGTAATGCTGTTAGATTAGATCTGATGTAATTTAAGAGAAACTTTAATATTTAGATGAGTCGATGGTGACTGAGGACTTCAGATGTGTCTACAGACGCTTCGTTTGTCGACCCCATGAGTGCAAGTATCAGTCAGTGCCCATTATTTACCAATAAACCACAAGAGAGACTAAAAAGTAAAACAACTTGCAGCCGTATTTTTCTGTACAACAGTATTCCTCTATTAATAGTTAGTAGGGACGCACCGAATCCTGATACCAATACACAGGCTTTGTACCGAGTACAGTGTATAATAAGTAATATTAATAATCTGTATTCATTACAGTGAGGAAGAGACTGTGAATCATTATTTTAAGGCACTTTCAGGCTGACTTTAAACATTACTTCCTAATTTTGTAAAAGAAAATGCTCGCCGGCTCGCTGCTGATGCATAATGTAGTACGCGGGTAATTGCATGGATCATCCCTTTTGTCATCGATACCCTTTCCAGCTGTTTGGTTCAGTTCTGATATACTGATATCATGTATTAGGATCAGATGGATGCATCCCTAAAAGTTACATGTGCAATATAATACATATGGCAAATAAAAATATAAAACAATCCAATCCAACAGCCTGAACATAGGGGCAACCATTGGAAAGTTTAGATTGATATTGTTATATTTGATTTATTTAAATTGCAAAGTGTTTAATCTGTCCATGTTGTTTGTCCCTTCAGGCTGAACCGATGCAGTCTCACTCAGAGATGCTGTGAAAAGCATCTTGGAGAGCTGAACCTGAGTGACAACGAGATCAAAGACTCAGGAGTGCAGCTGCTCTTTATTGGACTGGGAAATGTGTGCTGTGTACTGGAAACCCTCGGGTATAACTTAAAGAAAATCATTTTTGCATGTTAAATAGTTCTGAAGGATATCAACAACCAGTTATGGGAAAATCTGTCTCTCTGTCACAGGTTGTTGTTCTGTGACATCACACAGAAAGGTTGTGGCTTCTTGGCCTCAGCAGTAAAGTCCAACCCATCCCAGCTGAGCAAGCTGGACCGGAGCTACTGAGAACTGAATGGTCACCATGGTGTATATCACTGTAGCAGTCAAACCGGGAGTACTTGTACTACAATGGGTGGTAGTATCTGTGCTAGTGATAATCTTACCACTGCAGTGGTATTAATAGCATTGGGACTGTAGACACCTATTTCCAGGAAAAAACATACCCAAAATGAATGTAAATGTAAAGTAAATGGAGATGCATGTAGAAAAAAATCATTTTTATCCTCGCCTAGTATAAAATCTATATTTTAATAGCAATATCACCATCAAAACAATCATCCTGAAGATTATAATGCAACTGAATATCTTCTAATACACCTGGAATACAACTGTAACTGTACATTTGATGAAAATAAACTAATATACAGTTATTACACAATTTTTCAAAAATATACCAGGCGAATGTCCATGTTTTGACCATATTTACTTTTTATATGTTCCGTTTTATTGGGGATTTTCTTCAAAGCACTATTTCTCTCCATACAACCACATTCCAAATAACATGAAGCTTCCAAAACATTGAAATATTGATAAAAACAGTGAATATTGATCAATATTCCAAAAGCACCCCCGTGTTTTACAGGCCCACAGCTTGAGAACAGAACTATCTCTTCGTCTTGAGCTGATGAATCGTTTGATATTGGATGTAAAACTCCTACAGGTCAGTCACCAGACGACCATAAAGACCGTCTGTTCCACAGCAACACTTTTCCTCTGCTGCAGTTTCTGCCGAAACCAAACTTAAAGAGAGCTCAGAGGTATCGCGCAATACCAAGATGGCATCATGGGAGCGTTTTTGTAAACAACAGGGCTATTTTTGGACAGAAAACAGCATAAGTAAGTCAGCGGTTGTAACTGTTTATGCATAGTGGTGCGTTGAGTTTTAATATTATCCGGCTAATAAGTCTGTGAGTTTGGTGATTTGAGTCACACAGCTGATCAGATCTGGAACTGGGTTTTCTTTAGAGTGTTCGGACGATGGTGTAGGATGAGATATAGATGGCAATAACTGCATGTACAGTGTTAAGCTACAGGTTATCCTGTTGCATTTCCCCTACGTTCTATTGCAGCAAGTAGTCAGGGCTTTAACTCAGTTTATCTTTACTTTTGGGACCCTACATGTAATTCTGATTGGCCAGTGTTCTAACTTGACTTCCCATTTGTTCAAACAGATCCAGCAGCAGTTGGGGGTTAAGTATAACTGTAAAGCAGCCTATCATGCACAGAACCAGGGGACGGTTGAACGATTCCATCAAACGTTGAAGTCTGTGTGCATATGGTATGGAGATGGGGAAGGACTGGGAGGAGGGACTGCCCTGGCTCTTGCTGGCAGCTAAAGAGGTGATCTGGGAGTATACGGGTTTCAACCCTGACGATTTCGAGTTTGGGCATTCAGTGCGGGGTCCCTTATCTGCCCTTTGGGATGGGTTTGACTTTGCTAAGTCCTGAGAGGAATCTGTTAAGATTAATGTGCACCTGGCTTAACCAGGTTTAGCCGGCTAGCATGCTGAAGCTGTTAGACAACAACTGGCGGTGTACCGAGCGTCTTGTACCAAATGGTTCGGCCACACATACACACCCGGTGTATTTTCCCCCCAAAATGTTTTATTTTAACTAGGGCTGGGCACGTTAACGCATTATTAATTAACGCCAACAATTATTTTATCACACATTAAAGTGTTTTTTAAAACATTATTATTAATTTGAAAGTCCTTACTCTGGGACACATTGGTGTCTCACAGTGGATTCAAACCCAGGTCTCTCACACCAAAGGCATGTGTCTTATCCGCTGCACCACTGATCAGCCTACAAAACACCCACCAAGACAGCGCTCGGAGAGTAAAGGGCAGGTGCTCTAATGAGAGTAACCATGGCAACACAGCTGTAACCTATTTAACTTAAGTTAAAATTATAGGCTACATAACTTTACCTGATAGACTGCAAAAAAGGAATTTCAAGAAAGTAAAAAAGTCTTGTATCAAGGAAATACGTCTTGTTTTTTTGTCCAAAAAGAAAATTAATCTTGTCAAGCATGTTTTCCATTGGAAAAAAAATCAAATTTTAGAAAGTACGACTAACTTTTTTAGATTTTCCAGCTAATTTTTAGCTAGAATGAACCAGGGTATAAAAATGTTTTACAATAAAAGCCAGCGGAGCAACAAGATTCTTTGCCTTATTTTAAGAGTAACACCACTTGTACAACTTCTTGATTTAAGAATGCCAAGAAACCAGAACAATTAAAGGTTGTTTATTGTCATTTGTTATGTTCTAAGGCCATCTGAAGCTGCTGCTTCATATCTAACATATTAAGATGACAGCAGGCTGGTCTATACAGCATAATACAAATAACCATGATGGACAAAAACTGCATGGCTCAAACAAAACAAAATGACCTAAATGAAATGACCCTTGACTCAACTGCATTCTCAATCACAATGTAGCAATAAATATGGTTTATGCAGTAGGATCCTACAAGCATCAGCATAACGACTGCTATTAATTAACTGATTGCTGATCTGCTGTTTTTTCATTCAGATTAAAGTTATTTTGATACATGAAAAGAAGAAACAATCATGAAACAAAAAAAACAGTCAAGATGTTTGTCTATGAGAGGCCACCAGATTAAACAGTGAGCCTTTTACAGTTCATCAGATGAGGCTCTGTGTAGCTAAAGCACATCTCCCAGATAATATTTCGTAGGAACGTATGACACATCCTTGTGAGTAATTCTTTCTTTTGTCTAATGGAAAATAACTTTTCCTTCCTGTGTTTTACCCAGACCAAAACCTGACCAGCAGGAAGGACTACATCAAACAGACCGTCAAATCTGTGAGTGTAAACACACACACACACTCTCTCTCACTTATTTAGCAGTTCATATGAGCACAGACCTAAAGTGAAACTGAAAGGAAATTGGGTCAGATATTCTGTTTGTTTTGTCTGTGTGTAAAAATGTACAGTTCCAAATGTGTGTTTGATGTATTTACTGTCTCACTTTTACCCTCTTGTCTCAGATTTCTGATTCCAGTTTCTCCAGCATGATAATTTGCTTCCTTTTCTCTTTTTATATCAAAGTAAACAAAATATCTTTGGGTTTTGGACGGTTGGTCAGATGAAACGTCATTTTGAAGATTCTCTTTGGGAAACTGATGAACATTTTTCACTGACTTTTGATATTTCATTGAATAAATAATTAGTCACTTGACATTCATAGATGAAGAAAATAAGACTTAGTAGCTGGGAAATTGTGCACCAGGTCCCTTCAGCACGCTGTCAAATTGTGTGGCTGTACATATATCTGTAATTTCACAGGAGTGGAATTATGTGATACAAAGACTGAAATCTGGAATCAGTCAGCGCTACTACAGGAATGGACTTGATACACCATGCAGTCCCGCTGCTTTCCAGCAGAGGTTGATAAATAGCAGAGATCACTCACTTAACACTTAACTGTCCCCTTTACAAGTATGTACACATCAGAATACAAATAACAAACAGACCCTGGAACATTCTCTTAAGAACAAGTGCTGCAGCCAATTGGCCAATTAGTGGCAACAATGTAAAATGTGACAGGAAACAGGAAACTGAGCAGTCTGTTGATCACTTTCATGAACCTGCTGATTCACAAATCATAAGCACTGCATCTCTAACAAAGCAGAAGACAAGCACGTTCAAAGTTATTAATAATTAACAGTTTAGTACCTCTTTAGGTCAGTGGCTGTATTTTCCTAAATGCTGGTGTCAGTAGTCACAGTACCAATATTATCCAGTTTCTAAATGTACATATACATTAGATACACACAGCAAATTAACAACCAGGTTTAAAAAAGAATTCAGTTTGAATAAATAGGACAATTTAGGGCAACCAGTCAACCTAGCCTGCATGTCTTTGGATGGAGGGAGGAAGCCGGAGCACCCGGACAGAACCCACGCAGACACGGGGAGAACATGCAAACTCCACACAGAAAGGCCGGGGAAACCGGGGTTTGAACCAGTGCTAACCACTGCACCACCGTGCCGCCTTATATATGCAACTATTTCTATAACAAATATAAATATATCAAAACATTAATAACATTTGTACCCAGTAACCTTCTCAAGTATGACTGCAGTGTTTAAACAGATAAAGCCTTCTTTTTGCAGATCCAGAAGTTTCTGGCACCACAGCTCACTGATTTCCATCCTTCTTTCTGGACAGAAATTACACACTGACTGTTGGTAGCAGGTTGTTGTATCCAGGAGCTGAGGGAAGAACATGATGTTTAGATGCAGGCTGATAGATTTTATGCTTCAAAATGTTTATGAATGTGTCTCTTACTATTCCGGAACATTTCCATTGACCCACTTCCATTTCTCATCTTCAGCTCTCAGGCCAATCCAGTATCCCTTGGTTCCTGAACTGCCCCAACTGTTTTTACTGATGAATGTCTGACAACAGAGAGACAGTTTTTAAACACTATACTTAAATTAACACATGGTGTCCTACAGACTCAGTGTGTTCAGACCCTCAGAAAATACATATTCATTTCTTACAGTCTGTCATAAAAATGTTCACAGTTTACCTTCTCCGTTTCATCAACTATAACAGCCAAATCTGAACTCTTTCCTCTGCAGTTTTCTCGAGCTTCTTCCCAGGTTTTCTGACCAGAAACATCAGGGTTATGAATCACATAGCAGCTGGACTGGGAGTGTAACCAGCCATCCTGACAAGCTTTACATGTTCTGTCTGAAACAACAGAGACAAACCAATAAACAGCATTACTGCATTGTGATATTGTTAATATTATTGTTGGTTATTTTTAATCTTATTAATGGGATCTGAACATACTTTGGTTTTTTGGTTTTGGGCAGAAAGTATCAATGCTCCACTGAGCTCGACTAACGTTGAGCTCATTCTCCATCCTCCTCTGTGTCTCCAGCTGCTGGTTTTGTGATGTCAGGTTCTGGTTTTCTGCAGACAGCTTGGTGTTTTGTGATGTCAGGTTCTGGTTTTCTGCAGTCAGCTTGGCGTTTTGTGATGTCAGGTTCTGGTTTTCTGCAGACAGCTTGGTGTTTTGTGATATCAGGTTCTGGTTTTCTGCAGACAGCTTGGTGTTTTGTGATATCAGGTTCTGGTTTTCTGCAGACAGCTTTGTGATGTTGCTTTTAAAGTCTTGTGTCAGGTTGTGATTGAGAGCCAGTAGAGCTGTTTGGTTTTCTTTCAGCTCCTTCTCACTTTGATTACTTATTGTAGCAACTGCAAATAGGAAAAAAGCTGCTTAAGTGATAGTAATAAGACAATGTTGTCAGTGTCATTTTCCCATTTTTGGAAGCTTTCTTTTACTTCAGGTTTTCTAGACTACTGTAGTTGTACGCTCTTATTATGTTCCTTAAAATTATCAGATCAACAAATCTCCTGAAAAGACTAAAACAAACAATGAATGTTTTCTGACTCAAGCCCTTTGGCTGCTACTGCCTTAAATATCTGACATAGCCAGCTAGGCACTGTCATTTTAAGTAAAAATTAATCCAATACTGAATAGTTTATTTGTTGGGTACATTTTAGCTGCTGATTTGTGGCTAGCAGGACGGTGTGTGTGGAACTGACAATATCAACACAATACACAATATCAACAGTGCCTGTGTTTGTTGTTGTAAAAGAAGTTTTAATAGTTTATAGAAAACTTTGGTGCTCCATGGCACAACAAGGAAATATGAGGCTATGACACACAGATCAACTTGTTTGTAGGATCAATTCAGTGTTGGTTTGGTCTGACAATAAGAAAAATATAGAATATGATCTGACTCATCCTTTAATTCCTTTTATGCATACATATATATTTTCCACTAATGCTGTCACCATCCTTTCTCTGCTGTGTTGTAAATAACTTGTTTAACTGTGAATGATTTGCTAATTACTGTTTGACTTTTAAATTATTGTTTTTGTCTTATATTCATCGTGGTTCATGAGAGAAACAATTTCAATCCTCTGTGAACATGTACATGGTAGAATTGAAAATAAAGTTCACTTTGACTTGTGGCTTCTGTTTTGTATATTGAAGATATGTCTAATTGATTATACCATATAAGGGTATCCTATGTTATTATGACTCTTTAAATTTTGTTTTTCAAAAGTTGTCCTTGATACTGACAAACCCAAGAGCAGACTGCTTTAGTGTTTGGCCTGACGCTTTCTGAGATGCTACACTGTACATTACAATGGGCAAAATAATATCAATGGTTGCACATTGTTGAAAATAAAAATCACATAAACAAGTGCAGTCTTAGTACTTATTTACTGTCTGCATGCATTTCTACATTGATTATTGTGTCCAGAAATTAACTTTGTTCGTAACAGATTTAGAATAGAGGCAGAAATCTAAAGGTAAAACAACCTGCTAATAGATATTCTGGTTATGGTTATATTAATGGTTATGGAGAAAATCTGTGTCATTGTTCTTCAAGGTGTGTCTCATGTCTAAGTCTGAGGTACTGCATAGACTACCTGTTTTGCATACTTACTGCAGACACAGACTGATATGAAGCCCAGCAGCAAAATGACACAAAGAATCCCCAAACAACAAGCCACCTGCTGATAGCAGCGACCTCTGCTGTCTGTGCTCTTGTCTGGCAAAAGTCCTGCTGAGACTGAACAACAGATATAATTATATGGCTTTAATTAAAGGCTCATATTCCATCCATCCATCGTCAACCGCTTATCCTGCGTACAGGTTCGCGGGGGGAAAGGCTCATATTAGCTTCAGATAAACTTGGGAATACATTCCTACACAGAACAAAGACTGTACATTTAGTCTCCCATCACTTACATTCGAAGCACATTACAAAGGACTCTCTAAATGGTCAGTACAAACCGGAGGAATGATTACAGGCAGCAAAACATATTTCAATATTCCCATGGGTACCTTGATTTATGATGGACTTTCTTTAAGAAAAGTGCTATTTGCCAAAAGTACTATGTGCTAAAAGTAGTGGTAGCATTAGAAGCAGTAATTGGTTGTAGTTGTAACAGCAGAATTTCTGTAGTTTTAGTGGTTGTAAAATAAATGTTGCAGGTAAAGCACTCGTTCAGCAGTCGTCTTGGAACAATGCAGATTAGAAAAACTTATAAATTCCCTAATATGGCTTAAACTCAAAAATACTTGATCATACACTTCCGGTAGTTCAAGATGATGGCATCTTTTCACCAGAGTTTCTCTGCCTGAGAAACGGCAACATCTTTTTAACCTCCACACCCCGAGCTTGTAAGGCTTTGTAATAAATTTACAGCCTCCAAGTTAAAACTGAAGGCATCATCAGGTTGTTGATAATGCTTCTACTGTTTTCACAGGCTGACTACTTTTTAATGGTTGTAATAACAATAAAGTAGAGGTAGTATTTGTAGAAGTAATAGTAGTATAACTAGAAATATTCTCAGTTGCAGTAATACTGAATGTTGTGTACATTTTCTTTTACAACTTACCGTTTGTGTCAGCAGTGTCTTCAGTTCTTTTGCTTGGCACCGTCACTTCATGGTACACAGGTTCCTCCTCCTCTTTAGCTGAAAGGTTGAAGAACACAATCCCATGGTTAACTACTGTAAAATGGTTAAAGGCTTTTATAGGTTTATTAGATTTTTTTTTATTATTGTGATTGTCCCAGTATCTTCTTTTAGAATGAAAAATTAGTGCTAGGCTAGGCTAAGCTCCAACGCGGTGAGTTTTAGCTACAAAATGAGTGCCCATGAGCGCAATACAAAAGTGACTGAACAAGCTTCCAAGTGGTTCAGCAATCTAAGATCTGATAAACTTCAAGTTTCTGTATGCTGCAAAATGTGTCGGAGAGTCGTGCCAACTAGCAGCGGGAACACATCAAACCTGTTCCACCATCTGAAGCATTTCCACTCAATAGAATATTCTACAGTCAGAAGATGAAGCACCATAAACGTTTAAGCCAACCTGTCCCTGAAAAATCACCCAAACCCCCAGCTGTGTCAAAAGAGAAACCCATGCAGCAAACACAGGTGGCCGCAGTCATGCCTTATGACAAGCACCCAAAACGCCATGAAGACGTTAACTGAGACCGTTACAAATTTCTTGGCTAAAGACATGGTGGAAAACGTGGGCTTCAGGAAAATGATGAGCTCCCCAACTGGAAATATTTTTCACACACAACCATACCTGCACTTTATGGTGTAGTTAGAGAAAGGGTGGAGAAGAAGTCAGTGTTGAATTCTGAAGCTCAGAAGCATACTTGAGCCTGACAGTTCACTTTATTGACCAAGATTGGAAGCTCGTCAGCTTTTGCCTCCAGACTTTCCTGAGGAGCACACGGGCGAAGCTATTGCAGCCGGACTTACGGCTGCGCTCGCGTCCTGGGGACTCAGCGAAGACCACGAGGTCTGCATCACCACAGATAGCGGGACCAATAGCGTCAAAGCCGCTGAGTTGAACACATGAACAAGACTACAATGCTTCAGGCACCAACTAAACTCCGCTATTGGTAATTTATACACAGTTAAAATACATTTGAGTGTTATGTTAACTTATTTTGTTTATGGTATGAGGATTTATCACTAAAATCATTTCAGTAACAAGTAGGCAATATGCCTCACACAACAGGCCTAACCTAAACGAAGCTTACAGCAGTGCCTGTATGTTTGATATTTTTATTATATTACATTAATTTATCTAACATGTTTAGCCAAAGCGACTATTCTTTGTATTTTTACATTTTTTTTTATATTCACAATTTTATTATGTGCAATTTATGCATTTATGCAGCTGTTAAATGCCATTTAATAAGGATGTAATTAAGCATGTGTTATACTGTGCATTTGATTTGAAGCTGTATTTACAAAAATGTGAGGGGGGTACTCACTTTTGTGAGATATTGTACCATCACTTAGTACTTAGTTGGCCTACAATTTTGATTAGGTCATTTTATAGGCTTTCATTTAGGCCTTCATAATTGCATGGATAATACATACAGCCATTCTCTCTTCTTGTGAAATCAGATGTAATCAATTAAAAATACTTAAGCAGGAGAATTGTGATTTTTCTCTAAGCATAAAATAAATCAATTATTTTTCTTGTTAAAATATAAATACAAATGAGGATTGTATATTGCAATATTTTTTCTCATGTGTTTACAGAGAAAGTTAACCAAGACAAGCGAGTAGACAGAGCAGTTGGGGTCTGTAAAAGGTGCTGGCTGCTTTCTCTTAATCTTGGAAAAAGAAACGGGACCTTGCAGCTGCTCAGGAGGAGTTTCACTTGCCAAAGCATAAGCTCATCAGTGAAACACCAACAAGATGGGGATCCCGACAATAAATGGTGAAGTGGGTTCTAGAGCAGAAAAGGGCCATCACAGAGGTCCTCTCAAAGGACAAGAAGATCAGATCACTGGTTCCTATGTGGCAAGATGTGGACGTTTTAGAGTCTATAGATGCAGCTCTAAGCCCACTCCTCGAATTCACTGATGCCTTGTCCGGTGAGTCCTGTGTCAGTGTGTCAGTGTGTCATTCTTAAAACCATTGAAGCATCTCTTCAACACCTCCATCTTGAAGGAAGCAGAGGATGACACAGAGCGAACCAGGACCAGGACAACAGTGATGGGATACCTCAACGAGAAGCACAAGGATCCCGCCATGGATGATCTACTTGACATGGCATGCCTCGTTGACCCAAGATTCAAGCTTCAGTACACTCAGGAGGAGAATAGAGAGTACATCAGAGAGAGGGCTGTGTTGGAGATGCTGAAGGGAGAGAGAGCTGTTGTGGTAAGAGAAGAAGAGTCCAGAGAAGAAGCCATTGGAGATGCTTCTGCAGCAGGGCCACCAGCCAAGAAAACAAAGAGGTCTCTGGCTAGCTTTTTTTCAAACAGGCCCACCACTTCCAACACAGAAGGCTTGAGTCCACAGCAGGCAGTTGAGAGGGAGCTCGGCAACTACCTTTTGTCTCCAGGTGCTGACAATGACACAAATCCTCTGGATTGGTGGAAAGTCTATCAAAAGAACTTGCCCAGAGTAAGCCAACTGGCAAAACATTACTTGTGCATTCAGGCCACAAGTTTTCATGCGAAAAAGAGCATCTTTGAAGCCAGAAAATGTAGATCAACTTGTATTTCTTGCCAGAAACCTCTAGAGCCTGTCATGGGGTGTCATCAACCCTCAACAATGTCCCTGCCTCAGCAACATTTGTGTTTGTTGTTGCTCACTCTGCTTTTCTGTTTATTGCAGCAATTCTGATCACTTTTGTTGTTGTTTTTTAGCCTGGCTGAAGCACCTTTGTTTAAATTGAAGTTTCTGAGGCTTTTATATTGTCGGACTAATTCTTTAGCAGTTAAAGTATGGAGTGAGTGCGTGTAAAAACAAAAAAAAAACAAAAATAACCATAAAATTCAAAATGGCTGACTTCCTGTTGGGTATACATCATATCATACATGTAGGTCAAACATGCGGCAGGGGCTGCTTCGTTGAAAGTCACTTCCTGTTGCCAGCAGGTGGCGCTATGGCTGTGGGTGAATGTCGGCATGTACATGTGTTCAGGGCGGGATTCTTAATAAACGTGTAAAATTTGGTAGAGATCTGAGCTTGTACAGTAAAGTTACAACAACTTTCTGTGTCATGGCGAAGACTTTGCCGCCACGCGGTTAACTGCAAACTCACAAGATTTACAACATGGCTTCATCAATGTGTTAAGGGTTTTCTGGGACCGTTCTGAAGTTGATATGTCCAACCTGCTAGGAGTAGTACAGTACCTGTTGCTAGCAGGTGGCGCTATGATTTTGAGTGAATATTGGCATATAGATTTGTTCAGGGCGGGACTCTTATTATACATGTAAAATCTGATGCAGATGTGAGCATACTGAAGTAATAATTGATTTTTGGTTTGTACAACTTTTAATGGTCAGTGGGTTTAGACTGCACAGCAAAAATTTGAAGTCGACGGGATTAATTCCCTAGGAGGAACTCGTTAAAGTACAAAGTGTGTAAATCGCCAAAAATTACCATTAAATGTTAGGCAATGGCTCCAAGAGGCTTTTTTGCCACGCCTGAATTTTGTGCAAAGTTTGGTGAGTTTCCGAGTATGTTTAGGCTCCCAAAATTAAGCTTACTCTGCAGAAAAAAGAAAGCAAGAAAAAACAATTCCTAAACAAAAGCAAACTAAAACCCAAATGTTTATATCCAACGTGTATATGACTAATACATGTTTTGCAGCAGCAGATTACAACAACTGAGTTTAGGGACAGTCCAGTGGATTACAGTTATTGAAAGGATTAAAATGTTAAAGCAAATTTCTCAATGCAGATGAGACAATCATTCTAAACAGTTAACATTTATAGAGAACAGTTCACCACAGTCAACCACAGCTGTTGATAAAGCTCCTACGGTTTTCACAGGCTGAGTCCTACTCATGACTCCCCTTTTAGTTCATTTTTAATGGTTGTAACAACAATAAAGTAGAGGTAGTATTTGTAGAAGTAATAGTAGTATAACTAGAAATATTCTCAGTAATACTGAATGTTGTGTACATTTTCTTTTACAACTTACCGTTTGTGTCAGCAGTGTCTTCAGTTCTTTTGCTTGGCACCCTCACTTCATTGTACACAGGTTCCTCCTCCTCTTTAGCTGAAAGGTTGAAGAACACAGTTAACTACTGTAAAATGGTTAAAGGATTTTATAGGTTTATTAGATTTTTTTTAATTATTGTGATTGTCCCAGTATCTTCTTTTAGAATAAAAAGTAATTCTGTGTTTTTCCCTGAAGTGTATCCTCACAGGGCAGCTAAAGGCCAAGATGATCCAGTTCTCTCACAGTTAGCGGATCATGAAAGGGGAAACTACATTTTATGGAAACATTTTCAAATTAAAGCTGCAAGCAGGGTGGGTGGGCCCTCGCACGTGTAGCGCGTCGAGGTGTAAGGCGCTTCGGACTCTGCACAAACATGTTAATCATCACTTCCTGTGTCCCCTTTGTGGCACTTTATTTCACTTCGCACTATACTGAACATGTAGATGTGTTCGGGTGGGACTGTTATCAAGCACGTAAAGTTTGGTGCAGATGTGAGCATGTACACTGATGTTACAACAACTTCCTGTTTCATGGCGAATCATCAATTTTGGACGCCACGCCACAGGTAAACTGGTCGACTGGTAATAACCGTTTGTACAACTTTTAATCGTCAATGTGTTTAGACTGCAAAGCAACAATTTGAAGTCCCATCCATCGTCAACCGCTTATCGCGGGGGGCTGGAGCCAATCCCAGCTGACAGGTCGCCAGTCCATCACAGGGCCACACATAGACAAACAACCACTCACGCCTAAGGACAATTTAGGGTCACCAATTAACCTAGACTGCATGTGGTGGGAGGAAGCCGGAGCACCCGGAGAGAACCCATGCAGACACGGGGAGAACATGCTAAAGGCCGGGGCAACCGGGGTTTGAACCCACAACCTTCTTGCTGTGAGGCGACAGTGCTAACCACCACACACTGTGCCGCCCAATTTGAAGTCGATTGGATTAATACATTAGGAGGAATTTGTAGTACTAAAAGCCATGGGCACCGTAGTACTAATTTGAAGTACAAAGTGTGTCAATCGCCAAAAATTACCATTAAATCCAAAATGGCCGACTTCCTGTTGGGTTTAGGCAATGGCTCCAAGAGGCTTTTTTGTGCGTCTAGAGATGATACATGTACCACAGAAATTTCGTACACGTAGGTGAAACTTAGTCTGGGGGCTGCTCTGTAGGGGGCGCTAGCGAGCCATTTTGCTACGCCCATGCGCGAAACCCATAAATTTTCGCCGTGTCTAAATTTTGTGCAAAATTGAGCTTACTCTGCAAAAAAAGGAAGAAAAAGCAAACTAAAACCCAAATGTTTATATCCAACGTGTATATGACTAATACATGTTTTGGAGCAGCAGATTACAACAACTGAGAACTGCCAGCTGGGCCGTGTGGGGGCCCAGGCAGACTGATGTGTGAATAGGATACAGTATCTGATCCATATCAATGACGTTAGGGGTTTTAAGAAATCTTTTGATTTAAAATATAATAATAATATGTAAATGTACAAAAATGGATAAAAAAAAACTGAACTTACCTTTAGGTGGGGAATGCTTCTTTTTTTTGAATACAACTGAAGCGTAGTTGACCTCTTCCGCCATCGCTACAGTCCTTCTGTTAAGTTCTAATTGACTTGTACACAGAATAACCACCGTCAAACCTCAGAGCATCGTCTGCTTGTTGAGAACTGCGTGTTTCCTCTGTTCAGCTGAGTCTTTCACTCGCTGCCTTAAAATGAGCAACTTCTGCTTTTGGTTGAGAAAGAAATTTGCATCCATTAGTGCCGGATATGAGTGTCAAACCATTTACAGTGTGTTCTTGTGTTAATAAATAAAAGACATTATTACAAAAACAATGAACATGCAGTAAGAGGTTCACTAATAAGCCAGGGCTCTACACTAACCTTTTTCCCAAGGAGCACATGAAATGAAAAAATTTAGGAGCACAGCAAAAAATGTAACAGACTGAACAAACTATTTATTATACACATATTTATACTACGTGTGTGCTCAAATATGGTATGGAACCATTGAAAGACTGGAAGGGAATACCCTTGTATCTGTACACCTCGGCATCTAACAATATTTTGTTAAAGCTTTTTAAAATATTGAAAAAGATGTTTTGAAAATTTGAGACACTTAAAACAGCTTTTAAAATACTGAGGAGTACTTGGAAAAAACTGTAAAATTGGTGTAGTTTTTGAACCAGCGACAGATTCACAATACACCAGCAGCACCCACACAACCCACACCTAATGCAAACAAGACTACTGAACAGTGTTACAGTTCTTACTCTCAGAAGGAGGCAGTGGAAATCTGCATCTTTCACACAACATGGAGGAGAGTGTATTAGTGTAATATTACAACATTAGAGAAAAAGTTCAATTTTAATCTAATAGTATACTGCTATTATGTTAATACAAAATACATGATAGTACAAAATTAATTCCAGTTGGACAAAAACAGCATTTTCATGTCCTACTTCATTTGTTAATGCTGCCATCTCATCAATAGTCAGAACCATTCATGCGGGAGTTCAACATTTGAAAGTTTACTGAAGCACGTCAAACCATTTTTATGTCAGTTGGTCAGTTGGTGAAAAGTGAAATTGTGGAGCACATCATCGATTTTATGAAAAGTTGAACACGTTTCAACAAAAGGCAGCTGATATAGCTGAATATCCAGCTAGCCGAATCCACAACCTCCTTATCTTCTCCCTGCTGTCTTCTGACTCACCGTAAATCATTTTTCCGGTTCGCACGTACCGATTTTTAGAGCCCTGCAAGCTAATACTGAACTCTGGGTGTTTGTGTGGTGCAGTGTCAGAAGACACAATTCATGCTGTCTCCACAATAACCAAATCTGCTCACCCAGTGGTGAGAAGGTGTTTTTTCTCACTTGACTGATGCAACTTCTGTGTGGCAGTGGGTGTCTACAAGATACGCTCACACAGTTGAACTAATGGAAAGTTGTTAGTATAACTTTGCATACAAGAACAAAAGGGCAGAAAACCCACCCTCCATCCTGGTCCAGGGCAAGATATCTCAGCAGCAGCTACTAAAATGGTTATCATGGTCTGCAGGAGATGATTCTTATTGATTGTGTTGACCTCTTATTTTTCATCTAGAGCATCACTTACAGGCCAGCATTTCCCCTTAATGAACGCTTTTCTTTATGATTAAGTTTCTCCCAAATGAAAGGTTGGATTTCCAGATGTAAAGTTACTGGAACACAAGTAATAATTTTAAGGTGACTTCATGAGTAAGGCTGCTTTGAAAGAGGAAGTCAAATATTCAATCCTGAACTCAGCTTTTCTCCTGAAATATTTCTTCAATATGGGTGCTGCTGACAATCTGCACTATGTCCAAGAGTTTTCAGATTGTTCAGGTTAACACTAGAACAGACACTTTGTTGATGAACAGCAGTATTACACAGCTGGTGAATATATATTCACTGCTAGCGTTGCTCTTAACTTTCTTGCCTGGTAAAATAAAAGGTTTAATTTAAAAAATAGAGTAGTTGGGTACAGTACAGCTAATGAATAATTCTGGTTTACATGGTACGTGTTATGGAAAGCTGCTGCCAATATTTTCACTCTCATTCTGCTTATAGGTTTTTATATTCATGCCAAACTGCAGTTACAATATATTTGGGGAAATCCCAAATATATTCTTAGACATGGTTTCAGAACACCGAACTTTTGGGGACAATCAAACTTTGACATACTGAATTTTGATTAAAAAAGGCATTTCGATAAGGAATAAAAGAAGAACTTCATGTCAGCTTTCATATTTCTTGTCCCTTTAATGCCTCTTTATCAGTAGTTTTTAATGTGCTTTGTCATTGAGGCCAGGCTCAGTCATTGAGCAACACTGCTGCAGCAGGGCTTCCTCGAACTTGGTCTCTGTAAATATGGTTTATAAGACTTCGAATCAGTCTGGTTGTAGGATGTTGTTTTAAATCAGTGCATTAATGCACACGTTTGTGTCTGGGCAACAGTAACTGATGCAATTCATGAAAAAAAACAAAAACAAAATACAGAATAAAGAAACTGCCATGTACTGCAAGTTACTTTGATACCTTTGTAGCTTTTATTACACATTTCTGAAGATCCAGTGCTATACCAGAGCAAGATGCAGTAAGCGTCGTCTCCTTCTGGGTAATAACAGGCTGTTGCAGTGTTGACATGCCCACTAGATGGAGATGGAGAGTTAAAGCTGAAACCTTCCCTGGCACCACTGAGTACCCACACAGCGCAAGGCCATAAAATAAAGTGAAACTGAAGTTGTTTAATATTATGATCTGTGTGGGAATTCATTCCCTTCACTCTGCAGATACTGTAGGTTGAGCCCAGTCTGCTGAGGGGTTTGGTGTTGATAAGGTTATGCTATTCTTAGGAGGAGCTCACACTTTTCAGGGATCCAGACTGCAACTATATTTTGAGACCGTACGGGCATTTCATGTGCAAACTATAAAATAATTTAAGATTAAATTAGAACAACTTTATCCCCAGTGGGGAAACTCAATTGCCACTAGCTCTAATCAGGCAGCAAAATATAAACAGAAGACAACCAAAACAAAAATCTACAACCTACCTACAACTGCATTTTCTTTATAGGCTATAGAAACATTAAAATATATTACAAATTAATGAAAAATGAGTGCTGCAGCAGCTGTGATCAGCTGCTGCCGTCATCAGAAACAGACGTTGCTTCATGTGAGGCTTCGGAGGAAAGGACGTCTCATGTCTCCAAAAACATATTTCCTCGTTCCTTCTCTCCTCGCTTGGTTTCCTTGCGTCTCTCCATGCATCGCGGTGGGCGGCACTAAGATGCAAGGAAAAGACGCGAGGGCAACGTGGATGCAACTAACTTGAGAAGCACCCTTTGTGTCTGTAGTAAAGCCAGGAAGACATTTAGAAGCTTTGGTCTGTCTCGCTCCAGAGCCATCTCCACATCGCCTGGAACACAGTCTGTGTTCTTTGCTTTTGTTGGTTTTGCCAGTAAGTCACGTTTCACTTTGTGACGTTGTTCCTTGTGAGTTTCAGTGAGCTTTACTTTCGGTTTTAGTTTGTAGTTTAGTCTGCCCTAGTGACTGTCGTCATGTTGAGACAGTTTGACTTTGGGTTTCTTTCGGGGTGCCAGTCAGGTTTCTCTCCTGACACCTAAGATTTTTATGATTTTTCAGATTATATTTTACCCATCAAGTGACACAAAGGGTACATATGCAATGTTATCCTCACGCTGAGTGAAACCAATAATAATGAAAACCACAACTCAATTATAAAAGTCAACAAAGGCAGTGTATATTAACAAAAGCGTACCACAAATCAATAAAACACAACTCAAGTTTCCCCTCAGGGTTCAGTTCAGTTCAGGTTCAGGTTAAGTCTTCAGAGCAGGAAAAAACGCCCATCAAATAAAGATTGCTCCTCAAAACAAATGTTAATCCAACGTGAGAACAAAAAAACCCCACACTGCTCCAAAAAAGCAAAGACGCTCTCCTGCTTCCCTCAGCTCTTCTCTTTGGTCAACTGCTGCTCGCTCCCAGACACACGCCAAACATTTTAGCACTTCCTGAACTGGGCGGACTGGGCGCTGACGAATAAGAAACCTCCCACAAAGAGCATCACGGCTGCATAAGCGGTGCAACAGAGAGGTGCAGGCCACAGTGTGCTTGTCCCTGATTGTCTCTCCTGTATCTAATTAGTTTCTCCCTCACCTGTGGATTTAAGTGGTTGTCTGTCTTTCACTCGGAGGCAGTTCATGTTGATTTCCTGAGTGGTTCCTCAGTGTTTCCAGTGCTTGTGTGGATTTATCCTTTGATTGGACATTTGGATTACTCACCCTTTGTGTGTTTGGATTTTCATGCCTTGTGTTTTGGACTGCTCACATCACTTTTCACACACAGTTTCCCGTTTTGCAAATAAACCTCACCTTCTCACCACTTCCATCTGCATTTGGGTCCAAAACCTGCAGTCTAATGCTTTCAGCTCTACAGCTGAACATAACAAATCTATTAACTTCCACTGAACTCATTTGAAAATTAATTAAAATGTTTAATATGCAAATGATGTATTTTCTCATTAAACATTTGCTGATTTCCATATCACACAAATCCCTTTTCCGGCACATTTATCAGACTCAGATTATTTTTTTGGTTTTATTGTGATAATATACCAAATGTTCCAGACATTTACAGAAAAGTTTATCAAAATTGTTTTTTTCATGGATTTATTGAATTAAAGAACTAAGAAACTGTGTGTAAAGTTAAAATGATCTAACTTCTTTGAAGGGCAAATGACTGTGTACAGGAAATGTGTAATTTTGAGAAAACGGCTGTTAAAGATTTACCTAACCCAAAAGAGAAACACTTGGCTTAAATGTCATATGAACACATCTCTTATGGATTTATGAACTATCTAACATTGTGCTCTAGAAAACAAGCTTTCAAACGATATATAATTTAATATCGAGGGTTTTAAAAAGACCAATTGAACTTTTACTTGGAAAACGCTAACAAAGATGAAATTTACATGATTTGAAGATGACAAACTTGGTGTAAAATAGACAATTGTATGTATTTCATTCAAGATTGTGGTGTACATGTTATGAAAGTATGGTAATAATAGTTGCAAAATAACTTTGAAATCTAAAAATTGGCAGATTGAAGCAAAATCATAATTTTTAGACTGGTGGCCCGTCATTATCCTGTGTACTTACCAACCTGTAATGTTTAAGGTTATTGACTTGTGCACTGATATTTCTTTTACATTTATTCATTTAGCTGACACTTTTATCCAAAGCAAACAATTGCTATATATGTCAGAGGTCACACGCCTCTGGAGCAACTAGGGGTTAAGTGGATGCATTGGTGGACGTGTCACAATGGGGAATTGAACCCGGGTCTCTCACAACAAAGGCATGCATCTTATCCACTGCTCCATCACTTCCCCACTTTTATATAGATTAGTTTATAATTGCTTTTATTTACACTTTTTGCATGCACAGAATATTAATTGTTTATTGACCCCGTTATAAAACATTATAAATAAAAGTAACATGAATATATCATTGGCTGGGTCTATAGTTCCTCTGAAACGTATTTTTCTTTAGTTTGTAAGCACTCCGTTTCAGTTCTTTGGGGTGTCAGATGAGTTTTTTTACTATTTCTCAAAGGTTTGTCATTTGCAGGTTTTATCAGTGTGATTTTAGGAATTTGTACGATGACCCTGTACGCAGGATAAGCGGTTGACGATGGATGGATGGAACCTATTGAAGCATCTCCTTTCCAACTATGATGCAGGTGTTTGTGCTCCTCACTATAAAGCAGCAGCACTTTCTCTTGTGGTTTGCACTGTGGTGTTTATTGAAGAATAATGCACTCCATGGTTCTGCCTCCATGATTTTTCAAAATTGTGAATTATCCCTGTTATCCGACGGACACCTGCCAGCAATGACAGGAGCTTATTGTTTTAGCTGAGTATCGGTCTGAAATACTGATGCTAAATCAATACCGTACGATTATCTGAAAATAATGCACATCATGGTATTAACTGTATTATCTTCTGCCTCTTAACAGTAACGACATCAGAATTTTATTTTTTTTTATTTTTTTTACAAACAACCCAGAACAACTGGCTCTGCACAGCACTTTATTCAGGCCACTACAGGTCAGTACAAACAAACACCGCAGGTTTGATCCCAAGTTTAAAAACAAAACAACAAATGGCTCACTTTCACTTTTCTGAATCCCCACTTGAACTAACCTTTTAGCCTCATGCAGGAATGCAAAATGTCACCAGAGGGGAAGTGCAACATCGAGGGAAAACAATATAGTTCAAATTTATCTTACAGAAATGATTGACAAAACGAAACAATAAATGACAGCAGGTTATTGATGAGTTGACCTGTGATGACTGGAATCTCTTAGGAGACGCACAATGATGAGCTTTAATGATAATTTCCCAAAAATTAGATGTATATTCTAAAACTTTTAAACTCCACTTGTAATACATGTGTAATGGCACTATATAAAAATATGTGTTCATAAGTTAAACCACGTTAACATTTTTTGAGACTTTTTCAGTTCCTGAATCTGTGTAATTGACGAGAAAATATTCTGTTGTACATCTGAAATCCACTGGCTGTAAAGAGGTCAGGAAAGCGTCCAAGCAGAGAGGAGTGCTGGGACGTCACAGGTTTGATCCTCCCACAGTTTTAACTCCTGGCTGAACTTAAACAAGAAGTAATTTCGCTGTACAGAGAGGTTAAAACAGAACGGAGCTTATGTGACTTTTTCCTAATTGAATTTCAAAAACAAACCATCAGGTAATAAACTTTCATTTAAAAACAGAAAGGAACGTTTTGTATATGTACAGAGAACTTTTATTTTCAAAAGAGCTAATGAGGAGCTGCACCCAAACTTTAAGGTTTTGTTTTGTTTTGTTTAGGTTTTTTTGCAAAGCTAGCCATCATGTGTTTTAATTTAGTGTGTTTACTAACACTACAAATTTTAAATGAGCAACAGCTCACCTGATTTACACTAAGGGCTGTGTCTGAAAATCAATTCTCTCTGCTCCGGTATAACTAAAACCAGATATGAACGTTGGCTGGTGGATAATTATTTTTTTCTATCAATGCAACCCACAATGCATGATTGTGGGTTGGTTATTCACCATCGGATGTACACTTGTTGATACTATATAGGCCAGTGGTTCTCAAAGTGGGATCCAGGGACCCCCAGCAAAAAGGGGAAACTATTATTTTCTCATAATTCTGTCCCACAATGACAAAGGATTTATTACTCTAATAAATAAATCATCTAAAAGCAAAAATCTTAACAGACAGGGATTAAGAACCCTGGGACAAAATATCGGGTATAATAATTATAACTATGCATTCGGACAGCACTACAAAATGGCGATTTTCGGACACAGCCTAAACAACGAGCTCTGTTCAGGACTGTCTCTTCCACTGAAAGCTCAGGAAGCAGCTGGGCAGAACACCCTATAGCTCTAGTTTGTATGTAAATCTAAGTAGTTTAAGTCCAGTGAAAAAGCTTAAATGGGACAAAAGTAAGCAGCAGGTTAGTTAAGCAGCAAAGTTAAAAACAACATTCAGATCTAAAATGAACAATTAAATGGAGTTTTAGTGTGTACGTTTAGATGCCACTAAAACGTACACACTGAAGCTTTCAGTTAGGGGTGAGCAATAAAACGATGATAATTATGGCAATATAAATTTCCTCAACTATATAAATGTTCACTATATTGTCAGTAAATATTTGGTTTAATTCATTTGAATCACAAACAAATTAGCACTTAATTTTTCTATTAAAATTAATTTGAGGAAAAGGGACTGAAAAGATTTACTAATCATATTTGTTAAAAATATATTGTAGTTTTTAATGTTTTACCTCAGATTTGTGAAGTGATCCACTGTTTGGCATCAAGTGTTCTGACCTTACCCATCTGGTTTCTTCAGTTTTCACTCAGGAGCAAAAATCAGCTTTTAAACTTGAAAGAAATAATGATTTGACATATCGTGATAATTATCTATCGAATGGTATGAAATGTTTTAATCGTGATAACATTTTTGGCCATATTGCCCGGCCCTACTTTAGGGTTTTTCACTGAACTTGAACTACTTATATTTACATACAAACAATGGGGGTGTTGTAAAACTTTACATTTGCCAAGTTAGTTTTAATCCTTGAAGTCGGAACCCCCCACTCCCCACCCAGGGGCTAAATCACACCTGATTCTGGGCTGGTTGAAGACACCTTTTACGTGCAGCAGTGAAGAACAACCTGACACAGGGACTTGAAAACAACTCTAAACTAACACAAATGTAGATGTTCTTTGTAAAACTGAAAGTGGCAGCGGTGCAACATTTTAAAGACAGGATCTGGATCACAGAATCTAAAGAGTCTGTTAATATTTTGGTTTGGTTTCATTTACATTATGTTCACCAGCCCTTCATTTGTCCAGTTTGATTCCCGCCTCGGCAGGTTTCTGTGCAGGTATTTCTCCATCAACATCAAGGCCTCCACCCGTCACTCTGTTCCTCCTCCTCTTTGTTTTTCTTTCTCACTCATCCTCGTTCCTCCTTTTTAATTCAGCAGTTTGATCCTTCATGTGTGAGGTGAATGTTCCAGTACTCTCTCTGTGTTGTGAAGTCTGAAACCTTCGAGGCCTTTGTTCAAAATAAAAAAACAGGAGGAGGAGACGACGACCTGAGACGTCTACGGCGACATCTCTTCATATCCCTGAACTTTTCCTCTTCCCGTCTCGTCATTAATTTGCTCCCTTATTTTCTTCTCTACTTCCCTCTTTCCTTTTCTCTTCTGTTCCCTCATTTCCTTCTCATCCCCCCTCCTCCTCTCTCTGTCCACTGTTGACGGCTGTGTTTTGTCATTGGCTGTCACTCTCCCCCAGTAGCCAATAGGTGGTCATCTTCCCTTTGCCCTTGATGTCGATCTCTCCTCTCAGCTCCAGCTGGAAGCAGTTGAACTCCATCAGGACGTCACGAGTCGCAGCCGACACGTGGATCTTCAGCGCTGCACAAAGACACACAAGTTCACATGAGGTAATTTGACTAATGTCCTACAGAGAGCTTAAGCCCCTCCCCTTCCTGTGGACCTTATTTCAGAAGAAATATGTATGGGAGCCACCGGCGAGAGACAACTAATGTTTCTGATCCCATTTGAATTGTGTCCTAAATTTCACACGTTTGCCACTTTAAAAGATTATGATATAAAAAATGTCTTAGTGACTCGGAAAATACATCAAAGAGCTTCCATGTGTAGATGATGTGATGAAAGGACCAGGAGTCATTGGATTAAACCCATCAGGTGAGATGCATCTGTGTGTGGAACATAGCTAAGTTACCTAGCTAGTATTACAGTGGTAATGGTGCATTCCATTTAGTAAGTAAGTAAAGTTTATTTTTATAGCACCTTTCACAGATAAAAATCACAAAGTGCTTCACACTTTGGAAAACAATACAAAATAGTAAAATACAATGTATAAGAAAATGTAAATACAAATGGAAAACATAGAACAAAAACCATAAAACCCCCTTGTCTAACTGAAAGCCTGCTTGAAAAGCAGCGTCTTCAGTTACTTTTTAAAAGAATCAACAGAATTAAGACAACGTAGAAAGGGAGGCAATGCATTCTAGGTGCCACTGCTTGAAATGATTGATCTCTGGTTTTAAAAGCCTCTGACCTGATGACCTCAGACTACGGGTCAGAGTATGAAGCTGTATCAACTCAGCTATGTAGGGAGGAACCTGACCGTGCAGGGTTCTAAAAGTAAGAACCAGGATTTTAAATTGAATTCTATACTGGACTGGTAACCAGTGAAGTGCTGCTAAAACAGGTGTGATGTGCGCTCTTTTGTTAATGTGAGTTAAAAGCCTTGCAGCAGAGTTCTGAACAGCCTGGTAAAGCTCCTTCTTACTCAGTAAAAAGTGTTCGTTTTCTCTGAGTTCAGAAGCAGGAAGTTGCCACATAACCACTGTTTAATACTGGTCAAGCAGTTAATTGAAGAAGACAATTTGTGGAACTCAGTTTCCTTAAACGAGCAGTACAGTTGAATGTCATCCGCATACAGATGGAAAGATATGTCACTGAATTGACTAATTATCTGTCCAAGATGAAATATATATACAAAAGGAACAGGTTGGGTCCCAAGACAGAACCCTGAGGTACCCCACACAACAACCCTGCAGTTTCAGACATGATCTGATTTACATAAACACTGAAACTTCTACCAGAAAGGTAGGATGAGAACCATTTTAAAACTGATCCACACATCCAAACCAGATCATGGAGTCTATTTATCATAATATTGTGATCATCAGTATAAAAAGCAGATGAAAGGTCCAAGGCCTACATTCATTTAACCTACAACCCTTGGAACGGGCTGTTGATGCCATCCCCTATGCCAATATATAGGGATGACATAAGTCTGCCTCATTCATGCTGCTGAACACTCGCTCACTAACTAATAAAGCGCCACTCATACGCGACATCATAACTGGATTTTCTGTGTCTGACTGAAACTTGGCAGAACCAAATGGAGTTTCTTGCGCTTAACCAAGCTACCCCCCAAGGCTATAGTTGTTATTTATTGATTTAGCTGATGCTTTTATCTAAAGCGACTTACAATTGCTATACATGTCAGAGGTCGCACGCCTCTGGCGCAACTAGGGGTTAAGTGTCTTGCTCAGGGTGGATATCTCACAGAGGGAATTGAACCTGGGTCTCCCACACCAAAGGCAAGCATCTTGTCTATGCACCATCACCACCCCCACCATTGGTAGTGGCAAATCCCATCAGCATGTTGCTGGGACAGAAGTGGTTCTCGTCCGAGGGGTAGAGACATCCAGGGGCGTTGCAGCTGGGGAGCATTTCCACCCGCATCCTGGAGGGAAACCTGCGGCAACCACCGGGTTCGTTTTCTGCAATGAGACCAGAGCACCCCTGTCCAGGAAAGTCGCCTCATCTTGACCTGAGCGCCAGCTCTGCAGCCCCTTCTCCTCGGTCTCTTCTTAGGATTACCAGAGCCCCTGGTCGTAAACAGGAGCCGGTACTCAGGTGAGGAGGGAGGACACACGAGCGGGGCCAAGAGGGGTATGGAGAGCGACAGCGATAGCAAAAAACACCAGCACAAACACTGAAAGTTGATACATATGCGACGCAGCAGCGGCCAGGCCAAACACAGGCGCCATCTTGTTTCCATCACCTTTTTGACACGAGAAGTCAAAAATTTCAAAGGGAAGTCAGATGAAACTGAGGTCTGTGACTGTAACATTGCTCTACGACGGGGGTCCAGTTTGTAGTTCAACAGGGACCAACAGAGTTATAATATAAATTTGAATCAGGACCAAACAGTTGGTGCAGGTGCTGTAGCTCTTGTTTTAATGAATAAGAATTGAACTTGAATTGAACCGCAACGTGGGCCTGAATCTATGCAAACATGTTGTGTTCACTGAGTCTTTGTGTGTCTGTAGTTCTGACCTTCTCCGGTGGACTCCATACGAGACGACGTGTTGACCGTGTCCCCGAACAGACAGTAACGAGGCATTTTCAGACCCACCACTCCTGCACACACCGGACCTGAACACAGCCAACACAGTAAGTGTGAGAGCACATCCTGAAGGAAACGAGGACCCGTCTGTGCCGTTCACAGCTTTTTATTCTGACTGCAGAGTTTGGTTCTTTTATTCTTAAACTGAATGCAGTGCCTGCTTTTTTCTTTTCTCCTACTTGCTCTTCCTCTCTTTACCCCTCTCGCTCTCTCTCTCTCCCTCTCTCTCTCTTTCACTTTCACGCTCTCTCCCTTTCACTCTCCCTCTCTTTACCCCTCTCGCTCTCTTTCATCCTCGCTCTCCTCCTCTCTCTCCCTCTCAACCATCTCGCTCTCTCTTCCACTGACCCTCTCTTTCCCCCTCTTGCTCTCTCTCTCTCTCTCTCTCTCCCTCTCGCTCTCCCCTCCTATACTTACATGGTTTTCTTTTTTGGCATCATCTTATTTTGCAGCCTGTTGTTGAATAAAAATACTATAGTAATAGAAATGTCCTGCATGTGTTTCTATCATTAAGAAACTTTACTATTTAGAAATGTTGTTGGATTTGATGATGTCAGACTTTGTGCCAAATGGAGCAAAAGGTTAAAAACTTTTTTCTTTTTTTTTTTATTAATGACAACATTTCACCTGGTGTCTAAATATATAGTATTTATGAATACCCTCCCCTCCTCTCCTCACCGCTGTGTATTCCAATCCTCAGTTTCAGCTGTTGTTCTGGTCGGTGGCGGATCTTGAAGGTTCGGACAGCGTCCAGCAGGGCGAGGGCCATGCGTGTTATCTCTCTGCCGTGCAGCTTTCCGTTCCTCACTGGCAACCCGGACACCACCATGTAGGCGTCGCCGATGGTCTCCACCTGGGGGCGCCACAGCAACACAAACATTTAATCCATCTGCGTTCATGGATTTACCTCAGCTTCACTCAAAATTCACATTTTTAAATATAGTTTAACTCTTTAGATTATAAACATTTAAATGATTTGAGTTATTCTGTTTTTACCAAACACAATATTCATGATACTGGTTCCTTTGCTCCTAAAAAGTTGAGCTTTTGTGTCCCAATACTGCAATTTTTAAGGATTTAAATCCATTACAGCTCTAATTATCAGTACTATTACTATTACCACTCTTTATTTATCACACGTCGGTCACATACTGCAGTATAACTGTACATTATTCCACACATTTCAAATGCCTTGTTACATGAGCATCTGTAACAAAACAAATTTACCCTCATGGATCAATCAAGTATTATAGGCAGTTAATATGCAGTGAACAGCAGCAAATACTTTGCGCCACGTGGATCAACAAATCCTTCTGGGTCTGAAACCTCCTCTGGATGATTTTTTTAAAAGGTGGAAATTCCCAAAATAACAACTATATTAAAAAGGTTTCTGTTGATTTTGTCACCTTGTAAACATCAAAATTGTCGATGATGGCATCGAAACAGGTGTAGAGGTCATTCAGCAGAGTCACCACCTGCAGAAGGACAGGATGAGCAGCTCAGATACAATAAAAAACTTGATATATAAAAGTGCTTTTGGGAGTTTATAGTGTGCTATACACCAATCCTCACACCAACAACACAAAATATCAACTGCTCTACGTATTATAACAAGGTGCAGCATCCTCACACCCAGAGGTTTAGAGTCAGGCTAGTTGTTGTTTCCCTCTGCTTCCAGAATTTGGTCCATCCCGCCTTGTGTGAGTGGTTCAGGCTGCTGGTGCTGTAACCAGCTGAGCTCTGAGTATTTATGTCACCAGTAACCAACATGACAGTGAGTTCTGTGAAGTCCTGCAGAGCTCCTCTGGGATGTGGTGGAACGGGCAGTATGAATGTGCAGCCGATGCTTTCATGTCAACATGAAACAGAATCTCTAAACAATGTTTCTACTTTTCTACCCAGCAATAGAAAGGTTTACCGAATAAATCTGCTCACCTCCATCGGTGTGCTCTCTGCAGAGATGGCCGTGAAACCCACGATGTCACTGAAGTAGATGGTGACGGAGTCGAAGGCCTCGGCCTGAACCGTCTCACCGCGCTTCAACTGCTCTGCCACTGAGCTGAGGGCGAGAGAGGTGCACAGAGAGAGAGTAAATGTGAAGAAAAGTAATGCAATTAAGTTTCAATGAAGCCCTACCTGTCAGGAGAAATAACCAGTGGGTCTTTGAACACACTGAGAAAAAGCTACCTCGATATAAACATGACAGCATCGGAGAGTTTTAAGCTCTAAATGCAATTAAGAGAATGTTTTATTATTATTCTATTTCCAAATTCTAACTAAAGGCTGGCTTAAAATATTTGATAGTCATCCTGCCGGTTGTACTGTAAGGTAGCAAAGAATGGGCTCTGCTCGTTCATCACAGCTTTACCTGGTGGGACAAACATCCAGCAGAATCTTTATATGCAGAATTCTGCAGATAATTTAATAATTGTAGTAATAATTACTTATCTACTTATATATATTTTATAGCAAAATTACAGGCTGGACATGTGAATGAATGTTTCTGTCGCGTTTTCGTCATCCACTATGATGCGTTTTTATAAAGCATCTGTCGTCTTTTCTGTTCAGCAAAAATTCCTTGAGCAAGTTCACTTCAAGTTCATACAGGCTGTATTAATCAGATGTTGGAAGTTGACAATCAAACGCTTAATCAGTAATTAAACATGTAGTCTTAATATCAGCAGACTAATACATCAACAGTCTCTCACGTCGTCATAACAACAGTAGATAACAGCAGACCAAAGCATGCACTTGTCACAGCGTCAGCAGATTTTGTACACCTGCAGCCTCTCCTGCAGTCATAATTTACAGTAGATAACAGTTGAACAAGGCGTGCATAGTTACAGCGTCTGCAGTCAGTACTCCCACTCAAGGATTTAACCACAGTGAGCTTGTTTCTTTGTTTATGACTACAGTTCACCACTTCAAAATAAAGACAAGGCACATGTAGTTAAAAAGATTAAAATAATTAAAATAACAAAATAAAAAAGACTTTGTGGAATAAGCTGGTGTCTTTTGTGCTGTGTGCTGGAGACAGGACATTCTTACTGTGATGGACTATATTGATGAATGAACACAATTTTGACTAATTCTGCTTCTCCATTTTCCTTAGCTGGTGTCTTGGTGCTGAGTTACTGCGCTCCCTCACTCTGCTCCCAAAGCACACATGCTTGCTTACACACACACACACACACACACACACACACACACACATGCTACTGCTGAGCCTGGGCAGTTAGATGCAAAAAGGATCACATACACTCCGAGCTATAGAGTTTTAACTCTGTGATCCTTACTATAAAATAAGACTTTAAATGATGACAATGTAGACCACCATCGCTGTAATAATTAATAATAACAATTTAGGCTATAATGCTCTAAAATTATTCACAACAAGGGAGATACTAAAGTACCAAGGAAATGTGTATAAAATGGTGCAGAAAACTGTAAACTGCAGCACTGACTGGTACTATCTGGTGCAGAAGTAAATGCAGTAATCTAATCCATTAGTTACTTGTGAAAATGTTCATGATTACAGAAATGTAAATGCTCTGTATAACACCTTTCAAGTCTTTGCGACCACTAAAAGCGCTTTTACACTACATTGCATTCACCATAGACACAAATTCACACACTGAACCTTAGTGCTCAAACATAGACTAACATTCACACACTGGTGGAACAGCCACCAGGGGCAGTTCGGGGTTCAGTATCTTGCCCAAGGACAGAAGATGTACATTGGGAGTTACATCTGAATATTTTCTTTAAAAAGCTCCGCTACAATATGTTGAACAAAACTCATTTTGTTGCTTTGCATGTTTCTCATGTGCACAATGTCTTCCTTTGCCGTTTAGTATAGTGGTAGTATCTGGTACAGCAGTATATGCAGTACTCACTGTGGTAGTATCTGTTACAGTGGTATATGCAGTACTCACTGTGGTAGTATCTGGTACAGCGGTATATGCAGTACTCACTGTGGTAGTATCTGGTACAGCGGTATATGCAGTTCTCACTGTGGTAGTATCTGGTACAGCGGTATATGCAGTACTCACTGTGGTAGTATCTGGTACAGCGGTATATGCAGTACTCACTGTGGTAGTATCTGGTACAGCGGTATATGCAGTACTCACTGTGGTAGTATCTGGTGCAGTACTCACTGTGGTAGTATCTGGTACAGCGGTATATGCAGTACTCACTGTGGTAGTATCTGGTACAGCGGTATATGCAGTACTCACTGTGGTAGTATCTGGTACAGCGGTATATGCAGTACTCACTGTGAGTGGTATATGCAGTACTCACTGTGGTAGTATCTGGTACAGCGGTATATGCAGTACTCACTGTGGTAGTATCTGGTGCAGTACTCACTGTGGTAGTATCTGGTACAGCGGTATATGCAGTACTCACTGTGGTAGTATCTGGTGCAGTACTCACTGTGGTAGTATCTGGTGCAGTACTCACTGTGGTAGTATCTGGTACAGCGGTATATGCAGTACTCACTGTGGTAGTATCTGGTACAGCGGTATATGCAGTACTCACTGTGGTAGTATCTGGTACAGCGGTATATGCAGTACTCACTGTGGTAGTATCTGGTACAGTGGTATATGCAGTACTCACTGTGGTAGTATCTGGTATAGCAGAGCTTCGGCCTTGCGTTTCTCCTCATGATAAGCTTGTGTTCGTTCCTCCACCAGCTCCTCCAGGTTGTTGGCGTACTGCTCCATACGGGACAGCAGGTTGTCCAGGATGTTGGTCCTCGACTCCCTACACACACACACACACACACACACAGTGTTAAAGGATAATGTGTGTTTTTACATCCCACTGTGTGATTTATTCTGAGGTCAGCAGCTCGTTCTGTCAGACGTCAGACAGAGCCTCCCTTGGATTTAAAACTCCATCACATTAAAAGGTGTAATCAGCACTATTTCATCAGCTATTTGCACAAAATCACCATCATTTATCAGCAGAAGCGTCACAGCCACTCCACTGTTACATCCTTGGATGGCTCTCACTCTCCCAAGTCCATGAAGTGCCCATTATCCACTCTACAAGATGAGGCTGGCATTATAAGCAGACTCAATCCAGCTGTGAGGATCTCTCCTAACAAATCCTGAGTTTCTCTCAGCCTTCTTTCTGAAACTAAACACCTGTGAGGTGTTTTTAAAGATGTACGTCTTCAGTAGGATCCAATGAGCTTAAAGTCAGACAGTACTGAGAGACACACTAACACGCTGTTTGGGTCTGCACATGGGATTTGTTGAAAACAATTAAGCCTTATCCTTTTAAAGGTTCAGTGTGTCATTTTTAGTGGCATCTAGTGGTGAAGGTTGTAAATTGGAGGGTGAGAGCTAAGCTCTCATCCATGCTGGAGACCTCGTCCCACCCCCTTCATGAGACACTAACCTCACCGAGCAGCTCCACGTTGTGTGAAGGAGAGATTCAGAAGATCTTTTCTTCCTGCAGCCGTGAGACTTTATAATCAGCACTGTTAAGCTTAAGCAGTAACCACAGCTCGGAGACTGAGGGAAAATCTATGCACAATGTCACTTTGCATTGTTTAATATTGGAATTTGTTTTTATGTGTTTTAAAGTCTCCAGGATCGTCTCTTGCATTTTATCTCTTGCGTTTTATTTGTGGTTATCTGTTATATTTGTAAAAATATAGTTTCTTTTTAATTTTAGTATTGTATCATTTATTTTTGTTAGTATTACGTTTAATGTCACTTATCACTTTACTTTATTCCATGCTATCCACTTGCTGTTGTAATGTTGAAATTTCTCACCTGTGAGACAAATAAAGGCTGATCTTATCTTATCTTACTGCTCCCCCCTCCCTTTGCAAGTGTGCAGGAGAAGCTACGGAGGCCGACACGCTCTGAGCTAAATAATACATGTGGTCCTCTTCCTCCCTCTTCTGTAAGAGGACCTGCAGTATATGTAGATAGAAATGTCTCATTCTAAGGAGATAAAAACATAACGGTTCATTATGTAAGGTCTTAACACACCACTGAAAACATAGTTATGGATATTATTTCTGTCAATAGATCGTCCTAAATATTACACACTGGACCTTTAAGAGGCGGTTTGAATAATGACAGCAGAGTTTAAATGTCCGTCCTCACTGCTACAGTTTGTGCCTGTTAGTGTTAATAAATGTTTTGCATTTTGATTTAAATACTTTTATCATCTCCAGGTCATTTCTTATTTTTGCTACTGCCATGATACAACATAATTACACGCAGATTTTTTTTTTGCAAGCACTGTGAAACACCTCCTGATTGAAGACGACTTTGTCATCTTTATGTAGCCTACAGCCCAATATTTAGAGCTTTATGTCTACTTGGTACCTCACATCAAGTTAGTGTGCAACACCAAATACTGAAAAACTTTTTGAAGTTTTGAACACCTGATATAGTGCTACGAAACCACGAAATGTAACCATGTAAACCTGTTCTGGTACAACCCCTGGATAAAATTATTATTTTAAGCAGACACACACACCAGACGGTTCAGTCCAGACGCAGGACCACACACTCAGAATTTATACTAAACACTTTCAGAGTGGCGGTTCCGGGGACTTGGGATCTTGCGTGATAAAACTGTAGATGAACTCAAGGCTGAGAAGAGGGAATCAGTAGGTTTATACATTTTATTGTGCAGATACACAACACGCTGGGGATGCTTCCTGCTCAGCTTGCTCTCATTGGCTGTTGCAGGTTTCTCATCGGAGATTTCATGATTTTAAATCGGGAAGCCTCCGATCCAGTCAGCAACTTTAAGAATCTGTCTGTAATCCCCTCGCACTACAGGCCGATAATCTGCTCCGACCAGCTTTGGATCGGTATACTTTGGAACGCCCTGGTGACTGTCAGGAGGACGAATCAGACCAATTATCTTCCAGCGTTAGCCAGACCTGTAGTGGCTGCCGCCAGATGTTACTAAAGAGCCATATGAAGCCGACATCACCTCCTGGTCTCTGAGCTAAACCTCCTCTTTCTGTCGAAGCACTTACTTGTTCTGTTTGCGCAGCAGCAGGCGGATGTGGTTGAACTCTGGTCTCTCTGTCGGCTCCTCGGCCCAGCAGCGCTGCATCAGCTGACCCAGCTCAGGACTGTGACTCTGCGGGTCGATGGTCGGTCTCAGGCAGGGCCACTCGCCCAGAACCACCCGGTCCACGATCTCTGCAGAGGGAGGGGGGTTTAGGACATTAAGAAATATGAACGCTGCTTGCTCCACAGAAAAGAGAATTTAGTTTAAAACTTGTGTATTCTCTTATTCACCCTCATATACAACAAGATTTTAACAGATTCAGTCGTGTCTTAGCTGCTGCTTCTTCAGTGAACGGAGATGGCTCAGATGTCATGTGATGTAAGTTCCACTCGATAACAAGCGGTCTTACAATATTTGGGAAAGATTGCTGCCAGCCAACATTCGACCATGAATAGAAGGATGGATGGTTGTGTGGTGACAAGCAACCAAACTGCACTGAGGAAGAGAAATGCTGCCAAAAGCAAAAATAAATCTTAATTATAGACCAGTCTGACTGTGGACAGACAGAATGAACTGCTTATCTTGTGAAGTTCCCTCTTGCTTTAATTTCCACAGATGTCTGTGTACAAAAACAGACTTCAATTAACAAGTCCAAGTCAAGTCCACTTCAGGATAAAACAATATTTATTTACAGATATGACAATCAGAAGAAAGGGCACGCAAAACTTCACATACATTCATTTTGACAAGTTTGACCAATTTAAAAGAAACCTTTTGTGTACCATTTGCTTTTAAGTAGCACCTGCTACTGGTCTGTGAAACAGGCTCCGGATGTAGAAACTATGTGTCTGAACAAAAAACCTGCATACGCCATTTACCCATGCATGAACTGGTCTTTATGACAGAAGGAGGTGTGTGCGTCAGATGTGTTTTTCTGATCAGTTTCATCATCCTTTAAGATTTTTGATATCATTTAATCCGCTTATTATTTTCCTCATTAATCGATTCTTGTTTGTTTTTAAATTCCAGGACATCTCAAATACCCGTCGCATGTCTGGAGAACCCAAATTTGCATATTTAAATATTTTGTTTTGTACGACTGACAGTCCAAAACCCTAAGATTTTAAGTTTATTATAATATAAGCACATTTGAAGAGCCGGTTCGGGTGCATTTCTTTTGTGAACCTCACTCAGCACAGGTACATAATGTATGGTGTTAAAACAGGAAATTATGTTAATTAAACTGTTGCCACAAAGTTGGAAGCACATGGTTGTCTAAAATTATTTGAAAGACCTTGAAAAATAGCTTCAGACCAAGTATATAAAGTATATGTGCACGTGTCCATGGACCTTTGACCATATAGTGTATTTACATTTGAGACATAATCTTTTCCTTTATTGTGAGGCACTCTGTAATATCTGCTTCCATAACGCTGCTGTAAACTAAATCCTTGATTATCTTGCTGATATTAAATAATGATGACAGAGATCACCATGCTGTAAATAACCACAGCTGTGGCTCCATCTGTTAAAGTGTGGGGGTTTGTTTTAATTGGTGCAGCTGGCAGAACTATTGGTATTCAAACAGGTGATTATGGGTGTGTCTAAATGTGCCCAATTCCTCAATGATTAGGATTTATAGAACAGAATCATGTGTAGTTGTGGCTTTATTATTCTGACAGAAACACAATTCTTTCTTTGTGAGTTCAATCTTGACTCTACAGAGAGTTTTATGAGATGGGAGAGGCAGTGGGATGCGGCCGGGAGGTGTAGGGTTGGGTATCCTTTCAAATGTATTGTTTCTGATTCTACTTATTGAGTCTCGGTTCTGGTCCCTTCACCACAGATCTTGTCAGCACTCGGTGACCTTCATCCTCTTCCTCCTCGCTCATCTCCCCCTTCATGGCTAAAGTGAAAGGAGTCTCTGTCCTAGAGGGGCGTCTCTGGGGACTCGTCTCTAAGAGAAATATCTATTGAATCATTTGTAGCCATCACTGCTTTCCCTTCAGTATAAAAGGTGTTTTGTACCTGAGACGTTGCTACTGTTAGCGTTAGCTGGATCTGGGGCGTCACTGTAGCTGGGAGAGCGCGACACGTTGAACACGGTGAAGCGTTCCTTCAGATTCACGCCGTGTTGAAGTAAAAGCTTCGTCATGTTGGAGCTGCTTCCTGCCTCGCACCAAACCTCCTTACTGCAGCTGCTGCATTTTGTTGCGTTCTCTGTTTTAGTGAAGCTAAGCCAAACTTTGGAGCGTTTGCTGCGGTCCGCCATGGTCCAGGACTGGAAACAGAAGGACTCTCTTCTTCATGCTTTGTACACACAACAAATGAGGTGACGTTAGGTCGGCATAGCAGCTCCTGGCAGATAAGAGACACTTTGATGGAGTGTAAAATGCTCACTGCAGTTCAGTCAGGAGCTGAAATATGCAGGAAGTTTGGAACAAAGGAGCAGAATCCAAACGCTCGGGTCTTAACGACTCCACAGTTCTAAGAAATTTGGTACTGATTCTAACTTGGAACCGATTCTCTATACCCAAATAAGGAGTTGTGCACATCCAGAACAGGTAGAAACATGCTTTTAAATTACATTTCGAAGATAACGGTGAGATAACTACTAAGGAAAATATTTTATGTCTCTGAGAAAACCTTAGAAAACAGTAGTTGACAAAACAAAGCTGTTCCAGAGCTTTCAATCATGTCCACATAATCTTCTTCAACAGATGGAGTTTGCGGAGTTGTCACACATTTGTTTCTCCGAGCAAGTTGAGATAGAAAGGTATCAGGGCGGACTGGCCATCGGGAATTTTGGGAACAATCCCTAATGGCCGGTCCATTTCAGGCCCAACCGGCCAAGAGTTTTTATTTTTCAGTTTCTTATGTTCAACTTTAAAAGATCTGCGACTGGGGTGACCGGCCCGTCAGCCGCAGTGAACGCTGTCTGTATGTCATCAGAGTGGGCCAAACCAATACTTTCAATATTGAGGGGGGATACGGGCGGCCCCTCCCAACTTGGACCGATCCTTGTTTTTGCTGAACTCAGTGCTGGGTTGTGTGACAAGCACAAGAGAGAAGCTAAATATGTCAAAAAGAAAGAGGAAAAAGAAATGTGTGGTGCTGAAAAAATAAGATTAGAAGACAAAGTCGGCACAAGAGGCACATGCGCCAAATTGACCGACTTCTTTGTTGGTGGAAAGGTGCTGTGGCAGCGCAGTTGGGGCAGGAACCAGCACAGGTACTGATAAGTAATGCATTTATTATAACCTGAGATTATTTATATATGCATTTATGTATAAGCATATAGGCTATATTATATATTTATGAATATTATAAACAACAGATGGAGGAAGAGGAAGAGGAACAGGAGGAGCTGTAGGAGAAGGACAATGGAACCAGAAACAGTGACAGGTACAGGGGCCTGTGCAGGGCTGGGTCAGCAATCATCCATAGATAAAACTAGAAAATGGATTATTGTAAGTCATATTTATTACTGATGTTCTTCTCCTGCATATGTAGCTGCACAATCAGTGCAAGCAGAGGCAGGGTCCAGCACAGGGGAAGCTGAGCCAGGGAGAGGCCTACTCAGAGCTGAAGATGAGGGATTTCATTTGTATGCACATACACAGACTGCTCTATTTTATGAGACTGCATCGTAGTTTTTGAGTATATTTAACTATTTTTGCACTCTGACTGATTGAGGCTTGTCTGACCTGATCTTGTTCAGTACAAATTGAAGAGGTGTGTCACAAAAGTTTCTTGAAGGTCTTTATCATAATGAAATTGACTGTATACAAGTACAACACTATTTATTAAAATAACTGCAAAAATCTTTGGCCCACACGGCGCTCGTATAAAAGGCCTCTCCGTCTCAAAGTCCTGGGCTAAATTTCAGTCCCAGTACACCCCTGAAAGGTATGAATCAGGATTAAAAAAGGCGGGGTACCTCCATCTGCTGAGCAAGGTCATGTGATCTGATCGAAAGCTCCGCATGGTCTGTTCAGTGGCATTATTGCTAACTTTCTGTTTCGTGAACTACAGTTTCCAAAGTTGAGGATTGATTTTAAATCTCGATATTAATGCTGAGCTTAAGTTTTTATTTTTTCAAAATTCCTAGAAAACACTTCCTCGGTGCCTCCGCTCTCCTTCTCTCCGTCCTCTGTGGTTTGGAAACAGAAACCTTTCCATGTCGACTTTAAGATTTCTCTGTGATTTCCAACTGTATACGCAACACTACAACTGAAGTTTGACCACAAGCCTATTTTGAATAAATGAGGCCTTTGAGCGGTTTGACACTTCAGCGTTGGCGGTTTGTCCTGGAAAGGGTTATTGGAAATAAAGCTGGAAAGGAAGAAAGACTGCTGAGCAATCGAAGCGTCGTCCAGCTGGCTGATCATCTCTGCTGGCAACAGGTCGGAGAAAAAGAGAGAATCCATATGTTTCTCTTTTCTTACAGTGGCTCTCTCTTCTCTCTGATTCCTCTCCTCTGTCTGGGTGTAATTGCTGGTTTCACTGGTGTCCTGCTCAGCCTCTAATTCCCCTCATTCAATCGTCGTCACGACTCAGACTAAACGCTCCAAACCTCCGCCTTGTTCTCTGCACTGACGACCGAACGCAGCAGCAGCTTTCCAATCAGGTCAATAACACATTCAGCAAAGGAGCAGACCCACAGAGCAAATATCAAATATCCATGGAGGTAAAAACAGCTAAATGTCACAGCTCTCTGCTGAAGCTGCTTGTCTGATATTCTGATCATTTCTGCTTCTTTGACGTTTTGATTTAAAACACATGTTGTTTAGATCATTTCTTGCTCTCGTGTATTCTTTTTTTCTGCTATTTACATATTTGTCTTCACTATTATCTCAAAACACGTTGATGAAACATCAGACTATTTGCTTAAGAATTTTTGATTTAAAACACTTGACACGATATTTTCTTGAATATTAGACTATTTACTTCGTATTTCCATAAGAATAATTGATTTAATTGTCCCTTGTCTTCATTAACAGGTTATGGAAATGAGACTTCCTGTGTTTTGTACAGAGTGATATGTATTTGTCTCATTTTAAGGATATTCTTCTACAATTTATTGACATGGTAATTAGTTTTCAGGTTTTGCTCTCTTTTGATTGGTTGTTGCCTTTAGCTTTAATATAAAGACCTGTTGTTTCACATTGTGTCAATGACCAAAACATTG